AACGTGCGTGACCGTGAGCCCCTCCACAAAGGTCCGGTACGGCTTACTCAACCGATCATACATCTCATACCCGGACGCCCACAGCGTATCCCCGCCGGTGGTGGGCAGCTGGATGAGCCGCAAGCTCGAGAAATCGGCCGGCGCCTTCTCGAACGCGATGTCACTGTGCCAGACGGCCGCCTGGCTGGTGTAGTCCGACCCCTTGTACAGTTTCTTGCGGCCTTCGGAGTTGATGGTGCTGATCTCGGGGTCCGGGTCGCCGAATTCGCGGGCGTCGTTGGTGACGGGGTGGATGTGCAGGCCGTGGGTGGTGGGGCGGGTGGTCAGTTCGCCGAGGCGGAGGATGAGCTGCTTCTGGAGGGCGTTGGTGAGGTTGTCTTGGGCGCGGAAGAAGACGACGCCGCGTTCGGCGACTGTGTGCTTGCGTTAATGGGATGGGGGGATTAGGTTTGGGGTGGACGAACTCATGACGGCCAGATCGCGGATGCGCTGCTCCGCCTCTGGACTGTTTAGGATATCGTCGACGATGTTGCAGCTTCCCTTGAGAAATTCATTGCCGATCACTGGGGTCACCATCACGGGGTGAAAGCTGTTCAACGACCCGCTGGACTGGATGCGTGGATGGGGCGCCATTTTGTAGAGTGGTTAATTTCCTGTGGTTTTCTTGTACGTATTCTTCCAACTCAATGTGGATAGTTACATAGATTCTGCTCGGAAACTGCATGTCTTATCTATTCGTAGGTTTCAACGCAGGTCGGAAGGTGAAGCGTTGGTCGACCGCGCGCATCGGCTTTCGGCGTTTAGATGGAGCTTGACCGTCTTGTGGGGCTATCGCCGACCACCGTCGCGCCCGCGCAGCCAATGTTTGAGGTGCTGCGTGACACCATCTGAGCCTTGATGCTTGTGATATGCCAAGATTTAGGCGTGCTTGACAGCGCTTTGAAGTATCAAATAGACATCCTGGTTCTCGAGGACATCGCATCGTGGGATGATGTTCGGCCTTATGCCGCCTTGTGCATTTGTACCTGGATTGCGGGCCATGCCCTCGGATGTATCGGCTCCTTGGACGCAAGCGGTGTCCAGGGCCAAATGGTACTGCGAGTTCTCAAGACTTACATGTGTAGATCTCAGATGTGTGTACTAGGCCCACTGATGAGAGCGATCGCCCGACACATACTGCACCTAGATCAAGTCTGACCTGAAACTACCATCTACACCGAAGACAAACCGCTCCAAAATCTTCACTACAAATAGTCTTGAATTCCTCCAAACAAACCACAGCTCATAAACTCATCTTCATTAGTATATATATCGCATATCCCATATCAGCATAGCATACCCGACCGTTTCCTCATAATTACATCCCCCGCATTTCACCCCGAAGCATTAGTATGTACAACCCTCCCATCCAGATACTATACACCTCCGCACACCCACCCCATCACCCACCAACCGCACCTAGAACACAGAGCTGGTGACATTGACCGTGACATTGCGGAAGGTGCACCCCTCGGTCTTGTACAGACTGGCATAGCGGCCCTCGAGCACGGCACCCACGAAGGTCAACGCCGCGGCGTGCCCGTTGATCTGGTCGGCGGAATGGCCGCCGACGGTGTTGCGCTCGTAGAGGATGTTGGCGCCGACGCCGCAGTAGCGCGCGAGCAGCACGTCCGTGTCGCGGATGGGGCTGACCTCGTCGTGGATGGCCTTGTAGGCATAGACGGGCAGCCGCGGCACGCCGTGGTAGCCCATGTAGCCGTCGCGGTTGAGCACGTACTGCACGCGGGGATCCCGGAAGGTGTCGCTGCCGTTGACGAAGTAGTTGTAGATGTTCTGGCCGGCGAAAAAGAGCTCCGATCCGGTCAGGGTCAGGTTGCGCGCCGCCAGGAAGGTCGTGCGGTTGTACGGCCCCGTCGGGTGCAGCTGCGAGACCAGGAAGTCGTACGTCTCCGGGTATTGGCTGGCGATGCCGAGAATCGCCTCCGGGACGAGCCCCGCCGAGAGCGTGCCGGTCACGGTGTTCATCACGTTGGTGATGTTGGGCGTCAGGCCGCCCAGGGCGGCGCCGGCGAGGGTCAGTTCGGGCGCGTATTGGTTCTGCAGCTCCGTGGCCCATTCGCTGGCCAGCGCGCCGCCCGAGTAGCCCCACAGCGCGGTGCGGGTGGTCGCGGGGCCCAGGGCGTGGAATTGGGTGACCCGCGGGTTGGAGGCGGAGTAGAGGATGCTGCGGATCGAGTCGAGGGTCGCGTGCCCGGATTGCACGCCCGCGGTGAAGGAGGCCAGCGGCCCCTCGTAGTCCGGCACGTTGACGTACCAGCCTTCGCTCAGAGCTAGGGAGACGTCCGTCGGCGGCGAGCTGTACATGGCGTAGCTGGGGCTGGCGTTGAGGTCGTTGGAGTCGTAGGCGATCTGGTAGGAGAGCAGCGCGGTGCGGTTGTCGCTGCCCGTGCTGGGGTTGGTCGGGATGAAGACCGTCGTCACGGCCCACGAGGGGTGGTATTGGCTGTCGGTCGTGCGGTAGACGATGTTGTACGCCGCCGAGGCGTTGCTGACCAGCGCCGTCAGGTTGCCGGGGGCCGGGCGCAGGCGCAGAATGGTGCCTGGGAGGGTGCTCTCGAAGCCATTGGGGGCGCTGTAAAAGGGATCCTCGGTGGGAGGGAGCACTACGGACGGGCTGGTGGTAGGCAACCCGTAGACAAGAGGGAGAATACTCCCGAGGAGAGGGAGGAGCCGGGCCGGAGAGAGCATGGCGAGGAGGGGATGAGGGAGATGGGGGGGGGGGGGGAGGAAAGAGGAAAAGGTGAGAGAAAAGGGCAAAGTACGGTGGCTTTGGGGGGGGGAAGCTGTGTTTATGTGCCGGGCGCTGACCGACAATCCCCGCAAGGTACGGAGACACTAGACGGAAGGATCCAGTTCCTTGTAAAAGTGCAGTTCACAGCGCAGCAAAGCCGAATGACATCAAACCTCGTGTCGGGCTTCGGGCAGCCAGTCAAAGTGGGGAATTTCCCTCGGATGGCCCGGATCCCTCATTAATCATTAATCATTTATTCCCGCAACCCTCAGGCACTTTCGGTCATTTTCAGCTGCGTAACGAGATTGGTCGGTTCAGCCATGCTGAACTCAGCCGCAGCTTGTTGCTTATTATTGCTTGGCGTGGTGTAAGCTGGAGAGCTGGAGACTGGAGCGCTGCGTCCGTTGGGGGAGGGAAAAAGATAGCGAGCGATCAGGGCTCCGGCCTTCCCGTGACTCCACTCCAGGCAGAGACTCTCTCGCCCTGCCTTGGAACTGCCATCCCTGGTTGGAAGATTATGTCATGTCATATCTGGATGTACAGTCCATTCTAGAATGCCTCGTTGCTCGTCAGGAGAAGATGTACTCTGCGTAGATACTTTCGATCTTTTGGTAGAGATGGAAGATGTTCAGAACAATTGATTGTTGCGCCCCGGCGGATAAGAAGAAAGGCGAACCCTCCACGGCGCCAAGTGGATCCCCCCAACCAGCGGTGACCTTCTAGAAGCACTGCACAGCCCGGGAAAGTCGGATTAACCCGCGCCCCGTTACAACTCTCCTCATTGCAATGGGTTTTGTGGTGCGTTAGGGAAATGTATCTTGCTACCACCGATAGCAATGGGTCGTAGCCTCCGCTGCCTCGGCTGCCATAACCTGGTTTCCTGCGAGGGACGGCACACCACAACACCACAACGTAAGCGTCGGACTTTCTTCACTCAATTATACTTTGGGTTGCTGCCCGGCAAACTCACTAAGTCCAATCGGTCAGCTTCTCCGGAACAGGCACAGAGAAAATCCCTGGTCTTGTCAGCTATAGCGTCAGCAGGGTGATCCCACCTGCATATGGTGTGATAGCGCTAGCCTCCTCCGCACAGCTTCCCCCGCATGCCGCTGCTGTTTTGGTCGACAATTTTCGGGGCTATCCCTGCTGATCTGACATGTGAATGAACTCAATCATCGATGTTCTTCATCCTATCGGTTGTGTTCCAATATAAATCAAGGGTTTTGTACAAATATCTGAAGCAGTGTACAATTTGATATCCAACCTACAGCAATTTTTGTCTTGCGGATTAAGTGGTGGGTCACGGGAGTAGGGCCGGCTTTCTGGCATCAGTAACCCTGTCTGTACCCCTGGGAAATATACGGCAATTTGATGAAGCTCGGGAATGGGCAATGTAGAATTAACTTTCAAGTTCTTGGTGGTTATACTAATTGAGTTCTTACCATGTCCTTGAAATGCGATCTTTCCCACCAAACTCCCATGAAAGCGCATATGCCAGTGATATCACTAGATCAACAAAACTGCTTATTTTTGATACAGAAAACGTACAAAGTCAATAGAAATAGCTATTGAATGCACTATAGGAACAATAAAAAAGAGACTATAAATTGACTCTAGTCGGTTTTAAAACTGCCAGTAGTTAAAGGCCTAAGGTTAAGACATCTATAAGAATACTTTGGGAGGGTTTACTGCTCTACTTACTTAGAGAGAGGCCTACAGAGACTCCGGAGAGGCCTCGCTGCCTTGTCTGTGTAGTAAAATGCTTGTCTTGCTTGCTCACTGTGCACGTGTTGCGATAAAAATATTTTCCCTGGGATTTCAGACCTTAATTAGGGTATTGATAGTTCTATATTAATAAAAAAAATCTATTTATGTGTATGTGTAGATAGAACAGTACCCAATTTAGATTTTGAAGAATTCCAAAGGATTTTGAGAGTTTTGTTGAGAATAGAAGAGAAACGCGTTGTGTGGAAGAAGTGGTGGGAAAGAGGTGGAAACCGAGCTGTTCAGAAGATGCGTGGTGTTCGGCAGGTGCGTGGGGGATTCTATCCATTCGTCGCAGAAGGTTCACTGTCAGCTTTTGCCAGCGTTATTGAATGACACAATCAGTTCGACCATGCCAAGTGTGAACAATGACATGCTCAGAAGAAGACAAGGTTTTGTAGAACAACTGGAACTGGTTCTCTCCGCCACGATTCTTTATGAGTGCCGACCAAATGAGTAAGAGTGCTAACTTCACGCCCAGAAGCTTGCTGGCTTCAGACACCATTAGTGTTGTATCGCATTTGTGTTCTATTCTCTGGATTTACTGCACAAGGTTGGCGATGGTGCCCCTGTGGACAGCCCGAGCCCTTGGTTCCTCAATTCTAGTGATAGTGATGTTGTTGATGATCCAATAGATGTCTCTTCCGGCGCTTAATCCGTTCGTCACCTTCTTGGTGCGTGGGTGTCGTGATAGCAGTGGCCGTAGCAGCAGGATTTGTCTCCCGAGCGAGGGTGTTGGGAATGCTCTGCCGCCTGGAGGCAACCGGGCCAGATGGGCCACCACCGTGTTCACTAGCAATCCCTGCGAAAGAAAACGCAGCCCCTTCGGTGGGCTCTGGGGCAGGAAGGGCAGCTTCACTTTCTTCGCGCCACTGTTCCGCCACCACTTCGGCCTGATAGACGGCGGAAAGTGGCAGGTCCCGCTGGAGCACGGATACGGCAACCTCGCGCTTCAGCCAAGCGGCGGAGAGAACATTGTCCGGCAGATTGTCGGGATAGCTGGGAGGCCTCGCATACTCCTGCCGCGGCCAGTTGTAGGGTTCAAAAAACATCCTGGGTTTTCGTTAGATCACAGACGAAGAGGAGCCTCAATAGCAAATCGTGAAGAGAACTTACGGATCTTCAGGATAGACACGGAACCCAACATCTCGTACTGTGCGGTACACCTTCACATCTTCTTTCATATATGTGAAAATGGCTGGATTGCGATAAGTATTTGGGCGCGTTGGTCAGTTTCCCGATTCCTTGAGAAAGATTCTGATAGAAGGTGCATTGGTGGGTTTGAACACGTACGATAACACAGGCTACCCGGAGTCTGCGAGTCGAAGCCGTATTTTTGGATGAAGTGCTTCCCATCGATAGGGGCTGTAGCCCGAGGATCGCCATCGCTGAGACTCCCAAAGGCCCAGGTAATGGGAGGCTCGTTCGGAATGATTTTTCGAACACTTCGAAGCGAGGAACAGGGTTTGAAGCTCATACTCAACCAGTTATCCCAATCTCGACCTTGCGCTCCGTTGGCAGGACCGTTCATCCATCGAAGAGCCTGCACTTTGTTTTCGAGGAGAGATCCTAAGGGGAATTCGTCCCTATATTGAATGTCCCCGAAGTTGTTAGCTGACTTCTTGCACGGGGAGGGGGGGCATACACTTCACAACTAAGTCGCCCGCTACCAGCACTAGAAACAACTAGAGACTTGTACTCATCGCCTCGAAAATGCTTCCATTGGTCCTTGAAGGTTTTACCTGGCCGTTTCTGGTAGTGATACACCGTCTGTCCCGACATTACCTTGTCCACCCCCCAGCGCTGATTGTCGCACACTTCATCAAACCCTCTTCCATAGCGGCAATAGTATGTCACGCTGCAGTCTCGATCTTTTTTGCCGTACTGCGCTCTCTGCCAGCCGCCCTTGGCGTTAATTAGAGAAGTAGGTACATCCTCAAATTCGACGGGAGGGTGCGTCACGATCCCAGGGCCCATGGCTCCCTGACCGATATTCGCGACAATTCCTGCGTTGTACTCGTGCGCAGCCTGGATGTTGTCCTCGATGCACATGTATGCCGACTCCGCTAAGTCATCGAAGCCATACCTAATGCCCGCGAACGGAATGCCACTATCAAAATCTGCAAAAGAGATTGCGGAATCAGATCGATCAATCTTTGAGATGGCTAGGTAGTAGTCTTGCGAGGAGCCAAACTTACGAGTGGCTAGAAGGGCAGGACGCAGGAATACTTACCGAGTAAGGCATTAACGGCGTCGATTCCAGTCTCCACATTGCACAAGGGATCGTTCTTCCCGAGCGTCCAGTACCCATACTTGCTTCCTCGTTTTCTCAGATTGCCGGTTGCTTCACCCTCTTCTTGATCTTGCCCAATCAGGTTCAACGAGTCGGTGTTGGTGTACGGCGAGGGCACGAAGCCCGAGCAACAGTAAGACTGAGATCCTCCTGGGAGTCCCCTCGAGCGTCAGTTGGATGCAGGAAACTAAAAAGGGACGCGCCACAGACCATTACACGTCCAATCTCTGTAGTTCGCCCGGTCGTTGTCCCACTCGTACTGATTTGCTGGTAGAAAAAGATAGATCTTAGCAACCACAGACAAGGTCCAATGGCAGTTGAACATAGCAATATGGGCCATGGAAACTTTGAAGGTAGCTGGGAGTAAGAAACTTACTGTTCGATGCGATTAAATCAGTGCCATCGGGACAAGTGTTTGAGGCACACGACAAACCTACCCCTCGGAACCCGTTCCAGGAGCAAGTCCCTGGATTAGTGCCCGGGGCACAGCAGAGCTGCTTGAATTGCCCACTAGGACAGGCACTGTCCCGATCAACCCCCAAAACCTGCCCGGTGGCACTGGTTTGGCTGAAATAACCCGGGATACAATCCTCGCCGCAAAAAGACCAGTAGCAAGAGTTACGCTTTGTGGCTGCATCATTGGCCTGGGTGAGGACCTGCTTATACGCTTCGGCTTCCGCAGCGGAGACGCCATTAGCGGTGCCCACGCCCATCAGATCATTCAAGCTGGTATTGTCACTTCCATCCTGATCGATCGACCAGATCAGCGTACCTCCCAAGCACCGCTGATTCGCGAACATGATCTTCATTTGCATAGATTCCCCGTCGTCGTAACTGACCCACTGGTCACTGCCCCACGTGATCCACTTGACGGCTGCTTTTTGATCAAAAGCTGGGGTCAGGTTATTTGCAGTAATAACCCGCTGGATTTCGGCATTCGAGAGTGTTCCAGCGGAGTTCGTACATTCTCCTGCCGTACCTCCATAGCTAAACACGCAGCCAGGGATGTTGCAAGTGGGGTCCTTGAGTGTAAAGGACCGGCCATACCAGCCTAGTCCGAGATTGACGTTCCCAGGATTCACATCGTTTCGCCATAAGAGGTCGAGGGCATTCTCAATCTCGGTCAGATTTGTATGGGGTCGGACGTAGGGGCCAGTGAACTTGTTCGATGAGTCCCAGACCCCATGAATGTCGTACGTCATGACATTGAGAAAATCCGTATTTGCTTCGATTCCTTGCAAATCGAACCACCGGAGATACCAATAGGAGGCTGGCAGTGTCACACTCAGGCCGTACCGGCTCCCAAAGGCAGCTTTCAACTCTTTTAGCAAAGTCACATAGTTCGTGGTATCGGCAGCCACCCCGCCTCGGTCAGGGGCTCCGGGGTACTACATTTGCTTCCAGGTCAGCCATAATGTCATTGCTCCACCGCCCAAAAACTCTTAGACTTACTTCCCAGTCAATGTCCAGGCCGTCGAACCCCCAGTTTTGCATGAAGGACATCACGGAGATAATGAAGGTCTGCCGGTTCTCCGCACTTGCCGCCAAGTCACTGAACGCCGTTTGCGTATTCGGGGTATTGGTGTTGTCCTTGCTTCTTGTTAATTTCCGTCTGATGCCATGTTTGACTCACCGAGGGATCCTAATCATAGGCGAGATCGGGTTGGGATACTCACATTGAAACTCCAACCCCCAAGCGAAACCCATGTTTTCAAGTTACTATAACAAAGGATACTTGTTTAGGCTCCAGTTAAGTGAGCCGAGTCTCATTGGTAATGCAAGACTTACGATTTGGTCTTCTTCAATGCCGTGAATTGAGGATACAAAACCTCGTCGCCTGCAGCCATAGGCACGATCTGGAATGTTGTAGGATGAAAGTACACAAATGCTATGAGAGAGGGCCATTGTTAGCATGTGCAAGTTATGATAGTATCCCATGTCACAAAGCGAAACGAGTTGAGAACAGACCGAAGTTAATGTGTGTGTATGGTGTCACGTCGAGATTCGAGGGAAGACGCTTGTCACATTTCCGAATTGAGGACCTGCGAATTTCGGGCAATGAGTCAGGTTGCGACGTTTTCTTATGATGTAGCCTTGGCAAGAGAGGACACTAACCATCCCTCGTAGTAACCAATGGTTCTCTGTTTCGCACTGGCCCCTCCGCAGGATGGCTTCGTAACAGCGCCACAGCCCCCATAGCCTTCCTGACAACCGGCATCGCAAAAATCCTAAATGTTTCACTCATCAGTCTTCGGCATGCTTGAAGATCATCGACTATGCAGATGCCGACTCAGACTTACCGACGTAGTACCACAAAATCCGAATTTGGAGCAACAGACATTTAGTGGGCAGGTGTTGTTGCCGACCATGCCGTACTCACCACATTCGGCCTTTGCATCACAGTTGGAGATACAGACATCTGTACCACATTCGGACGGTGAATACCCACAGATTCCGGTTTTGCTACAACAGGCCCCGTTCACGCAAGGAGTTCCGGGCGCACAAGTGCCCGTAGGCAGATCATCCCGTCGGTGTAGTGTCTTGACTGTTGCAAGAGCATCGACAGGCTGAAGAGCCTTCACCAGGGGATTCACACTGTGTCCTGTTGTGTTCTCAAAGACGGGAGTGGAGTTCGAATGGACGGCAAACAACGGGACGTAGGCACTGCTGGCGTTGGTACTCGTGACGCTCACTCCTTGCGTTACTGCCAAAATAGCCACAAGCGTGGTGAAACCCAGAAGACCATCGGCCTTCGGAGAAGAGGAAATAATCATATTATCAGGAAAATTGGTAAACGTCGTGGCTTACCATAGCAAGATCATCTGAAAAGCAAGTCACCCAGCTGCGGTCCTCTACCATGGAGAAGGTTAGCATCTCTGTTTTATATGCACCAAAGAGGCTATTATATGCTCTTACCCCTTTTTTCTTTGCTCTTCATCTTTTTCCTCCGCATTTGGAAATTAGTTTTCTGTTAGGCTTTGTTCATTTCAATCCGTATTAGCGAGCGTCAGGTACTGTGTATGTTTGGACAAGATAGTATCCGCTCATGCTTCCTATTTCTCTCACTGAAATAAGCCATGAAAGCACTATAAGCCCGTATCACAGCTTCCGGCGAATGCGAAGCCAAGGAATCTAGACATCATCAATTTAGCGAGCAGGCGATAATATCAAAGCTGCCAGTTTGGTGGCAAATCCGTCTTAGAAGGAACAGTTCGGCCGGCTGGGCTGCCTCTTTTGTGGAATGCCAAGCAGGCCAAGACCCCCATCAGCCCTCATAAACCCATTGTAAGCCTTTAAAGCGAACTGTACGGGCCGAGACCAATGCGTTTGCTTCGCTCTCGCCACTAGTGTCTACTCGGCGGATAATGCTGTAGGGGCGTAAAACTCACGTAAAATACTGTCAGCAAAGCCTCCAAGTTGTAGCCAGTAACGTTAGTCCCTGCATACTCTAGCTATATCTGGTCAAGCATTCTTGAAACCCTTGGTTGAGCACTACCTCGGTGGTAACTGTAGGATTTTCAAGGCTTTCTTCCATTGGACATGTCTCACCCAAACCCTGCGGCTAGATCATTAGATCGCCAAGCTGGCCGAGCCTAACCTGTATTTATACAAAGTACACACACTAAATTGACTACTGCCCACTACAGAAAGCGCCGTACGTACCTGTACAGCCATTGTAGGCCGAAAAAAAGAATTCAAACCTCTCGATAACTAGATGTAAGCAGATGGCAAGAAAACCCTCAAAGTCATGCCCCTGCATTTCTTTTAGATTGCGAACCGCCCCACTGAGAGATGATGGGGATTTCAATGACAGAACGATTTTGACAATTCGACTAAGGATAGCCCGACTCAGGGGTAAGGTTGTGAAAGTCTTTCTTCATCGCTCTCGACTGACTTCGCAAGAGCGGGAATATAAGATCTTTCCAGTCTCAACAAGGCTCGGACCTTTCACAAGAATACTTGTTTCTCTCCAACAACATGCCTTCTATACTGGGACCTTTGAAGAGATCTGAAACCGGGGTTGCCTTGATCCTGCAACTAAGTCTCGCGGTGCTGGTGCAGACCGCTTCTTTTCGTCTGTACGATGGCATTCAACCGTCGTACCTCGAGGATGCATTTGGGCTATCTTCGCAATGCCTTCAAGCCTTGTACGTGCGGTGTCAAATTTCTACAAATGAAAACGATAAAGAGACCTGGCTCATAATTGAGAAAACAATGCAGAAACTCAACCCTGAATTGTGATAGAAAAACAGCGTCTAATGCTGCTTCCGGTCCAGACAACTTCGGTGAGTATTGCCGCACCCACTCTATTGTCTGTTATGGTTAATGCTAAAAGGAACCATTGCCGATCAGCCTGGGACACACAAAACATGACAGACCTTTGCACACCCGCATGTCATGAGTCGCTAACCACTTGGCTTTCGGTTGTTGACATCCAGTGTGACAGCGAAACCATGATCGGTAGCGGCGGTGTGAACACTTTAGCAAAAATTGTACCGACTATGTGGAATGATGGTTATGATCTTGCTTGTTTGCAGTCAAGGTATTTTGTCAACTTAGTGTCTATGAGCAAGTGTTTGAGGTTCAAATCTATCTGACTGTAGACACCTATAGTTCCTCCGATTGGTGCTACTTGGAGTCCCAAACATGGCAAGGAGCAGACTATATCAGGTATGATGCACCGGGTATCTGAGGGGGGAACACGATATGTTAATCCTTAGCAATGACCAGATACTCACCGGATGCATGCGACAATGCCGACGCGGCTGATAATCCGGCGTATTGTGAAGATCCGACTTGGACTTCTCAGAACATGACCACGGATATGATGAAGATCACAAAAATGTACAACGAATCTACAGTGTGTGATTCAATTCCAGCAGACAGATGCGTTGAAACTGATAACTCATATAGGTTTGCAGCGAGTGCTTCATAAAAATGTGGAGACAGCGGTTGATGTCCCCGAATCTTCCCGGGGGAGACTTTGGTCAATACCTTGTCAATCAATATAGAGACATCCAGGAGCATTGTTCAACATCTCTTCCAGCAACAACATATGCCACAAGCCTTCTTGTTGCAACAGCCACAACTGCGGCGACATCCGCCGCCACCACCACGGCTGCAGCGTTTACCTGCTCAGGCCAACTTGTACTACCAGGCGCGATCCTCTACTGTAATGATCTTACTGACACATACAATGTCAGCACCGGTGCTGCTATTCATGCCACGGGTGATACGGCTTGTCAATTTGATAAGCCAATCTGCCTACCTTTGCCCTGTGAGCTAGACACCATCTACCACTTTCCATCTTGGTGAGTCTCACCCTCATTGTGCGATGGATGATCTTGGCTGAAACAATTGACTTGGCGTTTAGCGAGGATCTGGCTGCACGGTATTCCACTGAAGACCATAATGTCACCTTAACGCAGTTTCTCAGCTGGAATCCTTATATACAGGGCTCGTGTGGATATCTCAACGCTGCTCAAAGGGTCTGTACAAGGTAGGCTGGAATCATGGTTCCCCAGTACACATGCTACGAACTGTTCTCACATGAATCGATCTTTCACAGCGCTCCTGGTGGCACTTATAACGCCACTGCAGCGATCTATGCCCCTACGGCCGCTGGCTCCTACTTTACTACCGGTAAGTAATCCATTGGCTCTCTTTGTTGATTTTTTTGCTCGCTTGTAAGGCTGCTGATGGTCTTGAGCAAGCTTCCCCTGCTCAGCCTACGCAGCCGGGAGCAACCACAGACTGTGGTCTGTACTATCAAGTAGCATCCGGAGACACGGTACGATTCCCCTCTCTGGCAAGTCTTTTCGGAGCACAACTAATACTATGAGTCTTCAGTGTAATTCAATTGCTCTTCGATTGTAAGTTTCATCGTCACTCTGCCTGGTTCGACCTAGTCTCACTCATATTGCCTCAGCGGCATCACCTTTTCCGAACTTCAACAGCTTAATGTGGATGTATGTCTCCTCCTGTGTTACAATTCACTCTCCCCTGAGAAATTGTCACTTACTGGTCTGCATAGATTACCGACACGTGCAGCAATCTTTGGCTAGGCTACGACATCTGCGTTGCTCCGGTTACCGCAGCGCCATTGTCAACCGATGGTCGTTGTGGACCGTCATTTGGCCACTCGACGTGCACAGGAACCTCTTTTGGAGAGTAAGTCATCGCCCCCTAAGCTTTCTTTGTGCAACGCAGCTACAGAGCTGACCATTTGCACGTTGTGCTGTTAAAGTTGCTGCAACTTGGACGGCTGGTGCGGCAGTACGTTTGATTACTGCGGCGCCGATACGTGCATTTCCGGCTCTTGTGACCAAGCCGCAGGGGCGACCTCCGATGGTACCTGCGGCCCCGACCATGGGTACACAACTTGCAACAATCCTAGTTTTGGCTCGTATGTTGCCTTGATATTCCTCTTTCGTCGAAGATCCCTGACGCAGAACGTGTAGGTGTTGTTCAGTCTACGGCTACTGCGGTAGTGGCAGCGACTTCTGTGGCGCAGGCAAGTGCTATTCGGGCAGCTGCGAGGCCGACGTCGGAGGCCCGAGCATCAATGGTGAGTGTGGACCGAATTTCGCTGGGAATAAGACTTGTACTGGTACGCAATTTGGGTCATGCTGCTCTGTAGCTGGGTACTGCGGCAGCACAGCCGATTATTGTGGGGCAGGCAATTGCTACTCCGGGGCGTGCGAGTGAGGTGCCGATTGGGTGGGGACCTAGGATATACACACATCGCAGTGCCATTTGGCCAAAGCACGTGCATGTGTCGACTTTCGTGGAGAAATACAATGATAAATTTATCTTATGACTAGCAGGGTGTCGACTTAATAGACAGAAACCGATGACGCCTCTCGCAGAGGTGGTGAAGAAGGATTGATTCTCCTACTGAGGCTATCTCGGAGGAACTAGCTAACGCAGCCGGGTGGGTGGCGAGCTGGCACCTCAGGCACCAAGGCCCGGGGCCGCCGTCAGAAACCAAGAGAACTGTCTTGAACGGAGTATGTGGGTGGTAAACCTGGCGAGCTCGGGTGTAAGACATATTGTGTATTATTTCCAAGCGTCTGCTAAGTTACTCTAACATCCCATTATTGATGGCTACCAATAAACTACCGATAATATCTAATATGTTTCTTTATATATATATATATATATAATTTTTAACAACTTCGAATAATTTTTTATAAATTTTTATAATTTTAAAATCTTTTATTATTTTCGTAATCTATTATTATAATAATACTTGATATATTCTATATTTAGACTTGCTAGGTATATAGTTCTAGTATTGTAACGTGCCATGCCAGGGATATCGTAGAGGACGGCAGAATTTCACCGCTTAACTCACCGCCCTTCGGGGAATGGTCATACTCATATTCAGCATAGCTAGTGATTAGTGAAAATACAACAATCATCCTCCTCTATATCGTGACCACCGTTACAAGTATTTAGTAAAACAACTAATAATATTAAGAATTTTTAATATAGATTTAAGTATATTATAGATCTTACTAATATTTATTATTCTGTAAGATGGTATTATTTATGGTATATTATAAATACATATTTTTATAGGAGTTTCTTGATAATTACTAGTAATTTACTGTATTACAAAGCGACCTGGCAACCTGGCGACGTGCGACCCTGTCTTAAACGCCCTACCTGCCCACTTATAAGTGAATGGACGACTACTTACCATACTGTACTGTAACTTACTGTAGATGTATGTAAAGTACAGTACAGTGTAAGGCAGAAACGGACCGTGCGTTTCGACTACCGATTAATTGGCTCCTAGCGTGACGAGGTTACCGTAGCTTTCCTTGACTTTCTCCTCAAGGTTATTTATTAAACCTTCTTTCCCTTCGTGCTCTTCGACTTTTTGGCAATTGGCAAAATGTTCCAACGGCTTATTACACATGTTTCTATCGGGCGATTCAACTTCGAGCTCTGTGCTGAGCTCCACAACCAGATCTTCGAGATTGCCTGGAAGGGAAGTGGACGAACCTGGGGCCATTTGCCCACGTGGTGGCAGCATTTCCAGCCGACTGATGCCCAAGCCTCGCATTATCACCCATGGATGATCGAATTCCTTCAACGTGTTTACTATCACCCTGATGCCCCTCCGCTTTTCTACTACATTGACCGTCTTGCCTCGCCCGAGGACCTAGTCGACGAGCATGTCAATGGTCTAGCGGAGGCACGCGACTGTTTTCTTTGGTTACATCATTCAACAGGTTGGATGTGTGGAGATGAATATGGGATTTTGTACAATACTACACTTGAACATGTAATGCAGCCACGTCTAACATTTCCGCTAGATTTGATCAGGTCGCATGCAAGGCCACTTTCGTGACCCATTGTGAAGATAATCTCGACCGAGTCAGGACGGGATACGGCTGGAAGCCGCTGGAAGATATCTACTGCGCATATCTGGCGATGATTGCGTCCCGAAAGGTTGAAGTCCGGCAGTGGCCCAGCGGCCGATGGGAGTGGGATACTGACACCGATAAACTCGCCAAATCTCCTCTTCAAAGGTTTGGTCCGTGGCGGTTCCATACTTATACTCCCACAGATGTTCAGCTGGCTGTCTTCGCCCTGCGAGATCTGCTGGATGCGATCGAGGCTCGCTTGCCGCCAACTGCAACCATACCCAACATCAATACTCGCAGTTCGATGATACTTCCCTGGTCAGACCCCGGCATTCGCGACGAGGCCCGGATCATCCGAAACAGCTTCGCAGGGGCTTTCTGCGACGCCACCGCGACCATCTGTACGACCACCACCCGACGATGCTTCCAGTACCTGGCCCCGGGGATCCGCCTCCCCACGATAGCAGAGTTCCGCGCACAGCCGTTCCGAGATTATGAGTATGCGGACTCGTCCTCGCAGGAGCTGTTTCATTTAAGGCCGATCCGACCCACCTTGTTGCTGGTCGCGGATCACGAAGGATCACTATCACTATCATCTTTACCATCACCCCTGACCCCACCAATGGTCATTCCCGACCCCGACATCACCATCAATTCCATCTTGTTCTCACGGCGGCAAGTCGATCTCCCGGTCCCCGCGAGACCCGCGGGGCTATATTTGAGCGGTGATGACAACGACAACCGCGCTTGGGAGTCTGGATGCCATCTACTTCTACCATTCAGCATTGGGGAGCAGGGCTGGGTGCGGCGCAGCGACGGGACGATCATGGGCACGGACTACGCGGACGATATAGTTCCGAGACCCGGGGCCACGAATTCGGAACTGTATCAGTGCGTGGAGAATGGGTGCGTCCCCTATCGCCATGTCCCAATTCACCAGGTGCTGCAAAATTGGGCAGAACGAGTGCGGGAGGGGGACTGGGCGGTAGATGAGAACGGGGTGTCGGGGGGGATTGGAAAGTGGAGGGAGGCGGATACGGAGGAGATGTGGGAGAAATACTGCGTGCCATTGAAAATTTATTAGAATAGATGCGTCAGTCAGTACACGCATCGTGTATACAAGCAGACTTCAGATCCTACTAAACTCGTTCCATCGATTTACGGATCTAGTTGTGACAGAGATGAGAGGCTTTGACAAATTACGGTGGACATTTACTTGCTTGCTGCAATACTGATGGAGCGTGAAGATGGTGGATTCCAGGCTATTGGCTATTTGGAAGGAAGTTACCGTAGTATCGTAGTATCTACACGCGCGGATGAGGGGGTGAGGTGCCCGACCAATCGGAGGCAGGGGAATAGGGGAATCCGTCAAATATAACTTGAAACCGGCTGCAGTGAAATTTAGGTTCTTCTCAGATAGTTACAGTACGAATCAGAGATTCTTCACGCTCTCATCACAATCAGACGAACCACAATATACATACTCAGAATGGGATTGGCCTCTCTTTACTACTAGTATCTCTAAAGTAGTAGTTACTGAACTCCATTCCACAGCCATTGGCTGGATCTATAGCTTAACAGTCTTTTTGCCCGAGTGGAGTGAAGCTCTGACAGAGGCCCTGGCAAGATGGCACCTTGTCCATATGCGCAGCTCACGTGACTCATAGTCAACCCCAAAGCAGTATCAGACAAATGACCAACCCTTAAGAGGCTCGAAAATCTTTGTGACCGAAATCATGCGACTGCTCAGACCAACTTTGGCCTCGAAAGTCCCAGCCGGGATCTCCCAGTCCTGCGTCGCGACATTCCAAAAACTCACATCTTTGCGAGTAAGCTCAAATGCCACGGTTTGACTTCCTCCCGCCTTGAGATGGATCTTCTCGAACCCTCGAAGCACCTTCACGGGGGTTCCAGCTGGGGTTGTGTCCTGCGGGAAAGCCAGGTATAGCTGAGGCACCGTCGCGCCCGCCAAACTGCCTGTGTTGGTCAGCTTGACTTTCACAGTGACGAGAACCTCATAGAGCTCGGGATTCCCGCCCGGCTGAATTGGCTTGCTCGGATCAGGGCGAGGGGAAACATCCCCCTTTCCGCTGGCGGTCTCGAGAGAAAGCCCCCCGATGGAGAAGTTGGTGTACGAGAGACCGTATCCGAACTCGTATCTGGGCATGATGCCTGCGTGATCGAAATGACGATAGTCGAAGAATTGCCCCTCCGTGAAGTTCACCTGGCGTCCATTCGGGTCGGTGATGTCCATCCATGGCGGTGAAGTTCACGATCGCGGTGTTGTAGTCGCTGGCGTTGTAGGCGACCGTGAATGGGAGCTTGCCGCTGGGGTTGACTTGACCTGTAATGACATCCAGGATCGCATTGCCGGACTCTTGGCCGGGCATGTAGGCCATCATCTATTGTAGCAAGAAGTCCTTTGGTCAGTAACTCACTATCCTTGGTTGTTATGTGGACGAAGGATGCAGCTCACAATAGCCGTGACGTTGGGATGATCCGCCCAGTCAAGAAGATTCGCATTGCCAGAATGGGTGACCACGATGGTGTTGTTACAGACCGAGGCGACAGCGTTCACCACCGCACTGCCATTGTTGTTGAGGTCGAAGTCGCTGTGATCCGGGCCTTCGGAGACGTAGTAGCGGAGGAAGACGAAGCATACTTCGGGGATGGGATAGATCGCCGCCCCGAAGCCCACACTGTTGGGCTTGAGCAACCCAGGAATAAGCTCATTGTCGGTTATATACTGGACCAAAGAGTCAGATCTCCCTTCGGCCCAGGTCTTGATTGCTTCCAAGGGGGAAACGAGGTAGGTGAGTCGTCCGGAACCGCTTCCACCCCCAGTAGCAAAGGTACCGATAAGTTCGGAGTCTGGGGAGGAGGCCAAGCCGGCTGACTTGTCCGCTGCATCGTTACCGAACACCGCGATGAAGCGGGGAATCTCCGTGATTGGCAGAGCACCGTTTTGGTTCTTGAGCAAGGTTACGGACTCAGCAGCAAGCTTGCGAATGAAGGTTCCGTGGTCCCCGCGCACGTCCCGATGCGCTTCGCCACCCACTGGCCAGCTATAGTTGGCCATGCTGGCAGAGAAGTCCCCGAGTTCCCTTGAGCTGGGGTCGATGAGCGGCCAGTCGGCACGATCCTGGTTGAGATAGAAGTACGGGGTCATCACGCGGAGCACGATGTCGTCCACGCGCGACGTCGATAGGGTTCCATTGTTCACAGCCTGGATGAGATTGCCACCGAAGAGGGAGTTGTCCCAAGACGTCCCCCCGAAGCCGACAGCGCCACCCGGCATGTCCATATCGAGTCCATTTTCAATGGCGTGAGCTCCGGACATCGTACCACCCCAGTCGCTCATCACATAACCTTGGAAGCCAAGCTCCTCTTTCAAAATGGCGTTGAGGGTCTGGTTATTCTCGCACGAGTAAGAGCCATTGACCCTCGAATATGCGCACATGACGGACGAGACACCAGCCCGGACTGCACTTGCGAAAGGCCACGAGTAGATCTCATGCATGGTGCGATCGTCGATGTTCGACGAGTAGCCCTGAATCGTCACCCCGTCCGTGTTTGGGGTAGGGTTCGCCCCCGTGGCCTGTTCATACCCGATGTAATGCTTCACGCAAGACTGCATCCCGGTAGACTGGGTCCCCACGATGTTTTGGTATCCGAGCTCACCACTGAGATACGGATCAGGCCCGAATCCTTCCCAGTTGCGACCGCCTAGGGGGTCTTTTCCGAGAGGTCCTACGACCGGCCTATCTTCGATGTTAGTTGCTTGCAGCTCGACCTTACATCTTGAAACACATTACCCAAGCATCACATTGGCCCCCTTGGCTTTAAACTCTTCGCCAAGAAGGACGCCACGTTGGTGGGCCAGCTCTTTATCCCAGCTCGCCCCAACCGAGACTCCCGCTGGGTACACACTGGCAAAGTCCTAGGGGAAAGAATTAGCATCGTTGGAGATAGCTGACAGCAGGAATGGAGGAATTGAAGGTTAAAGGAACGGATGTAGAGCCACTTACAGCTGGTCGAATTGCCAAAGGGCCATCTGCTAGCCAGTTAGTCAATAAAACCTCGAGGGTGGGATGGAAGACCTGCCTTGGATGCATAAGCCACGGAAGCCCAAACGTTCGATCGGGGCGATGGAGCCTGTACATGGTCTGACCCATCAGCTCTTGTGTTCACTTCCTTGCGAAGGAACAAGTCTCCATCCTACCCTGCAACCCCTGTCGCGATGTAGGCTTTCTCCTCGAGGGTGAGCTGCGCCAGGAAGTCTTCAGCCTTGGTGACAGCTTCTGACCAATCTCGTGATGCGTTACTGGCTGTTCCGAGGCACGTCAGTCAGCATTACCAGACAATGCTTAGTGACTCTGCTTAAGGAAACATACCAGCTTTACCTCCAGTAATCGCCCTGCACTCACCCCAGCTAATCAGGCTTGAGAGCAACAGAAGAAGCTTCCGAGACACCATGGCTGTGATTCTGCGTCGGACTGGCTCCAACTGATCTTGAATGACAGTACAAGTGCTGAGAGGCAAAAGCTCGATATTTATACACCAACAGGCAGGGCACGCTGAGAGGAGTGGCCGAATCGTCCGATCAGCTTCATACTGCTCCCCACACTGTACCCTAGTCGCGGTTAACGCCAAGACCATGCATGCGAAAGGAACGGACTGATGATTTGCCAGTATCAGGATCTTGTTGTGATATACTGCTTGCTAAGAGCCCGAGGGAAGGGCTTGGCAATTCGTATTGCCAGAATTCCCAAATCCAGTTAGCCATCTCCCCATCTGCCGGTTGACTATACCGAGAGTACTAACTACAATGGGTAGGAAAACAAAGCGCTGGAGGCTGGAGCCCTAATACCAAGCGTAATGCGGGGACTTGCGGGGACTTGCGGGGTACGTTTAGCGAGATTGCAGGCAACACTGCCAACTCCAGAATTTCGGCCTCGGATTTGTGTGTAGGAGTAGGATCGATATGTGCCAATTTCCATGATATCCTGGTCTAGTGCCAGACTCGATGTTCCCTGCCACCACGCAGCATCGGTTTCGCCTGGATGGCACGCCGATTCTATCCAAGCGCGAGAAACTAATCCGGAGAATTGAGACGGGGGGGCAGAGGAAATCGCACTTCAAGTCCCGCAATGGATGCAACGCCTGTAAGGGGAAACGGGTGAAATGTGATGAGACCAGACCGAGCTGCCGCAAATGCATCGCACGGGGCGTGGCGTGCCTATACCCAAACTTAGCCAGCTCACCTCGCAGTATCCACGGCGATGCCCTAACGCTGGCGGGGGTCAACCAAGTCGCCAGTGCTCTCCTCCCCGCGGAGTATCTTCTTCACCATTTCTGGACTCATACCAGTGGACGTTTGATCGGAGCACAGCGACAACGCATCTACCGGACGCACATGCTTCCCTTGTCGCTTTCTCAACCTTCGCTCCTTCACGCGATTCTGGCAGTGTCGGCGCGAGACCTCCTTCATCTTCAACCGGACAGGCACCGGTTGCTGCCCGTCTTCTATCATCATTACCAACAGTTCGCCACCCTCTACAACCGGGATCTGATGCAGCCCCGGTCGGTCCTGACCGCCAACCTGATGCACTCCAACGCCTTCCTGATGAATGTCCTGGTCGTCGCGGATCCGGCCTCAACGCAATCAACCTCATGGGTCACGCGAACCGGGCAAGAGGACATCGACCAAGCCTTCTCCTGGATCAAGGTGCAGGCGATCCACCAATCGATCCTCCACCCATACAACTCCTACCTCCCGCAGACCTTCTGGTACACGGAATTCGCAAAGGACCGCCACACTGTGCAGGCCCCACAGGCATCCCAATTCCAACAGGAACCGCACCTCACCGCCCACCTGGCCGAGCTATGCAACATTCAACCCGCCGACACCACCGACACCAACGTGTATCTCTCCGCCTACAACATCCTGTGTACTATCGGTGAAACACCCGCCGTGGGCAAGCATCTTGCCCCACAGCTGTTTGGCGTCTATATCCGGTTCTTCGTCGAGATGGAGTCACCCTTCGTGCAGCTCCTCCATCGGAAGGATGAAGTGGCTCTGCTGCTCCTCGCCGTCTGGCTGACTCAAATGCGGAGATTGGATCTCTGGTGGATGCGCGACCGGGCGCGGAACGAATACCGCTCGATTTGCGGGATGCTGTTGCGCAGTGAGGATTGGCGCATTCGCGCGCTGGCGGGGTGTCTGGCAGAACAATTTAAGGTTGTGATTACTTGAATGACTTGATAATTGCGAAGCTTGGTGAGATACGAGTACCTACTCCGTAATAGAATCTGTAATAGCCATCCTGGGTTACATCGGGTATCGGCCCGGGCCCGACAAGATGGACCCCTTGCGCACTCACGGGACTACTGCGATGGCCCTGAAAATAGGGATTTGAGGGCCAATCCGTGGTGAGGCCACACGTTTTGAGCAAAGCCCGGATAGGAACGGGCGGACTAACCCTGAGAAGTTAGAGATCGGTCTTCTGAGTCGAGCTTAACGAGGCCTCGGCCACAGTAGACACACACCAGTCTTCGAACACCGCGCTGCCAAGATCACGCTAGCTGGTGGGTCGTATAACGCCGTTGTTACAGCTCTGTAAACCATGGTCTGACTCAAAACTGGTCGTTGCATCTTTCACGCTTCGCCGTGGACGATGGAATTGAGTTTTGAGTCACCGGTTCCAATGCATAGATCACAGAAACCAGCAAGTGCCCTTCAGTCCAAATCATGTTAACCTTGTCCAGCCATGTCTCGCAATCACGGAGAGGAAGTTCCTCTAGGACCATTCGACTATGAATTGTGCGCAGAACTCCATAATCGCATTTTCCTGATCGCCTGGGCTGGAGCAGGAAAAACCCTGGAGAACAGCTCCATTCCAACCTGGTGGGGGCATTTTCAACCCTCCGAAGAACTCGCCGCGCGTTACCATCCCCATTTGGTCCGGTTTTTCCAGCGCGTGTACTACCACCCCGAGGCTCCGGAGTTCTGCTATTATCTCGAAAACCTGAACACTCCTCATTCCTTGATTGATGAACACTTCAACGACATATTCGACGGCAGGGATTGCTATGTCGACCTACATCGCGCCACGAGCTGGTACGACCCCAATGGCGATGAATGGGGGATCATGTAGGTTGCCGCAACTCACCACCTCCGTCTTCATCAAGATCGTGCCCTAAGCAAGGTGCATAGATTCGACCAAATCACCTGCAAAGCTGTCTTCGCCGAGAGCCGCGAAGCTACCCACCCGATCCTCAACTATGGTCACGGCTTCCGGCCGCTCGAAGACATCTATGCGGACTACCTCCAGATGATCACGGAGAACAAGATCGAGGCGCGGGTGGATGGGCAGTGGCCTACTGGGGATATCGGGACTGACACGCTATGTGACTCTACCTTTGATACGATCGGCCCGTGGCGGATCCATACGTATACCGCCGCCGATGTCGACAAGGCCGTGCAAGCCTTCCAGGACCTGGTCCATGAGATCGAGATCCGATTACCCAGCAGCAGCAGCAGCAGCAGCAGGGATTCCGCACAGCTAACCCTCCCCTGGTCCGACCCCGCCGTGCGCTCAGAAGCCCATCTCGTCCCCAACAGCTTCATCAACCGCTTCTGCACCGTAACGAGTGCGGCCATCCCCCGCCCGGTTCGCTTCCGCTACTTCGCCCCGGGAATCCGCCTCCCGACCGAGGCCGAATTCCGCGCCCAACCGCTGCGAAATCTCGAATATCAATCTGCCATGCGCCGTGCACTCCCCGTAGCACGGCCGCTCAAGCCCACTCTCCTCTTCCTCGCCGATGACCCCGCCGCCAACGCGCCGGGGCAGACGGTCACGACCGTCCCCAACCCCGATCTCTGCCTCAACTCCCTCCTCGCTGACTTCGGCGACGACAAGCACCGACGAACCGCGGCCCCGCGCCCCGCCGGCCTGTATCTCACGGCCGACGATCGCAGGGTCAAAAGCTGCGAGAACGGCTGCCGCCTGCTGCTGCCGTTTGGGATCGGGCGCCACGGCTGGGCCCGCCTCAGCGACGGCACGTGCATGGGCGGCAATCCGTGGTTGGATGAGGACCCGGCGGATGCCAATTATGATCTGTATCAGTGCGAGTTCAACGGGTTCATCCCCTTGCGTGACACCCCGCTGCACCAGGTGCTGCAGAGCTGGGCGCAGCGGGTGCGGGCGGGGGATTGGACTGTGGGGGAGGATGGGGTGGCCGACGGGGTGGAGCGGTGGCGGGAGGCCGACACGGAGGCTGGCTGGCGGAAGTGTTGGGTCCCGGTGCGGTGGTGATATGGCTGGTACTGTGGTTGTAGAGGAGGATATGTAATGTTTATCTGTGATCATCGTGGGATGTCCTGGATGAGTAGGGCATGTCGCACGGGTAACGTTCTCATCGCAGATCACTTCCTCGTCTTCATCTCAACTCTCTGTCTTGGCTTCTGGGAAGATTATGCTAATGTTGTAGCTGAGATAGATCCTTGACGAGGACCATACTCGGTAAAGGTATATCGGTCTGCTGAGGGAGCCTCCCTGGGTTGGGGACTCGCTAGGAACGACAGTAGTGCAGTTGTGCGTTCGTGACATCCACCATGGGGAAGTCACGGGTGAAAGTTGTGGCGAGCAATAGCACGGACAGTTCGGTTCATCCCTGATTTATACGCCACATAAATTAGCTCGTAGACAGGTTAGCTATGGGAATTGGGGATGTTTGAAAACCTTTCAATCAAAGAGATAATGTTGGTTCCTCCGGCTTACTTTGTACTACACACAAGCCTTGTGTTGATACATCGCTCAGATGAGGTGATACAGAGCTGCCTACTTGCTTACTGATTGCGTCAGCATCGTCTCCAGACCCTTTCTGTATGTTTGTACTTTGCTTCCTGACAGAAGTTCGCTAGACTCAATTGCCAAATTGACAATTAGTTGTTGACAGTTGTCGATTCTCTCTTGCTGGGGATGGCGTGGGTGGTCCGTGCACGGTCGCCCGGTCGCATCACCCACGGCTTGCCCTCTGTTGACCGCAGCTCAATTCACAGTTTGTTTACAAGTAGCATGGATGATCCACAGAGGATTTTCCCGGGATCTACTGAGTATATTGCAAGTCCTTGTCTTGAAGAAGATGAATTCACGCTAATTCTAAAGTGGATATTTGAGTGGGATTTCTAGCTTACTTTTATTATTTCTTTCCTATTTTCACAGGATCATCATGATGAAGTCAACCACGGCGCGGATCGCACATCAAAAGTGGAGACAGCCTTTCCACACTGGACAAGGAAGAAACCGCCTGCAGAAACCCCCCTCCAAGAAAAGACTACATCATGTCGGGAGAGTCAGGGAAAAGTCCGAGCCAGAAGTCACCAAGAGTGTTGTGCACTTCCCACCAGTCGACAACGGGAAAACCCGGTGGACCCGTTCTCAGCCCCAATTTGCCACCCCCACAGGCCACAACAGCTCCAGCTCTTTGTCCGATCAGACCACCTTCTCGTAACCCTTATAAGGTAAGAAAGTACCGTGACCACCGGCAACAAATCGCCAAAGTAGCATGATTTCGGCCGAGCGACGGTAAACACTGGCCGGATTCCCCAAAGCCGTGAAATCTGGGCGCTGACCTCATTCGCGTCCCATTCCACGGTCCGGTGGCTGTTCCTCTGCTCACCCTATAATATACCCGATATCCAACATTATTGACTATGTAAACCCTTCCCAATCCATGTCACCACACACACCACACATACCACACACACCCCCCATAATGCCGTTTTTACCACTCTCGCAAGTCCGTCGTCTACGGGACGAGCTCCAGGGCACCAACGCGGAAATTTCCACGTGGGGATGCGAGGGCTACGGCGATAACATCAAGCAGTGGAGCGATTCATGCGATGAAGATGTCGTGAGTTTCTGCCCCTCCCCAACGAGACAGGACATGACCAGGACTGATGAGACCAGGGCGCAGTGGTCCGAGTGACCTGCGCCGACGAGGCGGCGATCGTGGTGCGATTCGTGACCCGCCACCAGATCCCGCTGGCCGTGCGGGGCGGGGGCTACTCGACGAGCGGCAGCTCGACGGCGCGCGGGGGCATCGTCCTGGACCTGGCCAAGCTGCGGCGCGTGCGCATCGACCCGGACGCGCGCGTGGTGGCCGCCGAGGGCGGGGCGCTGTGGGCGGACATCGACGTGGCGGCGGCGCAGCACGGGCTGGCGGTGGTGGGCAGCACGCTGAGCCACATCGGCGCGGCGGGGGCGACCCTCGGCGGCGGCTACGGCTGGCTGACCGGCCAGTACGGGCTGGCCATTGACAACCTGCTGTGGGCGAAGGTGGTCCTCGCCGATGGGAGCATCGTCATCGCCTCCGAGACGTCCCACCCCGACCTCTTCTGGGCGGTCCGCGGCGCCGGCCAGGAGTTCGGCGTCGCCGTCGAGCTCGGGTTCCGCGCGCATCCCCAGCGCAATGCCGTCTTCGCGGGCACGCTGCTCTTCGCGCCGGAGAAACTCGCGATCATTGTCGATTTCGCCAATCGGTTTGAGCGGCAGACGGACGGCAAGCAGGGTCTGTGGTTCGGGTTCACGGTTGCGCCGGCGATGACGCAGTGCTGTATTCTGGTCGTGGTGTTCTACAATGGGGACCAGGCACGGGCGGAGCAATTCTTCGCGCCGCTGCTGAAGGCGGATCCGCTCGCCAACACCGCGGGGATGATTCCCTACGACAGTCTGAATGGGATTCTCAACACGACGGACACGCTGCACCGCCGCGGGAGCGACACCGAGGTCAACATCAGCTACCCGCTGGACGTGGCCATGGGCCCGCGGAAGAGCATGCGCGGGAGCAACGTCACCCTCCCGCTGGACCTGGGGTTCGTGCAGTCGGTGTACGAGGAGTTCAACGGGGTGCTCACGGAATGCCCGCAGACCCGAGATAGCAGGCTGCTGTTCGAGCTGCTGCCGAATGCGCAGATCATGCAGGTCCCCGACGAGGCGACGGCGTTCGCGAACCGCGGGCCGTACTACAATGTCAGTTGTCTGTTTCGGTGGTACGATGCCGATCTGGATGCGCAGATCCGGCTGGCGCAGGCCAGTCTGTTGGGCCGCATTGCGACGTCGGCGGGGATCAAGCGGCCGGGGTATCAGGGCCCGAGACGTGGCACGGGCATCTATGCCAACTATGCTGGTAGGACGGCCTCGTCGTGGATGGGAGGAAAGACAGCTAACAGAGGACAGGCCACGATGTGGGCAGCGAGGAAATATTCGGAGACAACTTCCCCCGCCTGCAGGAGCTCAAGAAGAAGTACGACCCGCACAATACGTTCAACAAGTGGCACCGCATTAGGGTTCCGGAGAACGGTGGACAATAGGCTGCAATCTCATGCAAAAGCCTGCCCAGTGCTACAGAATGCGGCACTGAGTGTCCAGGGTCACTCGGCAAGATACTATCCGTATGTGACATGGACTTGGACATCCGCTTAAAACTCAGCAACGGTCCATTGGTCGGACATGTATTCTATACCCGTTATGATCTGCACACGGTGCAAGATCACCTATTCCGGTTGAATTAATATAAGCCTAATGGTTGAATTGATGATGCATGATTAGTAGATTGGACATTCCTCTCAGATGGAGTCAACCGATAGCGTAGACCAAACAGCCCCGATACCCCAACCCTGCAAAGCCGGAGAAGATCAGCCAGAATACACGAGAATCCCTTCGTATCCCACTTGCCAAGCGGTATCCTCCAAAGCTCGGAGCCGACGACCGGGGAAAATGCGGAGTCTCGTCGATGGGTGTCGACGGGTCTGGAACGACCGCGGTAAACCTTGCGGTTCTCGTAATGCCCTGTGGTTCATTGTTCGGTCGCGAGTGTATAAGGTTCGGTCAGAGCGTCTGGTTTGACGGGAACCTCGCCACCGCCGAACCAAATTCCGTCCGAGGAAGCTGTTGCTCTGCTCGGTGGATTCCTCCGAGCTCCTGACAGCTTGCTTTTGAGCTCTGTAGCAGCATTGCCGCAGCGATCGAAACGCAAGCTTAGCGTACTTTGACCTATGCAAGATGACCCGTCTTTCGTGCCGACGCGCGATCGAGCTGAAAGCGACGCTGCAGGACACCCGGGCGGAGGTGCACACCCCAGGTGATGGGGACTACGCGGAGCGCGTTCGCGGTCTCGAGCTGGGTGAGGCCGAGTCGGTATGTCTGTATGCATTTAAGCTGGTGTCATGATTGACAGAGGCAGGGCGCCATCGTGCAAGTCACGACCACCGACGAGGTTTCGCGCGTTCTCAGCTACGCGAGTAAACACCACATCCCGATTGTCGTCCACGGTGGCGCCTTTGCAACGAGTAGTTCATCGGGGGAGGAGGGGGGGATCGTCATCAGCCTGGCGCGCATGTCCAAAGTGGTGGTTGATCCGGCATCACGCACACTGGCCGCTCAAGGAGGCGCGAGATGGGAGGATCTCGTCGGCGTTGCGGGCGCATCGGGCCTCACGGTCGTTCCGGTCACCGGGGATGATACTCCAGCCGACGCAGGGACTGGAGCAGGAAGTGGCTGGTTGACGGGGTGCCCTGGCCCGATTACCGACAATTTAGTGAGTGTCAAGATAGTCCTGGCGGATGGGAGCATTGTCACAACGTCGAGCACGGAGAAGCCCGATCTCTTTTGGGCGCTGCACCATGCCGGAGGGGTGTTCGGTCTTGCCACTGAGTTGGTCTTTAGGGTGTATCCTCAGGGGAGGCAGGAAGGGCCTACGAAAAGCAGTGAGGCAGATGGTGGTATGTTCCGCCGCTTGAGAGTCCCCTATCACAGGGGGGCAAATACTGTACGATACTAATCTGTTCAGGGCCGAAAGACGGTGGAGAATACTCTGGCGAGGACGATCTACCACGCTTACAGAAACTGAAGAGGCAATATGACCCTTATGGGCTGTTTGGCAGCCTGGACGGTGCCTCCTTCGACACGCGAAAATAGCTTCTTGGTCGCGTTCGGTGGTGTCTGGCGTGGCTATGCTAAAATCCAACCATATGTACGTACGAGTCAATATATCACCCTTTGACCCCATTATTTGTAATTCTTCTGGTTTATACATCCACCTATTTACACAATTTCTTTCCTCCCGGGCCTCGCCATGATATCCAGACACAGCGGGCATGTGTTCCTGCCACTCATAACCCAGCCATCCAGACAGCGATCGTGGAAGACATGTCTGCATGGGAGCAGGTAGATCAGTTGCATCTTGGTGACGACTTCCAGGCAGATGGGGCTACACACGACGTCAGTGGCTTGCTATTTCAGACGCGACAATGCTCGACATCCGCGACCCGCACTCACCAGATAGCAGGGCTGTTATAGCCCATCAGTCTGCTCCGCTCCGTCTGGATGGAAGCCCACCAGTCTCCGTAGAGATCCTTCACCACGCTCTGCTGGAAGTAGAGCAGTCGCCGTTCCTCCGAGTTGCGACTCGTGTACGGGAGGATGGGCTCGAAAGCAGTGTTTGGGGGTGTAAAGTCTGCCTCGTAGCGGCGTTTGACGATGACCCTGGTCGCGATCAGCATTCAAGTGAAGACTCAGCTAACGAGCCACGACTTACAGCATGAACACTGTTATCGACAGGACGATGATGTAGAGAACACAAAGATAGAGTGGAAGTTCGTCCTGCTTAGGCGGGAGGGTTCCATACTCGGCGTGGACCCAGGCTGGAGCCCTCAAAGGCGGCGGGCGAGGGCTGCTGGTGGCTGGTCGTTGTACGAAGGGCGGTGACATGGTTCGTGAACAGACATTCGACGACCTTTTGCACGAGAAGGTATTCGTGCAGCACAGCCGTTCATCTTGATCGTAAAACTGGAGCTCGCAACAGAAGTCAAGTACGATTCATTGTCTGGTTTACGAGCCAACAATGAATAATATAGTGATCTGGGGGCTGGAGAACTTGATATTCGGGAAGCAACCCGACCCCGGGAACTGCTCATCATTCTCATGTGATATACGGGGTGCATGAAGGGGGAGATCAGGGTGATCATGCTGAGGCTTCAGCCTTTTACTGGAAATGGCCTGTAGCCATGGATGCAATACGCGGGGTTTTATGGTTTGGGTTCGCCGCATCCATACATTGGCCCGTCACGCGACCCCCCACTACAAAGCCCTCGCGGCCGTCGATCCCCTCCCCCATTCACCGCTTCTCACACTCCACACTCGGAACCATGTCTTCCTGTGAGACGTGAGACTCGGTCTTTTCACCCTTCTCAACACGATGTCAGTAGAGCTGGATCGGAGACGAGGGGAATGCGAAGGCCCAGGCAGTTCTAGCCGATGTCTGGGCTGTGCCCGCGACGGCCCACGCCTTATTCGGCTGAACCAGGGCACCAGATCTGCCTTCACGAATAGGTGAGCTGACAGGGCTGAGTCACTGAGGAATCACGAGCCCCCCGCAAGAGATGTATAAATCAGGCCCTGCCAATCCCCAACCTCGATTGGCAGGCAGGAGATCATTTCCCAACGCTCACATGTTACGCACACACCATCATGACCACTCGAAATCGTCGACCACATACAGTGTGGTTGATAGGTGGTGGGGTCGAGTCCTTGGTTGCTGCCTCTTGTCTGATAAATGAGGCCAAGATCCCCGGCAATCGAATCCGTATCCTCGACTCAAGGGGTCAGCGACAGCCTAGTGGCACTATCCGAAATACCAAGTCGACACGCAAGCGGTTGATCACGTCTAGTACGAGTCACTGCCAGGAGCTGCCATGCGCATCAGCCCAAGAGCCGCATCGGCCTCAACCCCTCGGCGTACCCGCCTTCCACCATGACGAAACCCCTGCGACATGCACCCGAGACCGCACCGAGGCCTTCATGGCAGAGCCGATCCATTTCCTCGGTCATCTCGGCCGCAAACAGGTCTGGCGCAAGAACCGCAAGGACATCCTCCACTTCCTCCTGCAGGACGAGGAAGCATACGAGGGGCTGAGCATTCAGTTGGTGTTCGATGAGTCCTTCTTCGACACCTACTTCTGGAGGCTATTCTCATCAAGGTAAATCCCGTCTTTCCCTGACGCATCCTGTCTCCGGCTGGGGAACCCGATGCTAAAGGGGGTGATGTCGGGCTCCAGTTTTGGCCTACGCCCATCGCACTCCGCCGTCGAGTTCCATCGCTACATCAGCAAATACCTGGACGAGGTCATCGGCAACAGCATCCAGATCGCTGACCCACTGCAACTCTCCCTACGGAAGACCGTCCTCCAGCCGCTGCGAGCCTACCTTCGCAACCAGGGGGTCGAGTTTCACAACCTCCACGTCACCGATATCCACTTCCACCCGGACCACTATCCTCAAACCGCCAGCGGAATCCAAGCGATTGACCCCTGCGGAAATCCTATGGTCTTGCCTGTACGCGCAGAGGACATCCTTATCGTGACCCTCGGCTCCGCCGCATCAGGCATCGCGACCGGCACCCCCGTCAGCCCTCCGCCCGCCCTCTCCACCAGCACCCAAAGCCTCCTCGACGATCCCAGCTGGGCGCTGTGGGTTGCCCTCGCCAGGAAATCCTCGCAGTGCGGCAACCCGGCCTCTTTCTGCACCCATCTCCCGGAATCGCGCCTGGGGATGTTCGTCATCCACCTGCCGCAAGCCGAGTTCAACGCCCTCCACCACCGCGTCCTGGGCACCCATCCCGCCGTCGATGCCACCATCGCAGAGAGCAACTGGTCATTGAAGCTCGTCTTTCCCCAGCAGGCGCAGCAAGAGCACGATGAATCCCACCGCTCCATTTTAGGCTATGGCTTCACGCCGGACGCACCGGGCCACCACATCCAGAAACCCATGCCCGCATGCAGCGGCGACGAGATCCTCGCCGAGCTCCTCAGCAGCCTCAACATCCCACCCGCCCAGATCATCCCCAAAGCCAGGACGGTGCCTTACGTCCTCCCGCTGGGATTGTCGCCGCTCCTTAAACGCGACCCCGGCGATCGGCCGGATATCACCCCCTCGGATCTGGTGAATCTGGCGCTAGTGGGCCAGTACGTGGAGATTCCCGAGGAGACGGCGCTGATGACCGAGTACAGTGTGCGGTCGGCGCAGCTGGCGGTACAGCGGCTGATGGGGGGTTCGTCGAAGGTGAATGTGTCCGAGGTGCATAAGTCGTTTCTGGCGGCCAGGTATGGGCGGAAGGGCGGGGTGGTGTCTTGTCGGTAGTTCAGCGGCGGGCGTTATGTTGAGCGTGTGCTTTGGGGATGGGCATGATGGTTAATGAAGCTGAATATCAATCCTTGTTCTTTGGATAACCACACATCCACTCCGTCAGGTCCGGTATCTACCCCCTGGTAAACTTGCAGCTCAAATCTAGATTCCAACGAGACGGAGCGAGTACCAGGAATAACACTATCTGCTGTTCAATCGTAACACTCCGGTCCTGCACCACTGGACGCTGCCACCTCACTTCGACTCCACCCTCGCCAACCCCTTAAGCTCGGCCCCAACAACCCTAACCGCCTCCTGCCACGCCTCCTCGTCCCCGCACAGCCTCGCCCGCAGATACGCCCACGTCACCCGCTGCACCACGCCGACCCGCTCGACGCTCTCATCCGTCGTCTCCCTAGCATCATACCCCGCGATGCCGCCCAGCCCATGCGTGGCCGCCGCCACCGTCAACAGACTCTTCGGCGCGGGGCCGTGCACGTACGCATCGGCATGCCACTCGGGCCCGCGCACCGTCAGATGCGGCGACGCGTCGGCGTCGCCGACCGCCACCAGCGCCGGGGTGCGCATCTCCGCGAAGCTCGAGTCGCGCAGGAAGGCGTACCGCTCGGCCGCCGCGGGGCTGAGCGCCTCCCCGCCGTTCCCGATCGGCGTCAGCAGGACCCCCGCTTGGATGCGCGGGTCGAACAGATCGACCACGCGGCCGTCGGCCGGGTCCGTCAGCCGCATCCCCAGGAGCATGGCGGCCGTGTGCGACCCCATCGAGTGGCCGGCCACCGCGATGCGGGTGTGGTCCACTCGGCCTTTGAGCATCGGGGCGAGCTCCTCGATGAGCGCCAGGTGGTCAAGGATCAGTTTCATGTCGTCCACGCGCGAGCGCCAGAACAGTGGGGCGCCCGCGACTGAGGGGTCGAGGCTGAGGGACTTGGAGCTGAGGTGGGTCGGTTGAACGACGATGAAGCCCCGCGCGGCCCAGAAGTCGGCGAGTGGGCCGTAGCCGTGAAGCGAGGAGAGGTGGTTTGAGAAGCCGTGGCCGTGCGAGAGGAGGATGAGGGGGAGGGGCCCCGGGCTGTTGGCGGTGGTGCTCGGGGCGGTGATGCGCATGTGGAGGTCGATGATGCGGTTGGGAGCCGGCAGGATCACCGGGCTGATGGAGATGGTTTGCTCGGGGGCGGCGGCGGGGATCTTTGCGGCTTGGCCGATGAGGGCATGGTCTTGCGGACGCCGGGCGCTGGAGGAGCTGGAGGTGGTGATGGTGGAGTGGTCTTGAACGGTCATTTTGGGGTTTGGTCTCTTTCCTGTCTGGAGTCTGTGTGTGAGTGTGTTCTTTGGTAAACGCTGGTGGAGTGCATTTATTCGGATGGAATGACGAGCTGTATTTATAATATCCATGCTTCGGCTTCGTCGCAGTAGGGTCTGTAGGGATTTGATGCTGTCAGACTGTGTCAGAGCTTATAAGACCAACAAGACACTAAGCCCAGCCAAGAGAAACTCGCGAATGCCATGATGTACTTTAAGCGACCATCGAGGATAGCGTCGGAGTTAGACTCGGTTCAAAACCCGAGGGTGCCGTGACTGTCCTTTATCTCCACTAACTCCATTGCTTAGAAATGTAGTCTCATTCTGGTCAACTAATTCCATCAAAGTCGCAAAATCAGTCTCAGTAGCATGCAAGCTGGATAGTACAGGTGTAATGGCACAAGGTCACACCCGGCGCCAGGCCAGCAACCCTTCGCCTGCCAGTATCTCCCGACTGCCTTGCTCTACCCCAGTCTCACCATGTCGTAAACAAAGCACATCATCCCTTGGATCTCACTTCTTCACACTTGTTTCATCCAGTACCTCCTCTCCGAGCTTTACCATGTATGCCCTTCACCGAGAAGCCGGTAAACCGCCTTGGCCGCAATGACCGTCGAATAGATCCCAACGCAGAGAAAGCCCATCCACTCGCACACCAGCAGCACCCGCGCGTATGGATCGAAGCACCACTGGATCACGGTGGCCGCTCCCTCACAGACACACAGATCCTTGCGCAAGGATAGCTCGTCTCTCAGGGCTCGGGCCCAGAGCCCGGTCGCAGGGAGGGTCTTCCAGAACAGGAGGTTCCACAGGTAGTCGATCGCGATGGTCGAGTAGAGCTGGGCGAAGTAGGTCGACACGAGCAGGCCGCAGCGGCTGTGGTTGATCAGGTAGGAGATGCTGCAGTAGAGGAGGAGGCCCGCGGCGAGGGGCGAGGAGTCGGTGATGGCGGTGAGATGGCGTTTGATTCCTGGAGCGAGGTTGGTGGTCATGATGAGGGTGAACGTGAGGACTGCGAGCTGGTTGATGAGGGCGGCGATCTGGGTCATTGCGGTGGTTGTCTTGAGGGTTTGGTCTGATTTTGTGGAGGGAGGTTGATTTCGGTGGGTGGGTGGGAGTGGAGATGGTGGGAAGTTGTAGAGTAGAGGAGGAGGTTGATATTGGATTGGACTAGCTGGTGATAAGTGTTATGTTTTGAATGACGGAGTGTGTTGTGGGAGGAGTTCTGTTCTCATGAGGGCCGTATGTACAGGTCTGGCTTCCGATTGCGATATTCACTTGAAGTACCATGAGAACGGTGCTATTTCCACATGAATGCTCCAGCCATTCATTGCCACCACGTGTGGCTGGTCCCTGTGATGATGAATCTCCTTATCATATAGATGAAGATAAAGGAGGGAAACCGGTGAATATGATCACCTCATGCTATTAACTCGATGTACCCAGTACCGCTCCCACTCCTGTCCGGCGTGTGTCTTCTGCCATACCCCAGTGCCCTTGCCAGGCTCGTCTCATTTTTTTTCTGCCAGGATAAATGCTGAAGTAATTCAATTATCCTTGGGGGGGTCACGCTGCGGCCTCGAATGGTCATTGACTGGCGATAAACGCATTCCCCAAGAAATTCGAAAGATCTGATTGTCGAGTTGAGCGTATGGTTCGTCCTTGAGACGGTTGGGAAGATCTCATATTGCTGGATAGCTCGATGATAAGGGATATTGAGCGAAAAATATCGAAAGGACGGAGTGATTGGCGCGGCTGCCCAGTTTATATACCCTTGGAAAGTCCGGTTTTCTATCCATGCTCAAGATAGAAGCTGATCATTTCCGACACACCGTTTCCGAAGGAACCTTACGCTAAACATCTGAAGTCCAGAAATTTTCAACTCTGAGTTTGCATCAAGGATTTTTTTTTTTTTCTTTCTGTTTTTCCCCCTTTGTTTTTTCTTCAAGGGAATAGCGTTGCCATGCCCAGACGCGTCGAAACCGAGATACGCCTTTACCAGGAGCGCGCTGAGTGTAGCATATTTAGGCAGACAAAAAAATCATGAGCTTGAAACTTCAAAGTCTAAAGAACGGGACCAGGGCATTTGAAGCGAGTTCGAGCACGAATACGGAAGCGTAAACACAGCCAGCTGCGTGGCTCGACTGGCTCGACCCGTCGATTATCTTATCTCCAAGTGATCTCGGACTCGGGTTCGGCTTCGTATTCGCACAAGAGGGTCTAGAGTCACGATGTCGGTCGACTACAGCTCTTCTTATCCCAAAACATGCAGTGGACCAGAGTACCAATTTTAGAATTGTTCTTGAAGATCTATACACTGCTGCCTGCACACTCGCAAAGCTTGATTCAAGAGTTGAAGTTTGTGTCGTACATATATTTAGCATTCGCACCTCAATTCTGCGTGTTTAACCCTGACTTCGATCCTACTCTATACTCACCGATCCAGACCAAAACAATCGAAATGACGGAAACAACCCTTTATGCTTATACACCGTCCGTGACGTGCGCCCTGCTGGCGCTGTTTCTCTTCCTCGGTGCCACCGCGTACCATCTCTGGTTGCTAATTCGGAAGCGCGCATACTTCTTCACAGCCTTTGTGATCGGCGGCTTAAGTATGAGCTTCGTCTTTCATCTCCAACCCAAGACTCAGCTAATGCGGTCGCAACAGTCGAGACAATCGGGTACGTCGCGCGGGCCGTGAGCGCCCACCAGAAACCGAACTACAGCGTCATGCCCTACGCCCTCCAGAGCCTCTTCATCCTGATCGCCCCGTCGCTCTTCGCTGCTTCCATCTACATGATCCTGGGCCGCATCGTCACCCTGACTGACGGCGACTCGCGGTGCTTTATTCGCGCGCGCTGGATGACCAAGATCTTCGTCCTCGGGGACGTGCTCGCCTTTCTGATGCAGTGCGGCGGTACGATGCACCTCCCCGGACTCTATTCCGCAAACTGGAACTGACAATGTCTCGCAGGCGGTGGTATCCTCTCCAGCGCCAAGACCAGCAGCACGCTCAAGCTGGGCGAGAACGTGATCATCGTCGGCCTGGTCGTGCAGATCCTCTTCTTCGGCTTCTTTGTCACCGTCGCCGTCGTCTTCCACAGGCGCATCACCGCGAACCCGACGTCGACTGCGATGACGTTGTGCGTACCGTGGAGGAGATATCTGTGGGTGCTGTACGCGGCCAGCGGGCTGATTCTGGTTCGCTGTCTCTATCGGGTCATCGAGTATGCGCAGGGCTCGGCGGGGTCGCTGCAGAGCCATGAGGCGTATGCTTATGTCTTCGACGCGGCGCTGATGCTGATCATGATGGGAATCTTCGTGGTGTATCATCCGAGCCAGATCCTTGATCGCGGAAAGAATATAGCTGAGATGGACCGGCTGTATGATAGGGTTTAGTAGGGAAGTGGAATGTTGCGTTGTGGTCGGGGTGGTTATTCTGGATTCATTTAAAGCTTCGCGTGTCTTAGCAACATGTAGACAAATTGCAATGACATTAGCATACAAGACAATATGGCCGAGCGGTCTAAGGCGATAGACTAGAAATCTATTCTCTTCGGAGGCGTCGGTTCAAATCCGACTGTTGTCGTTTTTTGCTTCTGGCGGTTTTTCCCTGGGTGGGTCTTCGCGGGAATAGCTTCATGGATTGGACTATTTGCATTTTGACGCCTGATTACACAGGCAGAAGCAAGTGAGGAGCGCAGTGATATGTTCCTCCCTTGAGAGGCTTTGATGTATCCATAAATCCAACCATGTATCTGCGCTTTCCATGAGCACACTCAAACAACGTCTGAACCTGTCACTAGTTCGTGCTGCCCTCTTCCACATGCTGAGCCCTCCCACTCCACTCAGCTTTGGGCTCCATCATTTCGCCCTCCGCGCCTTGCACTGACTTGTACGCGACCTGATACACTGTATACCAGGGCCGCTGGAAAAGACCATCCAATTCCTCCAGCGACCTTCCCGTCGTATCCTACTCACATTAGCCCCGCAAGACTTTCAACAGAGCCCAGCGAACAAGGGCGACTCACCGGCATCGCGAAGTAAACATAAACCAAAGACACCAAGCAGACGCAGGCGAAGAACACAAACGCCCCCCACTGATGCGTGGCCGCCAACAGACTGGGCATCGCGCGGGAGCACCCGAAGTAGAAGGCCCAATGGAGCGCCATGGAGATGGAGACATTGAGCGACCGGATGCGGATGGGGAACACCTCCGACCCGACCAGGTACGGGATACTGAACCAGCCGATGCTCCAGGCGACCGCGTGGAGGAAGATGGCGACGATGGCGGCGGTCGAGGCCCGCGACGCACCGGCAGATGCCCGAATCTCGGCCGTAGACATGGTCTGCGTGGCGCCGAGGTACGCGGCCACGAAGACCAGGGTGGTTAGCTGGAGGCCGATGCCGGCGAGAAGGGACCGCCGCCGGCCGAGGATGTCGACCATGAACAGGGCGAAGAACACCGTGCTGGTGAACTTGACAATCCCGTAAATGCCGGTAGTCAGAAAGGTGGTCTCGTCGCCCGAGATGCCCAGGTAGGCGAAGATGCTGGGCAGGTACTGCGTGATGGCGTTGGCGCCGGACCACTGCGAGAACAGGGTGGCCATGAAGATGAGGAAGAATCGGCGGCGGTTCTCGACGGGGACGAAAGTTTCTTTCAGTAGGTCGAGCAGGCCGGCGTTGCTGGTGGATTCCATTTCGTGGAGGATCTGTGCGTCCATCCCTGCGAGTTCGCTCTGGACCACGGGGTGATCTCGAGGGAGGCCGCGCAGGCGAGACATCGCTGTGGTTGCCTCGTCTGATCTTCCACGCAGGAGGAGCCAGCGGGGTGACTCGGAGCAGAAGAAGGAGCCCGTGATCCAGATAACCACCGCAGCCAGTTGTAGGAGGGTAGGGAGCATCCATTGTATGTCCACGCCCGGATACTGTTTTGTGACTCCGTAATTGATGAAGAATCCCAGCACCACGCCTAGTTGTTGGCAAGATGCAAACAGGATGGTGAGAAGTCCGCGAATGACTTTCGGCGAGATCTGGAATGTGAATGACAGTTGAGAACAGGAACATGGGGCGGATTGTACAACTTACCTCGGTGATGTAGACAGGCGGCACAATTGAGAGAGGTCCAATACCCAGCCCCGCGATGAATCGCGAGGCATACAGACCAGATAGATTACCATGACAGAGGCCTTGACCGAGAATGCCTGCCAAATAAACGAGGGTAAAGATCCGGAGGGTCCAGCGTCGACCTAGCTGATCATTGACGGGCGAGCACTGTTTTAGAGTTGGTTCATAGTCAGATTAAGCCAAGACTGCTCCATGGCTAGTCTTACCCCAAGGCATCCAAAGACAGCACCGGCGGTGGCGATGGAAACAATCCAGCCCTTGGTATTGGAGTATTGTGTGGGACTCTGCGTGTCAAGGCCAAATCGAACCTTGAAGTGAGACTGCGAGACTAGAGATGCGATGTTTCCTGGCATGCACGGGAGATATCAGCACTTTACACACTCTTTAGGTGAAGCAATACCTAGGTAAAGTGATACCACTTACCCTCATCGAACCCCTTCGATACTCCAGCGAGAGCAAACACACATGTACAGAACAGAACATGGCGATTGAATGTGCCCTCGGGGGCATCCTTCATAGCCTTTCTCGCGTCTGCAATGAGACCCATCGTGATGGTTAGCGTCTGCAAATGCTTGCTCAACTTCACCCCACGGACGCATGAGAAATATAGATCTTCTCCATTGTACCATTCCCTCGCCCCGCATTTCCCCAGCTTATGCCAACCCTGACCACAATCCTAATGCACCCCCCGCTCGACATCCCTCGTCGGAGAAATCCCGGCCAGCCCCAATGAACTGCGTCGATATTTATCCCCGTTCCCAGCCCAGTCATCATCCGCCGCCGTTTCTTCGCGACAACCAGTGCCCGGACCTAACCACCACGATGAACTTCTATCCTCCGCCCCCAATCATCCAAGCCGAGGTCTATGTGCGCATCCCGGACTCCCTCCGGTGCACCGGTCAGCCCACAGAATGGCGCCCGGGATCCGCCAACCCCGCGTCGGATATTTTCCTGGAGGCGCCAACCTACGTCTCCAACGGGGACCTGTACCTCGTCGACATCCCGCACGGCCGGATCCTGAAAGTGGACATTGACAAAAATGTGAGCGAATGTGTTCGGTGGGACGGCGAGCCCAATGGGCTGGTGGTGCGTGAGGACGGGTGCATCGTGGTGGCGGATTACAAGCAGGTAAGGCATACCCGCCCACCTCACCTCCCTCTAGTGCAGTGCGTGCATCTTTCAGGACCACTAACCAAAGGACCCACAGGGCCTGCTGCTCTTCGACCCCTCCACCAGTAGAGTCAGCCCCCTCCTGCCCCGCCGTAACCTGGAGCGCTTCAAAGGCCCCAACGACCTGATCATCGCCTCCACGGGCGACCTCTACTTCACGGACCAAGGCCAGACGGGCCTCTCCGACCCCACGGGGCGCGTGTACCGCCTCACCCCGGCGGGAAAGCTCGACACTTTGATCGCCAACGGCGTCTCCCCGAACGGGTTGGCTCTGTCCCCCGACGAGCGGTTCCTGTACGTGGCCATGACGCGGGCCAACGCCGTGTGGCGCCTCCCGCTGCATGCCGACGGCACCACCAGCAAGGTGGGGTTGTTCTTCCAGTCATTCGGGTGCGCGGGGCCCGACGGGCTGGCCGTCGATGAGGAGGGGAATCTTTTTATGTGCCATCCCAGTCTGGCATCGGTGTTTGTCGTCGATAGGGAGGGGGTGCCCAAGGCGAGGATCGTGAGTGCGGTGGGCGGTGGAAGGAATTTGACGAATTGTACGTTTGGGGGCGTGGATGGGTGCTCGTTGTTTATCACGGATAGTATTGAGGGGGTCGTGCAGGTGGTCAGGTGGCATTGTCGGGGGCTGCCTGTTGCCCGGGGGGTAAAGGGATAGTAGTGTCTATGAGAGAAATCTCAGATTTTGTACCGAGAAGATTTACGATGTAGATTGGTGAAGTGCGTAGTGTTGTGAGTCGGGTCATCTTGATGCTTTAGGCTCATACTGACAATAGTATGTATAGGTTGATAGGTGAGTCACTGATATCAGGCAACAGCTTCAATTAACATTTCTCGATACCTTCCACCCAAGAAATCAATTCCCTAAGGACTGCACTGGGCAAATGCTAGGGTGGACGATGCGTGCCCTAAAGCCGCGGCGGGAAATCTCCGACGAGCACTGGAAAATCTCCGGGCAGCCCTCCGAGCGCCGCCGGGTTATAAGGATCCTCCAAACCATTCTGGATAGTACCCCACACAACAAAGGCTCTACTTTACATCACGCTTGAGCAATCTCACCAATCCATCCCTACAAACAAACTACGACAGCCACCAAAATGGGCTCCATCACCCCCCTCCCCACGGACCAGCCCCCTCACCCCTACGCCCTCTCCAACCCCTTCCGCACGCGCATCCTGGCCGGCGAGATCACCCCGCTGATGTCCATCAAGCTCCTCACCAGCAACGAGATCCCGATGATGTGCAAGATGGCCGGGGTGCACGCCCTCTTCATTGATATGGAGCACTCGGCGCTTGACCTGCACCAGGTGGGCCAGCTGATCCTGGCCTGCAACTACGCGGGCGTGTCAGCCGTGGTGCGCAGCCCCAGCAAGTCCCACTGGCACATCAGCCGGATCCTCGACGCGGGGGCGTCGGCGGTCGTCGTCCCGCACATTGAGACCCTCGACGAGGTGCACGCCCTCGTCAAGTGCGCTAAGTACGCGCCGCTCGGCGCCCGCGGGTGCACCAACAACCTCCCCGCGTTCAACTTCCAGCATGTGCCGACCCTGACGCAGAATGAGGTGCTCAATCGCGAGACGATGCTGATTCCTATGATTGAGACGCCGGCGGCAGTGGAGATCGCGGAGGAGATTCTGGCCTTTGAGGGCGTGGATGGTGTGCTGGTCGGGTCGAATGATCTGTGTGCCGATTTGGGGATCCCGGGCAAGTATGATAGTGCCTTGTATCAGGATGCGGTCACCAAGGTGCTGCAGGCGGGGAGGAAGGCGGGCAAGCCTGTGGGGATCGGGGGGATTGGGAGCCGATTGGATATTTTGGAGAAGTGGTTTCGATTGGGCGCGTCGTGGTCGTTGAGTGGACAGGATGCGTCGATGTTGCAGGCGGGGTTGAGGCAGATGGCGAGGAATTATGCGGAGATCGGGGAGAGGGTCGCCAAGTCGACGTGAATAGGTCATAGATATAGGGGGAGAATGTTTGTCAGATTATCATACAGTCATACATGCATCATGTTATAGAGTGTCTTCTGCATCGTCGCAAATGTTCATAGACTCTCGTCGTGCAGCAGCGAGGAATAAAACAGCGGATCCCCGTACGCGTACTCGCCCAGTCCGTATTCCGTGTTCCAGAAGGTGCTGTCGTCGAAGATATCGAGCGAGAAGAGCGAAGGATCAAGCTGGGGGTCATTCTCGAGCGGAGGATCATTGTTGTTGCTCGAGTGCAGTTTGTGGTTGAGGCCGAGGGAGTTGGCTGGGTAAGGATTGGCATCTCCCTGCACTAGCAACTCTTCCTGTGCAGTTGCTCGCTCGTGTCGACAAGCCTCATCCCACTCCCCAGCCGACCTCGGCACCGTCCGCATCTTGCTAATAACGTGCGAGCGCAAGGCCTCATAAACGGCGATGTAGTGCACTGCATCCGGTAGCTCCTTGCCCATCCTCTTCAGGGCCCTTTCGCTCTGCTCCACTGCCTCAACGGCCTGCTCCCGCACGGCGGAGGTCGGAACCGCGAGAGACGAGAGGCAGAACATTACGGACAGCCCGGCTGTGAAGAGCATCTGGAAATAGCTACGTGTGTACGTGATCGTGTTGGCGTCGAACAACGGGCAGAATGTCTGGATTGTCGCAATCGCATACTCCAGACAGAGCGACAGCAGATCTTCCGGGGGTGTGTTGCCCGATTTGGGCACCAGGTCGATCGCCTTGCGCACCAGCAAGAGTCTCTCCCTCATGAGAAGCAGGTCATACCACGCCTGCATCTGGTACAGGCTCTGCGGAGCGGGGAACACAGGTGCTGAGAGACGCCACTCCTGCAGCTCCTGAAGCAATTCTTCCAGGTCACCGTATATTCTCCCCGACGCCGTGATGTCCAGCATCGTAGCAGGGTAGACTGGCAACACTGGGGCCTCCTGGTGCCGAAACCTGGCGTGTATTTTCGAGGTGATCTTCCGCAGCCGTACGCAGAGGAAGAACACCGACATCTCCGTCGTCGTGCCTGGACTCCGACACGCAATCGCCCGGCAGATGGAGTCGAGATCCGGAAACGAGCCGGATGCCTCTGCGGCGTCGATTTCCTCGTCACTCGCGTCCGCGGGAAGGCCAATCTGGATTTCCTTCTCCGCGATCGCGAAGGGCCGGTCCAGGGTGATGGAACTGTAGCGGTCGATCATGTAGCATTCCCAGAACACTCGTCGTTGCATTTGTTGATGCAGGAGGCTGCTCCGACTCCCGGGCTTTGAGCGGGGTGGCCTGTGAAGGTTTTGCTCGATGCACATGCGCATGCAGAGTGTTGTGAGCTCCCAGATGGATGTTCCTGGATGAATATTAGCTTTTCTGGTTGGCCAATAATTGAAAGGGAGTTTTTCACTACCAATGTGATGATATATACCAAATCTCACCACTAAAAGTAAGTCTTGTATTGAGTCTAGTCCCTTGGACAGTACGTTGAAATCCACATGATCCATGGCAGCCAGGAAGTATCCATATGGGTGGCTCGTGTGTCTGCCAGATCGGTAAAGAGGCACTGCTCCAATGGCAAGAATCATAAACACTCGGAAGTCAGTCAGTCGTTGCAGAGGGGGTGGGAGATTTGGCCGGGACGCAGCGCCGTGAGCACCCGAGAAAACTGAATGATAGAGCTGTTGGACGTCGCGGCGCAGCAAGAAGGGATTCTGCACGTGGGAGCCATTCAAACTACGTTCCTTCAGCCAAGCGTCTCAGTCAGCACCAGGCACGTTACCTACTAGGCGTTAAAGAGTAAGTGTGCTTCCTCCGGCGGGGGCAGAGAATTGGCTCGGATGGAGGTTTCCAGTACCGCTGAGGGCTTGGACAGGTTTTGCAACAGGCTGACGTTCTGGTCTCTCCACCTGGTATCTGCAAAGAGCGTGCTCATGAAGCTGAGATAAAGATGTTAGACGATAAACACCCGGAATGTTGAGGACATACTTGATCCCCGAGAACTCCACCACCCTAGGAGACGGGTCTGCCGGCGACGTCCATGCATGTGTTGCTTGTGCTGGGGTTTCCTGCTCTCCAAGAGATCTCTCTGCTGGTGCAGTGAAGACAACCGGTGAACGCACTAATAAGACCGGGGTATTCGCTTCACTCGCAGCCTCAGGCGATTGGGTTTCCTGCGTCTGCTGCTCCAGTTCCCAGATGTATCTTCTCCTGTCAGCAGTGGCGTGTAATTGCAGTATTGAGCACATACTCGCGTGAGACAGGCTCACTGCCATCGAGACTGACTGTGATGCAACTGGCTCCTGCTCTACTACAAGGACCACATTTAGGACGCTCGTTGTCGCACTGTTATGTGGTCAACTAGGCCCAGTCGTTGCTTCTACGGTGGATACGTGGAGAAGCTGAACCATACCTTGGTTTTCTTGGTATAGCATGATTGGCATGCTGGGAGTCTGGGTAGTTTCAACTTGAGGCCGTCTACATCAAGCATGGTGCACTTGACTTGCGGGAAAAGGAGGAGATCATGGCATGCAGCCTAAAAAGCTGGAATGAAACTCGAGGATTTACATGATATAAAAGAGATTTGGAGTGGGGAAAATGCGGGGGTCCCGCGTATGGTATCGTACGGTACTTTACTTGGTCCTCGGCAATTCTACTTCCGAGATGGATGAACGATTTCATTCTTCGAATGAAAATGTCTCTTTGTCTAAACTCTACTCCATTTCCGACCTCCCCATCAACTGCGTCGCAAGAGCACACATTCAAGGTCTGTACAGCAGTCAAGCTAGATTACATATCGAAACCCATTCAAGATAGCGCGCCGCGAGTCTTGGTCCAATCTCTGCATGGCAACACCATTCACCTCCATCGTGGTTGCCAACTCCTCGAACCTTCTGTTGGCGCGACGAAGCAGAAAACGCAGCGTTAGGATACACGCCATTCCGAGACACTCAAAAGCGAGGATACATCCCCAAGAGACCCGATACGTGGGTTCGTACTGGTCCAACCAGAAGTAGTTCGCAAACAGCGACGCCACGTTGGCGCAGGTGTTAGCGATACCGATCGCCACGGCTCGTTTGGCCGGGGGCTGGACGATGGTCGAAGACAGCCAGGCGTAGGTGGTCGCATAGACACCGTACGTTCCGCAGCAGATCAGAAAGGTGAAGGCGTAGCGCGCCCACTGCTGGGACTCTGGTACCGCAATCAACAGGATGGCCGCAAGAATAGCCACCCCCTCCGACACGCCCGCGGGAATGGAGCGAGTCTGGCGCTTATCGGCCCACCAGCCCCAGCCTACAGCCCAGAAGAAGCCCACGACGTAGGGTGGGGATGTGAGCAAGAGCACGACTGTGTTGTTGGAGAACCCGATCTCTTTGATCAATGTGGGGAAGAAGTGGGAGAAGGAGATGGTGGCCGTCGTGGCCATTTGCATGCAGGCAAAGATCCAGGTGCGCACGTCCTTGGCGGCCCAGATCAATGCCCGGGGCAGGGGCACTTTCTCATCTTCCAGCGCGTTCTCCGAGCCTGCGTCCTCGGCGAGACGCGCCTGCGCCACGATCCGTTCGGCTTCAGTCAGCCATTTGGTCGTGGCGGGGAAGTCGGGTAGGAAGGCCATGGCTACGAGGGCTACAACAACGGTGGCAAGCCCTTCGATGATGAACAGCCATCTCCAGGATGCGAGTCGCGTGGTGTGGTTCATTCCGGTCAGGATTCCGGCGGAAATCAGTCCCGCAAAAGCGTTGGACAGCAGGATGCCCGACACGAGCAATGCGGTTCGCACTCCCAGTTCCTTCTTTGTGTACCAACAGCTGAGGAAGTAGATGGCGCCGGGGAAGAAGGGCGCTTCGACAAACCCGAGTAGAAACCGGACCGCCATGATACTGCCGACGTTGTGGGTCGCTGCCGTGCATCCGCTCACGATGGCCCAGATGATCATGCATGAAGGCTGTATATCGGGTCAGCTCCATCGGTCGCATTTTGCGAACAGACAGATTTAACATACCAGGTAGATGGAGGGTCGAAGCTTGGTCATGAGCATGGTAGAGGGGACTTGCATCAGGATGTACCCCACTGAAAAGATGGAGATGACGGTCTGATACTCCGCTCCCTCCAGGTGGGTGTCTTCTTGCAGCCCATAGACTCGAGCTTGCGTGATGGAGTTTCGATCCAGATAGTTGAACAGGTAGATGAGCAGGACCAAAGGTAGGATCCGACGATCGATCTTCTTCAGCAGCTCGCCCTCTGTCTTGCGCGCGAACTCTGGATCGTAGCCCCGGTAGGTGGCCATCACCCCGGAACCTCCGTCGGCTGCACAATCTTCGACCCAGACATTCTCGGGCTTAACTTCATGCTCCAATTCGTCTTTCCTGGGACTGCGCACACTCATCCCGAAGATAGGGGTGGATAATACAAGAAAAAGGATCGGATTCACACACCGGGGGTCAGGCAAAGTTCTCTAGGGCACAAATGCAGGAACAACAGTCGCTTCGTTCTCAGACCGGCCTGGAGTATTTATCAGGACCTTCATTTCCGAGACACCTTGTGGGGAGAGGAATCCGGGGAAGTTTGGGGAAGGCCCAACAACCACCGCGAGAGACGGAGAATTGCCGACAGAAATGGGGTTGGCTAGGGTTGGCTCCAGACCGGGTGGGGTCGCGTCTCCTTGCGGGACATCTCCGACATCAAGCTTCTACCTCGTAGTGTACATCATACGATTGAGGTGCAATCGAGCCTTTGCTCACTTGACCAAAGTTGCGTTATTTGTTTCTTTCAAATACTGACTGTGGATTATCAACAAGCATCAGACGCCACGCCTCCTCTGACAGCCATCCCCGCAACGCGGCCAGCTCAGCATCTACATCCCCTACCTGCAACTTCCCACCACCTGTGACCACATGTGGCCAATCGCTTCCCCAGACTAGACGTTCTGGTGTCTGCTCAGCCATTGCCCTGATGACTGGCTCCATTCGCAGGAAGTCGTCCGGACTGCGACGGTACAAAGCCCCGATCTTCACGTACAACCTTCCCGATCCTAGCAGATCCATGAAAGCACGGAAATCCGACGTGTCTATGTCATCTGGCTCCGCACAGCCATTATGATCCGCGATAAGGATGGTATCCTGCATGCTCTTATCTTCTATGAGGAAAGGTCTCAGAGAAGCCCACACTGGTAATGGAAGCTGAGCCGAAATGGACCACCCCAGCACACGCACCCCGTAGGACCCAGCCAATGCTCGGAGTTGGCTCCGCACGAGCTCTGGCTGGTCCCTGAATTGCCCATAGACTCCGTGGATGCGAATGCAGCGCGCCCCAGCCTCGTGCCATTGCTCGAACTCCTCCTTGGTCAACCGGTCCAGCTCCGGATCGTAGCAGATGGTCCCCCGGATGGTGATCGATGGGTACAACCTCCGACACTCGGTGAGGTGAGCCAGAAACCCTTCATAGCCATCCTCGATGGAGGCCTGCACGAGCATCAGCTTGTTGGTCTGTCGGTGCTGTACCATCCTCTCGAGCGTGGCCGGTGGAGGGGTGTAGGCGCGCGTTGGCTTGAACGGGAAACGCTGTGGGTCCAGGCAATGGAGATGACTGTCCCACGCCTCGCGGGGGAGCATTGCGGTTATCTGTAAGGTATGACTGAACGACAGCTTTGTCATTGGCGGCACTCGTGCACTTTTAAGCGAGATGCGGCGCTCGGAAAATTCCCGATGTTCTTGAATCAGTATTTACTAGTAATGCCACAATACCTTGGCAGTTGCTCCACTTCTTGGCGAGTTGGCCGTCAGGTTTCCTGGGTTTCGTCTGTTCTTCATCACTGGGGAGGAGTCGTCTCTCCACGCAAGATCAATTGTGGTCAGCCTGCCATTTCTGAAAATGCAAGCCAGCCCTCGGACTAGACCCGGGCCGAATCATCTTGTCACCCGGGGCAAGCGCAGACTCCAAGCATGCGAGAGATGCGCCAAACGGAAACAGAAGGTCAGGCGCAGCGCGTTGTTAGGACATTGTCAGCAAGAGGATCTAACGAACCCCAGTGTGATCGACTGCTACCGGCTTGTACCGGCTGTCGAGAGGCGAACGCGGAATGCGAGTCGCGGCAGTTGTCAATCAGCCGCACGGCAGAAGAAGCCAGTGGCATCTCCCACGCTGCCATGTCCAAGTAAGAAGCAAAGCACACCCTCAAGATAATGCCCCTGGGTAACCGTTGCCTAGCTATATAGAGACTTTGAAGAGAAAGGCGCAAGAGCTTCACAGTAATGGTCGCAGCCAGCGTGCTTGTCCACGTGCCGCAGCACCGGTCCCTGCGCCACCTGGGTCGACTCCAAGGACTCACGATGTCAGCGCAGAAAGCTCTACTGAATCTCCGGTGACCAACCCTACTCCTGCGACCCAGCAGTCGGTGCAAGCAACCATGGGAGATATTGACTTCCTCTCCCGGAACGCCATGGCCGAGCCACGCAACGAGACGCATGGATTCCCTCCGCAGCTGGGCATGGGAAGCATGGTTCGAGCGGCGCTCGAGATTCCAGGAGGAAATCCATCCCAGTCTGTAGGCTTGAATGTAAGGCAATGCGCTCTACCAGCTGTGGGTGCGGCCAGCAGAATCACCAAGGAAGTCGCCGAATTATGCCTTCGAAACTTGCTCCAAGGGAGCCAGAGCATTTATCTACCTCTCGATGAGCCCACCCTGGAACAGTGTGTGGCAACGACCTTGAGTGGCGAGGTTCAATGCCAGAGCGGAGGCAGCAACTCCGCGGAATTCCACCTCCGAAACTTCCGAGCCTGTATGGCCGTCGCCCTGGGCATGCTGCTGTCCGGAGATTACGACTCCAGGGTTTTCGCCAATGACTTACACAGCCTGGCCATGGAGCATCTTCCTGCCGTTCTGCAGAGTATTGACGGCCTGAAAGTGGTCGAATGTCTGCTGTTGCTTATTCACTTCTCCATCCTGAGCCCCCGGGGAGGCTCCACCTGGCATTTAATTGGGCTTGCCATGAAGAAGTGCATCGCATTGAAGCTTCACAAAGAGCCACAGCCGGAGATAAACCTGAGTGAAGCAGAGGTACTCAAAAGGAAACGGATATTTTGGAGTCTCTACGTAGTTGATCGGTGGGTACACTACATTCTATTGCTGTGAGAAACAGCGTCTGATCATGCTACAGGGCTGTCAGCGGCGTCATGGATCGACCATTCAGTATCGAGGATGAGGACATCACTATCAAGGTAGGCCTATCTGCCAGGTCGTCGGACAAAACACTAAAATTTCGCATGTTCCAAAGGCAGCCGAGTCAGCGGGAGGTGATAAGCAACATCACGTTCTCATGCACGCTAGACTCATGTCAAGCATCCGCACACTAGCCCCCCAGTCTGCTTCCTTCCATCGTCACAACCTGCGTCACTGGCGAGACGAAGCGCTCCACGATAAGGGCCCATCGTCACTAGATGCAGACCCTACTGCACAGCTCACGTGCCGGGGGTTTGTGCAGATCTCCAAAGTTGCAGGAACAGCGCCACCTCCTCGTAGGACTAGAGTTCGAAGTGGCCAGGGGTTTGAGGAGGATGTCGCGAATAGCTGCCGGCAGTATATCGACCAAGAGTTCAATAGCTTCCAACAAGGATGCTTCACGGGGTCGTTCTTGGATGGGTACGATCTGTTCGCCGCAGGGGTGCTCCTCGTCTGTCAGCCAAATTCTCCTTTGGGTGGAGATACAAGCTTCATTGGCAAATGCACTGCTTTGCTAACGTTGATCGGGGAGAGATTTACGTGTTTCAGAATGATGTGCAGGCTGCTGTGGGACCTATCTGGTGTAGCCCTACATGGAGGAAACAAATTGGTGAGTTCGTGGCAGGTCTGCGGTGTGACAAACACTAATCTGCGTGTGCGCAGACAATTGAAGAGCTCCCGGAAGACTTGCCAGACGGACTGTACCATCTGGTCGACCGGTTCCTGCAGAGAATGAAGCAAAGCACCCAAGAACTGATCCCGGAAATTCCCCGACGGGAGATCTCCGACTCGCAATTTGCTCGTTCAGCCGGATGATGTATACATATACCCCAGCAATAAACGGTGATAGTTCCTGCACTAACATATCCTCTGAATATCCACGAGTTGCAATTTTATTCCAACGAAGCACAGTCAACATGGCACCCAGCATCGCTGAATCCTCATCACCAGGCGGTACTTCTACTGCCCAGAAGCCCACCGTTTACGTCCTCGACACCTTCCCCCCCAAAGCCATCGAACACGCCCGCACCCTTTTCCACCTCATCCAGCCCAGTGACCCCGAGTTTCAGCACTGGCGGGAAAACGCCCGAGCCCTGCTGATCCGAGGCTCGTACGTAACCGCCGCTGACATCGCCAGCTGCCCCAACCTGGTCGCCATCGGCAAGCACGGGGTGGGGATCGACAAGATCGACCAGGCCGCGTGCCAGGCCCGCGGCATCCGCATCCTAAACACCCCCGGCGCCAACGCGCGCGACGTCGCCGAGCTGGTCGTGACGCTGGCCCTGGCCGTGGCGCGGGGGATCCGCTCCATCACGACGCGGCAGATGGCCAAGCCCGTCCCGAAGGAAACGTGCAACGGGCTCACGCTGCACGGCAAGACGATCGGTATCATCGGGATGGGCAACATCGGGCGCACGGTGGCGGAGATCTTCCACGGGGGGTTCGACGCTCGCATCGTCGCGTATGATGCCTACATGCCCGCCACCGGGGTCTGGAAGCATTTGCCCCATGTGCGCGCCCAAAGTGTCGGGGAAGTAATCACGCAGGCGGATGTGCTGTCGCTACATGTGCCGTTAACGGAGGAGACGCGCGGGATGCTTTCCTATGCGGAGATCAAGCGCATGAAGCCGGATGCCATCCTCATCAATGCGGCGCGGGGGGGTATTGTCGATGAGGCAGGGCTCGAGCGGGCTCTGTCCGAAGGCCATCTCTGGGGTGCCGGGCTGGACTGCCACGAGCAGGAGCCTCCCAGTCGGGAGAAGTATGGGGCGCTCTGGGAGAATCTGAATGTCATCAGCACGCCGCATATCGGGGCGGCCACTTCAAGAGCGCAGCTGGCGAGCGCGACTGCTGCGGTGGATAATTTGCATGCGTACTTGTCCACATTATAATCTGGATAAGCAGGTTCTTTTCAAGTCGGTCTGTTAGAGGTTTAGTTGGTTTGCCTTCGTTGTCAAATCGTCTCTCAGCGTCAAGGTGTATCCAGTCATGCATAGTAATTTCATTCCTTGCGCGACATTATTTCCAAAACGACCCGTGTTGCAATTGAGCTTTAAAAAGAATGTAGAAATTTCTCGGTGCTTCTGCTCCACCTCTAGGTAGTCCCTGCTTCAGAACTAATTAGTATCCACAGAACGTGCCTCAGAGAGAACATGTGGATGTGCCTATTCAGTTGGATCGCTTGGAGAAAATAAACCGCACCACCAATGGGTGAACAAAGGCTCTCTGGTCGGCATTGCCCAATTTACCAACCCAGACTACTTCGAGGTGCTGTGAGTGGTGAAGCTGAACCTGGCCATCGTGTGCCTGTGGCCCGCCCGACATCGTACCAGAGCCCCTTGATCGACTCGAAGTTGTGCCGGTAGTGCGTCGCCGTCGAGTCCTTGGAACACTCATCTGTCGAATTAGGGCTTAGCGAAGCCGTAGTAAGTCCACCGGCGTGATCGGCCTCAACGCTAAGCAGTCCTGCCAAAGCGCTAACACTTCAAGCCACGGCCAGTCTGCGCCGATCCGAATCATCCAGTGAAGCCGTCTGGCTCGCCACTCCGTCGTGAACTGTTCTGCAACCAAAATGCAGCTTCTCGAGACGAGATCTTCTCCACCGTCACCGGCCCATCGAACAGAAATCGCCCCAAAATCTCCAAGTCCCACCATGTGAGGCCAGCAGTCTCTTCTGAATCATTGTTCTCTTTCTTGTTGCCAATCCTCCGCAACACCCCCTGTCACAGATACAGACAGGGATTCCTGAATGACAGGAATCTGCATCTATACCCCCGGAGAGACGAGCGGGAGTTGGGTTCGTGGAATGCGAGGGCGATCATGCCGACATGTTGAATCCGCAGTTTGTGGAGGGGTTTGAGGCGAGGTTGAGGCGTGTGTTGGAGGAGAGGGGGTTGTAGGTGCTTGGTCTCCTCCCACTGCCTTTTCGCCATTAAGTGGGAAGATCTGGTGACGTCTTTGTTTCGGGAGGATTGGTCTTTTGTGGGTGATGTGATGTTATTTCCTATCCGTGAAGTGGCGATCCTACCAAGTTTATCGTTCCCATGACCAATAAAACTCTCATTTTAGCTGTCATTCATGTCTTCTACCGCTGTTCTTGTACAATTGATTGATAGTTTCGATTCGATACCTCAGCTATTGAATTTTTGAATACAACAAAAGCCTAGCTAAGGGTTCAAGGCTTTGATTCGAATGAATTTGCTATTTTGATAACAATCCCAACAGTAACTTATCTTTGTGTGTACTTTGATGGCCATGCGTGGAATGACAATTGATTGATGCTATTCCCGAAATATGTAACTTTCACACTCCAGGACTGTCTATGCATTGACCTCGATCTTTCCCGGTTATCCTCCCTCCTCCTCCTCCTCCTCCTCCTCCTCCTCCACCCCAGCGCCACCGACTTCCGGACCTCTCGGTCCTCAACAGGACAGGATCTACTGCTATTGGAACGGCCACTGAACCAGCGTAGTGGCATTACCTGTCAATGTCAACGCCAGCACCGCCGATCGCTCGTTGTTTAGCGCCAGCTCGTAGGATCCCGGATAAATGACGCGGTTGCCCTGCGCGTCGGTGCGGGCGAGACTATCCAGCGAGACAGGGACTGACAAGCGCTTTGACACCTGCGGGACCAGTGGTCCGATGCGATCGAACCCAACGAGCCATTTGTTCGGGTACGGACGGGGACCCGCAGTGGTGTTGGCGAAGACCATGGCCGTGTAGTCGGAGACCACCTCGCCGGTGTTGGTGACCTCGACGGTGAAGTTCAAGATGGGAAGCTGCTCAGCGAGGTTGTACCCAGCATGAGGCCGGGCGAGGAGGGCGCCAATGTCAAAGGAGCCTTCCTGTTCTTGCGCGGGCCCAGCGAGGGCTGTCTCAAAGGTCGTGTAGAACAACCCATGCCCGAAGGCGTAGACTGGCTCGCCCGTGTACCACATGTAGGTTTGGCCAGGGTTATCGCCGCGGGGCCGCAGGCTCATGTCCGTGGCCGGGAACTGCAGAGCGTACTCTGCAGGGTACTGCGTCGTGGTCAGTCGACCCGCCGGTGCTCGCTGGCCGGTGAGGACGTCCCACAGCGCCTGACCGCCGGCCTGGCCGGGGTATCCGCCCCAAAGCAGGGCCCCGACCCTCTCACTGGCTTTCAGTGAGGACGAGTCCACTTGGCCGGCGCCCATCTGCAGCACCACCAGCGGCTTGCCGAGATCCCCGAGCTGGTGAATCAACTCGAGCTGATTTCCGGGCCAGGCGATGCTCTCGCGGTCCAGCTCCTCGGCTTCCAGGGTGTTGTCGATCCCGCCGGCGAAGATGATAATATCGGACCTCTCTGCAGCAGCGAGCGCGGCGGCAAAGCCAGTAGTATCGTTGGACGTGATGTTGGTCCCGAAGGCATAGTTGACCTCCAGCCCGGATGCCTGCATCGCAGCGAGGGGGCTGGTGAGGTAGGGTGCGACGCCGTGGTAGTTACCCTGCATTTGCTCCGTGGCATTCGCCCACGGTCCTATTAGGGCCACCCGCTGCACGCTCTTGGAGAGCGGCAGAACGCCATCGTTCTTGAGGAGAACAACCCCGGCCGCCGCCGCCTCGTACGCCACATTCCAGCCGTCGGTGCGGACAACATCCGCCCAACTCAGATCGCGATACGGCGCGTCCGGTCCGTCAAAGTAGCCCGCGCTGACAAGATTCGAGTAGAACCGGGTTACCGCCCGCTCAAGCTCGCCCCGGGACAATTGACCCTGTATCAAGGATTCATTGAGAGTGGTGAGGTACGAGATCCCGCAGTCGATATCCGTGCCGGCGCGCAACGACATGGCCGAGGCGCTCGACAGATTGGCCGCGTACCCGTGCGGATTGAAGACATTGTACACCGCGTCACAATCGGACGACATGAACCCATCTTCGATGAAGCCCCACGAGTCGCGGACGAGGGTCTGGAGAAGGAAGGTGTTGGCGGAGCTGGGCACCCCGTTGACTGCATTATAGGACGGCATCACGCTGCGGACTTGCGCGTCCCTGACCGCGACCACAAACTGCGGGGTGAAGTACTCGGCGAGATCCTGTTGGGTGATGTTCAGATCGTTGCCGAAGCGCGACCGCTGGTGCCAGTTTTCAAGGTCGTAGCCGGCGTAGTGCTTGGCGGTGGCGATGATCTTAGGATGCGTCGCGTTGCCCTGCAGCCCGGTGATGTACTCGTAGGCGTACGCGGAGCACAGGCAATTCGCGTCCTCCCCGGGGGTCTCTTGGCCACGGCCCCAGACCGGGTGTCGGAAGGCGTTGATATTGGGCGAGTACGCGTTTAACCCGTACCGGCCTGCATTATTGAAGGCGCGCCCTTGGGTCGCGATGATCTGGGCAATCTGGTGGATTAGAGTACGATTGAGGGCCGCCATGGTCAGGATGGGGGATGGAAAGGAGGTGGACCAGCTGTATGGCCCAAAATCGGTGAAGTTGGCGAGATACAGGCCGTGCAGTGCTTCATTCCAAATCTGATAAGGGGGAAGTCCCAGGCGAGGGGTGGCAGGGATGCGGTTCCCCGTGCTACTGATGAGCTCTTCAAGAGTCATCATGGATGTCAGGGCAGCCGCTCGATCATGGGCGTTGGCAGTGCGGTCACAGACCAGACTCTCGCGCAGGGGGCCATTGGAGCAGTCTGGGAACGAGAAGTCGACCAGATCGGTGCTCAAGGGAGACAGGTCCGGATGGGCGACGATACTGTAATCGACATAACTTGTATTGACCTGGGCGAAGACCGACGTGAGCGACACGAGGGTGACGAGCAGTATTATGACAACCATGACAGATATTGATGGATGGCTGAGGCTCCTCTTTCTGCTCTGGGGTTCAGACTTCACGTCTGATCCATTGAATATATACGTGCCTCCCTTGCTGGGTCGAGCCAACTTTTACCGGCTCATATCCTGCGAACTCGAGTATTGTCATCACATTCGGCAGTCGCCCGGTCGATCCCCTCCCACCTGCCCATTCCTTTCAGCCTGAATGAGGGGCTCCATGAATGGGGTCTCGATGAGGGTCGTGCAGAACTGTGGGGTGGGAGTCAAGGGGTTGAGAGGCAATTGTTCATAACGTCACTTTGCACAACGGCAAACACGGGCTTTTTTCAGGATAACCCCCACGAGCCCTCGCTCAGACCATAGGAGATGCGTAACGGCATGAGAGGGCTCTGGATACATGGTAGATAGCGCTACGCAAGGAACCCACATCGGAACGGGGTTGAAATCAAGCCCGAGACCCTGGTGCTGATGTAACGCAGCGTAGCTAGGTGCGAATAAACCTCCATTCTCGCCCCACTGAGTGGTTATTCAGCCTGAATGCGTGATATTCTGGACGTCTGCTCGTCTCGAACTATTTTCAGCTTGATCCGGGTTGCGTGAGGTTAGCCACCACGAGTATCAAAACCCTCTCATACTAACAGAACTCATACAGCATTATGCCACTGTGCAATAGATACCTACCCTGAGCGATAGGTATCATGACCATCCTGACACAGATGGCTCAACGGCAGGAAATAACCATCCTAGACTGTTGACTGTTATCCAGGACAAGCAGAACAAGCAGGACTGCGTGTCATGCCCGTGCCAAGATCCACCGAAGATCCGACATACTCTTTCTTATCTTATCGAATCTCTAGTCTACCACTGTATGAAAGTATTTCTTCACAAACATCCGTATAATGGCCTCCTTCATCCTCAACGTAGTGGTTTACAGTTGTCTGAGTAAGATCCTCGCAAACAATGCACACTCTCGAGAAAGGGAAACAAAATATATAATAACACTTGGCAGAAGAGAACTACTCAATATCGTTACCCCAACATGATATAGTTCTGGTTGAATTCGATTCAAAATTATCGTTCCAGTTGAAAATACTCATTATTGGGAGAGTTGGGATTGTTGGATGTGGCTTGCTATAGACCAAGGAATGGGATAAAAATATGAAGATGGGTAGGGAAACATTCTGGAATAACCAAAACAAAAGGTCGTGCCCGGGATCGAACCGGGATTACAGGAATCAGAATCCTGGGTGCTAACCATTACACTACACAACCGGAGGTGTTGAAGATGCTCTGCTTTTCAACACTATCATAATTCTCCCAAACAAAGGCAAAGTCTGATGTCAATCTCTTCTTCAAGCCCGTCAAGACCCCTTTCGCTCCCGAGGTTTGCACTTATGATAATGTAAACACTTGCCGAGGCCGACTTCACCTAGTTAACGACATTTTGCTTCCTCCTGCCCAGCACGGCCCTATGCTATGCCCGACTTGCTGCTTCCAACATGCAGCAGGCCACCACCCATTCCACGAACATGTGCTCACTCCGTTGAGAGCTCCAGTCTTGGCGTCTCTTTCAGTGCTAGCCAGGGGTTTGTGTCGCAGCTGCAACGCCAACTGTCGGAGGTAAACAACCTTAACCCTGGCGGTCCGTCCGGAATGCCCTCCACATCGGCATTTATTCCTCTCCGAACCCTACCCTCATCCTTGGCAAACCGAAATAGCCACAGCTCCCTAGCTCAAGCTGAAGAGTCCGACCGGCGGACCATGCCTGTCTTCCGACGGACTGTGTCACCCGTGGTGGAAGGGTCTTTGCCTCTGTGCTCAGTCTCAGACACCCCATCAACCCCTGCAAGAGGATTGGCTGTCATGCCTCGAACCAGTGGCCTGGCGCCAGAAGCGCACCTTTTTAATAGCTCATCCGGTGTCAAGCTGCGACGTGCCAAGTCTTGGCAACGGTAATGGGGTCTGCAACCGCCCAATGCGACACGGAGGGGTGGATTGACAGGGAGGTAAACCACCAGTATAAATTCGGCTCAAGACTGCGGCATGAACTTCGACAGCACAACACCATCCCTCGCAACCTCCATCGCACGTCAATCATCATGCGCACCACTATCTCCGCCGTTCTGGCTGCTCTCCTGCTGGGCCAGGTCGACGCCGCCGGCGTCACCGGCAAGGCCTTCGGCTTTGCCTCGGGCACCACCGGTGGCGGCAGCGCGGCCGCTGCCACGCCTTCCAGTCTTGCTCAGTAGTGCTCCCCTCCCGCTCATACAAAGAAGAAATACTAATGATGATGGCAGACTCAAAGAGTGGATCACCGACGATGTGGCGCGCACCATCATGATCGACCGCGAATGGGACTTTACTGGCACCGAGGGCACGACCACCGGCAAATGCTGCAGCACCAAGACGACCACCTGCCCCGGCGGCACCTCCAAGGGCCAGGCCTGGATCCAGGACCACTGCGACGATGGCACCTGGATCAGCTGCACCTACGACAACGCCGCCAAGTCCCCGCTGGACGTGGGCAGCAACAAGAGCATTGTCGGGGTGGGCAGCAAGGGCGTGCTGAAGGGCAAGGGCTTGCGCGTGCGCGGGGGCAACTCCAACGTGATCATCCAGAACATCCACATCACCGACCTCAACCCCGAGTACGTCTGGGGTGGGGATGCCCTCACCCTCGACGGGGCGGATAAGGTCTGGATTGACCATAACAAGGTACAGTACCTCCCGACCCTACTCCCTCGCCCTCGAACGAAGATTCCCATGCTAAGCGCTGCAGTTCTCCCTCATCGGCCGCCAGATGATCGTCAGCGGCTGGAACAAGGCGGGCCACGTCACCATCTCGAACAACGAGTTCGACGGCAAGACCAGCTGGTCGGCGGGCTGCAACGGCAAGCACTACTGGACGCTGCTGCTGCTGGGCGCCGAGGACTACTACACCTTCGCGGGCAACTGGCTGCACGACGTCTCCGGCCGGGCGCCGCACATGGGCACCGACTACGACGCCTCCACCATCTACTTCCACGGCGTCAACAACTACTTCCAGAACGTCGGCGGCCACGCCTTCGACGTCGACACCAACACCCGCCTGCTGCTCGAGGGCAACTACTTCGACACCGTCACCACCCCCATGACCCCGGACTCGCTGACCAAGGGCGGCCAGCTGTACACCACCTCCACCGTCGCCGCCGCCAGCGGCTGCACCAGCCAGCTCGGCTATATCTGTGAATGGAACCGCGCCAGTGGCTCCGGCAGCTGGCCCGATCGCACCGATGCCACCGTCTTGACCGAGTTCGCCCAGTTCAAGCAGTACCTCATTGGCCATGTGGGCGTTGCCGAGGTGCCCGCCAATGTGACTGCTCACGCCGGTGTGGGGAGATTGTAGGAGGGGACTGGTCTAGTCACTACCTAGTAGCTTCCTAGAACCCCAACACGCTCACCATCGTACTGTACTATAGTCCTAATCGCATTTAATACAACTGCGTGCTTTTGTCTGCTCGATGTTCACGAATTCCACCATCTGTTTCCATCGAACTTATCTAAACGGGGAAGTGGGCTTACGTTGTGACGGAATTCACTTACCGGGAGGGTTGTATGAGTCCTGCGGGATGTTGCCGGGGTCTGAACCCTAACCTACTGAATACATCAGATATAAACGTAATATACATCCATTCACTATACAAGATTCAGCTCTATACAATCTATAATCTATAATCTATAATCCAAGCCACCGACCACTCTACTCCAACTTGCTGAAGCCCATCGCCTCCCACTTGGCCCGCACCCGCTCCTTCAACTCGGCGGGATACGAGTTCTCGAAATCGGCCGCCTGCCAGTCCGCCCCCGTCGTGTACTCCGACGGCATCAGGGCGTCGGAGACGACCTTGCCGCCCTGCACGGGGGAGCCGGTGCCGTGGCCCATGTAAGGAATCAGAGGGAAGCCGCGCACATCCTCGAAGAAGGTCTCATCGGCATTTGGGCGGCAGCGTGTCGAAAAAGCCCACATAACATCCTTGCCGTTGTAGACGTCGATATCCTCGCCGACGAGCACCAGCCGATGGATCGTGTAGCCGGCCTTGTGGTTGAAGACGACGTCGCCGACCTGCTTCTGGAACTCCTTGGCGGTGACCTTGCTCTCGCGCAGCTTGGCCGTGTCGATCTTCAACGCCACCCAGGTGACCTGGGACTCGAAGGGGGAGAAGGCGTCGGTGACGGGCAGGCCGGCCTGCTGGCAGACCTTGCGGATCTCGGCGGCGGCCAGGGCGCCGATCATAGTGTGGGTCTCGTCGGTGAGGCGGCCGCAGGCGGACATGGGCAGGATGGGGTTGGAGCGGTAGGTGATCTTGTTGACCTTATACACGGGCCACTGGTGGGTGTCGCCGGGGAAGACGTAGCCGTGCATCTCGCCGAAGGGGCCCTCGTCGGCGCGCTCGCTGATGGACAGCGTGCCCTCGAAGACGATCTCCGCGTTCGCGGGGACATAGAGGTTGTTGGTGTCGCACTTGACGAGCTCCAGGGACCGGCCGGTCATCGCGCCCACGTACCCGGCTTCGCTGACCCCGTCTGGGATCGGCATCGACGAGGCCATGATCGCCGCCGGCGGCACGCCGAACGCCAGCGCCCACGGAACATCCTTGCCCTCCTTCTTCCACATCTGGTGGATTTGCCAGATGTGCTGCGGCTCGATCACCAGCCCCACCAGGTGGTTCCGGTCGTGCACCATGGCGCGCGCGATGGACCAGTTGGTCCACTGCCCGTCCGGGGACTGCACGATGTGCATGCCGTAGGTCTGGATGTACTTGCCGCCGTCGGCCTGGTGGATCATGGGGACGGGCAGCTGGGTGAGGTCGATCTCGTCGCCGACGAGCGAGTGCTCCTTGACAGGGCCGGTAGGGACGACGGTGGGCTCGATCGGGGCCAGCTCGCTGGCCGAGAGCATCTTATCGAGGATCTCCTTCATGCTGGCGGTGGGGGGGAGGGCGAGGTGGCGGGCCAGGCGGCCGTAGCGGTCCTTGCTTGACTTGCGGAGGGAGCCCGGGGCGCCCAGGATGCGGAAGAGCCCGTCCTTGCCCATGCCCTTCAGGTTGTTGAACAGCGGCGCCTTGTCGTCGGTTTCGCAGACGAGACGCGTGATGGCGGCGGCTTCGAGGTGGGGGTCCACCTCGGTGTTGATCTCGACCAGATCGCCGTCGGCCTTGAGGGCCTCGACGAAGGCGCGGAAGGAATGGTCCACGGAGAACTGGGAGGCCATTGTTGTGTGTTTGTGAGGTGGCAGTGTATTGTCGTTGATCTTAGAGATGGTGATGCAAGTGATGGGGAGCTGTGTTGTGATGAGGAGAAAGCCGTGGACTCGAGGCGGTTCGTTCCTTATATAACAGGCTGGATCCAATCTGCCACTCTGAGCTCCGACAACACGCGATTCCAGAAGGCTCATTGCCCCATTGTTGAAACAGGTTGGCGGGTCGGGTTGCGGACGCTCGGGGGTTCGGACTGGATTCTAGAAGGATAAGGTAGCTTCAAATGGGAGTCAGGTAGGGATACTGATAGTAACTATGCTCGGGAGGATCGGCATAGGGCGGGTCTGGTGGAGTCTTTGACAGACAGAGTATGAATGTCCGCAGACATGGTATCGTCCCGCATGCAATTAGTGCAGGGCTAGTTTGCGTGGGAGTCTAGATAGGTAGCAGTGCAAGCATTAGCCACTGTTCGTCAGGTTGTCCCGATGGGTTGGTAGGGTTTTCTCCTCAGCTTCTATCGGCATTCCGTCATTCGGGATTGTTCCAACGGCTGTCTCGGCCGGGCCTCGGCTCTCGGCAGCTCGGAGTCTCGGGATTGCCTCCTGGCCATCTTCTGCTGCAGCTTTAAAGCATAAGCACAATTTGTACAAGAGACATATGCAAAGCTTGTTTCGCCATGGGCTTTGATAGTCTAGGTCTCTTCATGTCACGGCATCTGCTATGTACAGTTTGATAGAGCCATCTGAGGGCTTTCACAAAGTAAAAACTCGGCAATGCTGCGTAGGGACTTGCTGTAGATTGTGTCTGAAAGCTGGATAATCATATATACATTGGAAAATCCCCACGGAGGCTTTCACCCGTCAAACCCAGGGACAGCCTCACTCTCACCAATCAAACAACCTCCGTGGATTCTCCACCATAAGCAAGTGCCACTCCTCCTCCGACAACCACGACCGCAGACTTTGCAACCACGCCAAGTCATCCACCTCCAGATACGGCGTCGGCTTGAGGGCTTCCTCGGGCGTACGAACCTTCATATGGGGCGTATGGGGCCTATTGACCATCAGCTCCATCTCTTCCATCCAACAATCACCATAACTCAAGATCCTCCGTCCCCGAACAAGGGTAGAAAACATACCAATCACTCCCCCAGACCAACTGCCGCGGATTCGCCTCGAAATACGCCCTCACCAACGGCTCCACATCCTCATATCCGCCACCCAGACTACTCACCCGGTACGGCGCACTCAGCTTGACAAACAACCGGCCCTGCCGCACCAGCTCCATGATCGCCTGGAACCCGGGTTGCCGGGTGATATCCCCCTCGTACTGCGCCGGCAACATGCTCGCGCACTTCAGCAGGCCAAAGTGATCCGTGACCAGCCGGATCGTGTCCGGTAGATGTCCCTCGGCCAGCCAGGCGCTCAGCTCCGGCCAGAACTCTGTGTGCGGGTGCGTGAACGCCATGATCCAGTGCGGCTGGCCGTGGGCGTCCAGCGCCTGCGCGTGCGCCTGCAGCGCCACCTTCTGGCGCTCGAGGCTGTGGAACGCCTCGTACTTGTACAGGTTTACGCGGATGCCCCGCACGCCGGCGGCGTGCATGCGCTGCAGCTCGTCGGTGGTGATGGTTGCTGGGTCGATGACCGCGATCGCTTTGGTCGTGGTCCGGTCGCTGGCTTTGTTGAGCTCCGCCGTGAAGCCTGTCAGCGAGGTGCAGTCGTCGCCGTAGGAGAGGCCATGTGTGAGCACGGAGTGGGTGATCCCCAGGCGTCGCTTGAAGGCGAGGAAGTCGGCGATGGTCGCGGGGTAGGGGGTCAGGTGGCGGTTCGGGGCGTATGGGTATTGTGAGGCTGTTGTTGCTCTATATTTAGTGGAATTCTCTGGGTTTGGGGTTAAGGAGACAGTGGCTTACGGTCGAAGATGTGGTGGTGTGTGTCCCAGCAACCATGCGGGAAGAGGTCGGCAATGGTCATGTTGAGGCGACGTTGGAGCTGTTCACTAAGGTAGAATGAATGGACATCTATGTCAGGTAAGAAGGGAACTCTGTTTGTCTACTTGGACACTATAGATAAGCAGTGCGGTTGCGGTGATCATGGGTGAGAAGAGCAGTATCGGAGTGCTCCAGCTCGGGTGGCTCCGCGATCGGCATCGTCGAGTCGGCGGCACAAGATATAGATATACACAGATGGAATTCTGGAGCAAGGCGCTACAATAGACTCAAGCGTACAAAATGACTTCAAAGAAGCAAGTGAGCCCGTGGCAGTCGATAGTGGCAGGTGGTGCGGCCGGCGGGTTTGAAAGTCTTCTCACGGTATGCATCCATACACCCAACCACAATCCCAACCCTACAGCCACATTCACTGACCACGGTTTACGTGAACCTCAATAGTATCCAACAGAGTACCTCAAGACCAGCCAACAACTACAGACCAAAAAGACCAACCCGCTGCACCTGCTGCTCAGCACCATCCGCCAGCATGGCCTCGGCCACCTCTACACCGGCAGCATGGCCTTCTGCGTCTCGAACGCCTCCAAGTCCGGCGTGCGATTCTTCGCCTTCGACACCGCGCGCAAGTATATGCCCGTCGACGCGCAGGGCAAGGTGACCTCTCTCGGCAATCTCGGCGCTGGCATGATCGCTGGAGTTGCCGAGAGTGTCGCCGTCGTCACGCCGGGCGAGACTCTCAAGACCAAGATCATCGACGACCGCGCTGGAGCGAAGCAATACCGATCGGCCATCCATGCCATCCGCACCATCGCGGCGACCGAGGGCGTCGCGGGGCTCTATCGCGGCGTCGTCCCCGTCACGATGAAGCAGTCGGCGAACGCGATGGTACGGTTCACTAGCTACAATTTCCTGCTAGGCCAGTTCCGCGCCTGGCAGCTGCCCTCGTCCCTGAGCACGGCAGGGGCGGGGGCGTTGGCCGGCGTGGTGACGGTGTACATGACGATGCCGTTCGATGCGATCAAGACGCGCTTGCAGGCGATTGGGGGGTTGGAACGGTACAAGGGGACGCTCGACTGCGTGCAGTCGGTCATCCGTCAGGAGGGCATCACCTCGCTGTGGCGGGGGACGACGCCTCGTCTGGCTCGGTTGAGTGTAGGTTCTTTCCCCGGTTACCATCTTCTGGTTGTCGAGTGTGGTAGTAACGCAGACAGATCTCCGGTGCGGTGAGTTTCACCATCTATGAAAAGGTCATCGAGCAAACGGTTAAGTGGAAGAGCGTGGAGGTCCAGCCAGCAAGAAACCAAGTAATCTCAACCTGAAATAGAAACTGCTCTGACTATAGAGGTCATGATGCTGAGGGATTAGAGCAATACAGACTCCTCTTGTCAGCCTCGAAAGAACTGTCGGGAAACTTACAACTCGTACTGGAAGTGGAGCTCCAATACCAGTAATTCACCAGGAAGAGGGGGTAGTAGCATGCGGAGCACTCCGGGGTCTGTACCAGAATTACAGTACAGTACATCTCTTCGCCTAACCCTGCCTCGCGCAGTCGTTTTGACTCTGAATAATAGCATTAAACGTAGAACAATCTCATGACTGGTGTACTGTGAGGAATATAGAAGTACTTGGATGATGTCTCGTCTTTTCTTTCTACTTTCTAATGAACCTAAAAACAGGTGTCATGTCCGACAGCGACATGAGAGGATGATTCCCTCACTCTTGCACTGCGGGGTTAAGTTGAGAGACAGTAGAACAGTAGAACAGTACAGTACATGATTATCGTTACACTGTGTATTATGGTACGGGACTCGGTGACTCCGAGTTCAACAGGCCTTAACACTTGATTGAAATCTACGAGGCAGTGCCAAGGATCCATCCATCATCGATGGGGATGGTCTTGAAGTCTAGAATGCGACCGTATAAACGGCAGGCATATGCCTTGTTCGCTGTGATACATACGGGATGGACCGTGAAGCTGATGCAGCACATTCTTGCACGGCCCCCCTCCCCTTCGAAGTCGGGTGGTGCCACTGGAATGGCAGTGTTGATTGTGGACAGTACACAGCTTATGCATTCGACCATAACGATTTAGAAATGATACAAATATCAAGCTGCGCTGAATCTCTTTCGATAAAGGCTTCTTGCTTATTTACTAAGACCTAACAATGTATCCAGCCAGCGCGAGGCTACCATGGAACTTATGGTCAACGTCTAAGTTCACTACGATTGAGGACTCAACTCAGAAGTATCAGCGAGTGCGATTTTGAGTTGCATGATCGATGCGGATATCAACAATAACCATAACGGATCATACCATGGGCCCATTCAGTCCACACGGACAGTAGCAACATCTCGCTTACCGCGCCCTCGAATTGGAAAGGCTGTATTGAATTCAAGCTTTCACATCCGACATCGATTGGCTGAAATTACTCCACAAGAGAATTAGTTCAAGAGTATGTGGTGGCGAATCAGCAGGTTCCCTTTAATTCTGACCAGCCCGTACCAGCCGTCCCCAGAATCCCTCCCCCGGAATGCTCCAGGACACGAAACGCCCGCTCGGAGAGCTCCTATGTCCTATTTCCCCAGTTTTCACACACAGCTGGGTGTGGGGATTTCGGTGAGCATTCACGTGGATGATGAGATTGCCAAGACTGGTGGTCTGGGGTAGTCCTCCCTGCCCTCACTTATAGCCTGGCAGGACGGGAATGATCTTCTCTATCAGAACAACAACCTCTCTGAACCTGAATTCATTCTCCCCAGCCTCATCATCTATCATCTCCTGCATTTCGTCGTCTTACTTATCTGTGTCTCCATGGGCGCCACCGGTGGAGGCATCTCCAAGGATGCCCTAAAAGAAGTTCCCAAACCAGCTCGAGCAGCATTCATCTGGCTGGTTGCCATTTGGGCCTCCTACTGTGGTAGCCTTCACGGCTTCAACTCTTCCAACATCTCCGGTGTGATGGGAATGAGTGGCTTCAAGCATGAGTACGGCTGGGGCTCGCTTTCTTCGGGGACTGTCACCAACTACAAGGGCTGGGTCACCTCCTCAATGCTGCTGGTGAGTCGCTTCGAGTAGCCTTCGTGTCCTTTACATCTCCCACAGGAGCATATAGAGCGCCCAGGGGCATCTTCCTGATCAACTAATCGATTCAAAGGGCCAAACCGCAGGCATCCTCCTCTCCGGTCCAATCATGGAACGTCGTGGCCGCAAACCGGTGATCTTGTTGGCTGCGATCACATACACCATCGGTGCGCTGCTCATGGCGGTCAACTTCGGCTCTCTGGCCGAACTCATGGTAGGCCGCACCATCTCTGGCCTGGGGTCCGGGATTGCCTACTCAGCAGGCCCCGTGTACATCTCCGAAGTGGCGCCCACTGAGCTCCGTGGCATGATGTCCACCTTCTACAACGCAGGGATTATGTCCGGCGTGGCCGGGGCGTATTGGATCAACTACGCCGTAACGATGGTCATCCCCGCGGGATCCGAATGGCAATGGCGCATCCCAATGATCCTGCAGCTCATCCCATCGACCATCCTGTTGGCGGGCTACCCCTTCTGTCCCGAAAGCCCCCGGTTCCTCATGATGCGTGGCCGGGTCGCCGCCGCACGCCGCAACCTCATCCGCCTGCGTGGCGGACTCGACGAGCGCAGCCCCTATTTCGCCCGCGAGTACACCGAGCTACGCAACAAAGTCGACCACAGCGAGGACGCTCCCACCCCCGGCCAGTCACCCTGGAAGTCCATCCAGCAGTCCTGTCGGCAGTTCGCCTCCGACCCGACCTTCCGCAAGGTCCTGGTGCTGGTCCTCTTTGTTCAGACCTTCTTCATCATGTCCGGCGGCAACAGCATCACCTACTACGCCCCGACTATCCTGGCCTCGATTGGCTTCAACTCCTCGAAAGTCCTCCTCTTCACCGCAGTGTATGGCACCATCAAGTTCCTGTCTGTGTTTCTATACGCCTTCTTCCTCACCGAGCGCTTCGGCCGCCGGCCCCTCCTCCTCGCCGGCTCTGCCATCAACCTCGTCTGCCTGATCTACATCGCCGCCTACCTGGGCAAAGCCGACCTCTCGGCCACAAACAGCAGCCCCAGCGCAGCAGCCATCATCGCCGTCGTCGCCCTGTGTGTCTTCGCCGTCGGCTACGGCTTTGGCTGGGCCCCCGCGTTCTCCCTGACTGCCTCAGAGATCTGCCCCACCAGCATGCGCGGTACCGTCATTACTCTGGCATTTACCTACCAGAACCTATTGAACTTCGGCATCACTCGCGGTTTCCCGAATATGACCGTCGCCATGCACCCGTGGGGTCCGTTCGCGCTGTTCGCTGCCTGCACCTTTTGCGGTACCATCTGGGTCTTCTTCGCTTTCCCGGAGTGCAAGGGTCGCAGTATGGAGAGTACAGGGGCGTTGATGGCGCTGCCCTGGTACAAGGTCGGGTTTGAGTCCGTTCCTGTGCAGCAGGAATTGGCGGGACTGGGGGAGGAGGCAGGGGGGAAGGATTTGGAGAAGGATGCTTATTCGGAGCATCAAGAGACGGTGGCTGGAGGGGGGGTTGGCAGGTAGGTGTAGGGGAAAGGGGTGTCTGTGAGGGACTTGGGTCCTTTAGGTGGCACTAGAAGACGTTTTGCGGAGGGGGGTTGAGTGGGGGGGTTCTGGTTGTATATAGATTGTTGAGAAATGTGGAAGTTGGGTGAGAATGTATACGAGTCTATGTTAAGGCATGCTTGACGGTTATAAAGGGGCTGTCAGCTAAGTTTTTATCGGTCCCTCCGCGTTACCTGCGGCTTTGTCCTCCAGCCTGATGTTGACACTACCTGGTTTCAGGGACTTGGGATTCAGTCCTGGCTTCCTAAATCTACCCTAGATGCCTTGCAATGTACACAGCCCGGGGGCATGTGTCTAGGACTTGCCGATCTGCGGTAGAAGGAGGTAATATTGGTATTTCCGCAGCATGATCTATCAGATTCAGTGACCGCTCACTGCTTACCGAAGCGATGAAGCAACCACAAACCGAATAGAAAAGAGATAGGAGGATCCGATGAGAGGGATCAGGGGATCATCCTGTTGAGCTCATATCTATTCATCACCCACCGCCCGAAATCTGTGGATTATTTAAGGTCCTGAAAACAACCCACCTCCTCCTCCCAAACACTCTCAACCAAGCACCTCTTCATCCCTACTTCCCAATCTTCTCTCGTTCAGCCATTCATACAATACTGTACCATGCCTTGTTCCCGCTCCGCTCTGGGATTGATGGTCCTCGGACTGCTTGGCGTCGCCACCGCCGCGCCTTCGTGCGGCCCCGGGCAGTGGGTAAACCTCACCTCAATCCCCCAGCCGCGTCAAGAGCACGCCACCGCCGCGATAGGAGACTCCATCATCGCCATTGTCGGCGGTCTCGTTCCGACGGCGAACAGCACGGCGACGACCGATCTGGTGCAACTCTACGATGTTGCCACGGACACCTGGCACACTGCCGCGCCCGCACCGCACAAGGTCAACCACGCAAATGCGGCTGGGGTGGGCGACAGATTGTATTTGCTCGGCGGCCTGGTCGAGGCTCCTCTCTCGTCGGACCTGACCATGAACTGGGTAGCCACTCGAGCCTGCTATGTGTATGATCCTGCCGTGGATGCCTGGAGTGAAATTGCTCCGATGCCGAGCGGCACCGAGAAGGGCAGCGCGGTGGTTGGGGTGCATGAGGGGATGATCTACCTGGCTGGTGGAATGACGGTGCTCCAGACAGGGTACCAGGATGCGGTCACGAGTGTCGTTGCCTTCAACACCACCTCGGAAGCCTGGCAGCGACTCGAGGCCGCTGCAGCCGAGCTCCCGGAAAGCCGCCAACATGCGGCCGGTGCGGTCATTGGGAATTCCTTCTATGTGGTGGGTGGCCGACGGTACGGACAGCTCTACCACAAGGACACCGTCTTTGAGCTGGACCTGACAGACCTGGCAGCTGGTTGGAAGGTCAGCGCAGCTCGGATGCCGGTTTCGCGCGGCGGTTTGTCGGGCGGTGCCGTTGGAGGCAACTTCTACGCATTCGGTGGGGAAGGCAATGTCGATGCTGCCACGGGAGTGTTCAATCAGACGGAGAGGTATAGTCCCCTGTCGGTGCAGTGGACCGAAATGGCGCCCATGCCCGTCCCACGCCATGGAACCCAGGCTATCGGCATGGGTGGCCGGATTTATATTCCCGGGGGTGGGCTGCAGCAGGATGGGAAGTCGGTCTCCGTCGGTGGTGGTCCGGTCATCTTTCAGCATCCTACCACTCACTTCGATGCCTACTGCCCTTGAGCGCTAGGGACATTAGGTATTATGTACTGTACTGTACAAAAGCGAGGTTATCTGGCCTTTTTTTTTTCCTTCTCTTTGTCGGTTATGCTGGCAGCTGACCTACAACCACTCTGTGCATGCCGGACTGTTCCAGGGGTCAGATCAGAATTTGCTACGGTTTTTATGCCACATAGACTATGGCTGGATGTCTCAAGTCTCTAGCTACTATGCCGAGAGATGAGGCGAGAAATTTAATGGCCCTCAACTTACAGCTCAGTGGGACTTGTGAAGAATCACTTTTACTGGAAAAATCAAAACCAGAAATCCACCGAGGCTAGACTCACAAAGGCTTAGTGGTTTCAAGTATCTGTCCTTTGCACCACTTGGAGAAGTATCAGAAATTAAGTATCAACCCTACCGGACATTGCTCGTTGCTCTGTAGGCAGATCGAACGGCATACTATTATAGGGCATTGGCCCTAGTAAAGAAATCCCCGCTAAGTGGCACGCTTTTCGACCCTAGTTGAGAAAGAGTCCTAGGAACCTTGATATATAACGAGCTGCGCGATGAATACTTTTGGAAGACGGGGAAAAATCGTAAGGAAGTTTAGAGGGGCTCACACATGACTGTACAATTTCCCTCGCCCCATAGGGACCCTAGAAACCTTTACTGTAGAATGACCGTCGATCACTGATGATTCTCGGATATCCTCTGCTGTACCCAGCATACTATATAACTTCGGTATATTGATCCTCTTTCTCTCACCGTCTGTCTACTCCACACTGTCTGTTTTTTTTTTTTTTTTTTTTGCTTCTCAATCGCCCTAGGGAGTCAGTTGACGTCTAACCCATTCCCTCCAATCAGGGCGCCTTCTTTCCCTGGCACCGTTGGTACACCAGAGTGCATGAGGACCTCCTCCGGGACGAGTGCGGCTACACAGGCCCCTATCCGTGAGTACCTGCACTCAACCTCTCCCTCGACGCCCGACCGTGACCTCTGGATTGCACCGCATTGTGACTTACCCCTTCATAGGTACTGGGATGAACAAGAGGACCAAGCGAGGGCACCTTTGAAGAATGCCAGTGACTGGAGCACGAGCCCGACTGCCGGCTTCGGCACCGGCAACACCGATGCGGACGGCTGCGTCCAGGACGGACCTTTTGCGTATCTACCGCTCAACCTGACGACCGAGCTCACGCGCACCAGCGACAGCTGCCTGAAACGGGTGTTCAACCAGACGCATTTCGACTCCGTCTCGCAGACCATCGTCGACAGTTGCATGGACATCGACGACTACTGGTCCATGTGGGCGTGTCTCGGAAACACGCCGCATACGGGCGGTCATTTCGGTGTCGGTGGCACGGTAAGTCATCCTCTTCGGGAGAAGAGAAGCAGCTATGTAGTTCCCTGGCTAACGTCGATGTGCTCCGCTTAGATGGAACACGTCTCCTTCTCTGCCTTTGACCCAATCTTCTTCCTGCACCCCACGAACCTGGACCGCCTCTGGACGCAGTGGCAGTCGAAGAACGCCAGTCGGTTGACGGCCATGGGTGGGCCGCTGGTGGCGCCGCAGACCCTGTTCGGAGAAGCGCAGCCCTTCTTCCTGTGGGTCAACGCCTTCGTGCCCTATTTTGGGGATCACGGGAACGTGACCACGTTGAACCATACGCTCTGGCTGGCGGGACTCGCGGAGAACATCACCGTGGCCGATGCGATGGATGTGAACAATGAGAAGATCTGTATCACCTATGATTAGATGCTCAGAGGGTGGAATGGACCCTCGTCTCATGTGTGGGTCTGTCAACGCTGCTCAACTCGGCCTGGGAGCGTCTTGCAGCCTGTGCGCCCTGCGTTCTCGGGCTGTTTGTTGGTGATGTCTGGGCACTGCATTTCCATCAAAGCCTGGGATCTGTATTCTCACCGCAGTCCTGCCGCTAGTAGTGACTAGGATACTCTCCCTTGACAAATTATGAATCGTGTCTTGGTTTCATACCATTGGAGGAGCACGCGGATCAGCTGCTTGTGAATCGTACCCGATGTTTATAGATACGAAGGCTTCCTATGCATCTGAGCACCAGTCTAGTATTCGCACTGCTTTTTCTCAATCACCCTCCTTCTAGATGTACTACATTCAGCGACTCTCGGTGGCATACAGAGTCGTCTTCGACAGTACCTTTGGAGCACCGTGTGGGTGTGTGGATGTAGGTGTCTGCTTTACCGGGCAGAACAGCCAACCCTATTTCGATGACGTAGCCAGCCACCTCGGGGTGCCTGGCCCACACCCGGGAGTCAGTAATCAACCGAGCGAAGTGTCGGTTGAGTTAGCAGTGATGAATCATGAAGTATGCCACTGAGTATGCCAACTGGAATGTGCAGATAGCAATCGGATGGAGTAGCCGGACAGCCGAGGAGCCGAGGCCAATCATCGCTCGCCTCTCGGCTCTCATTTTTCTTGCCGTTTTGGGACTAGCGTCCGATAAGAGCCAATGCGGGGAAGATAAGGATGGCCAGCTGGATCTGGCAGGTTATCTTAGTCACTGCACTGGGCACTGTTGCTCCTTTATTGCATCTCACATGTCATTTCCTTCTGTATACTCTGTCAGTGCGAGAAAATCAGCATCATGCCTCTACGAAACAGGCCCTATGTCCCCAAGATCAAAGGTACGCTTCGTCATCAGCGTGCAGTGGCTGAGGCTGATGATCAGACAGGATGCTACGAGTGCTCCCAGCGCCGCATCCACTGCGATAGAAAAGAACCTGCCTGTGAAAAGTGTACTGCCAAGGGTATCAGCTGTAGCGGTCTAGGAATGCGGTTTAGGTTCCGTGATGCAAGCAAAAGACGAGGACCCCGAAAACATACCCTACCACCGTATGTGGGCAGCCTTTCCAGCGCACACCGATGGATGCTGACGAGAAAGGAGGTCAAGTTGTAGTAAGGGCAGAACCGGATCAGACTGTCTCTTTGAGACAACAGAGGATATCCTCAATATCCTGTTTCCCAACGAGTGCACAAACCCCCCATCGTCTCCTGACGAGCTCCCGGCCCTGTTCTTGCCATCGCCCCAGACCTCAGACAGCGATCGATCACCAGAACCCGCCGTCTCCCCCTTCGCCTCGATCTCCATTGTCAAGCCCCCGTTAGCCGGACTTGAAGCATGGAAGTCGTACCTCCTCACATATTGTAAACACCTGTCGAACCTAAACATGGTCATTCAACCACTGACGGTCGAAGTCTCCGAACAGATCGCCCCGCAGATGGTGGTCATCGACGACCAGCACAACGGCTGGCGCGGGACCATCCTCCCCATCGCCCACACCGACGAGCTGGTCCTCAACTCCGTCCTGGCCGTCGCCTCCCACCACCTCCTGGGCACGGTCGGCAGCAGTCCCGGCTGTGCCGACCCCCGCAGGCTCTACACGCAAGTCATCCGGGGGCTGCAGCGCCGCAGCGACCTGGGCGCCTGCGACATGGCGACCAGGAAATCCGTCATCCTGACCATCCTCATCCTCCTGCTGGCCGTGATGGTCACGGGCGGCTCGGACTTTCCGATCTTGTTCCGGATGCTGCAATCGGCGATCGACGCGGTAGGCGGCGATGGGGGGCTTGACGGGGGCGAGGTGTCTGCTTTTCTCCTGCGGGAGATCCGCAAGTGAGTCGTAGCCCAGACACACACACACCCACCCCCCATCGTGGGGTGCAAGATAAAATACTTATACGAATCTAAAATAGAATGCGCGTCAATGCAAGCCCGCTGATCAGCCTCGACTCCGGCATCTGCGCGATCCTGTCGCACGGGGCGCAGAGCTTCGACTGCCTCCGCTACTACCGCACCTTGCACCCGCGCCACGCGCTGGCCCTGGACCGCATCGCCGAGGTCCGGCAGCAGGCGTACGATATCTACCTCCAGCGGGCGCTGGCCCGGACGGCGAGTCCGCCGCGCGCGCTCTCGCACCTGGTCGACCAGTTCAAGCAACTGCTGGTGCTGTATCCCGAAGTGTCGCAGATGGACCACGTGCTGGTGTGGTCGGCGTTCATCATCGGGTTGGAGTGTCGGCGTCCGGAGGACCAGCACTTCTTCCGGGGGTTTCTGGAGCGCCAGTTCCGGCGCAATGGGTTTGCGAACATCATTCGAGCGATGGAGCTGCTGCAGCAGGTGTGGGAGGGGGGTGCGGAGAGGAACTGGGCGGCGGAACTGCCTCAATTGCAGGTCTTTGTTACGTAGGAATTCAGGGGGACGGTACTTGTAGAGTAGTTAAGTAGCGAATAAAGCTCAGTTCACCATAAAAACTACACATCACACCATTCACCGTAGAGGCTGCGGCAGAGGGTAAGTTAGGGCCTGGCTCTCTCCAAACACACCCGAACAGGCAACTGTATCCGAGGCCTGCCGAAGTCGGGGATCGGGAGGGAAAGCCGAGCAGCGCCAGCCGAGGGTATCTCATTCTTTTGACTCGACTAGGAAGGCCAATTGCAGATACCCTCAGTCTTATACCCAGCTGTACACTCCTCTACCACCATCATCCCTCATATAAGCCAGCTTCCCCCTTCCCTGTACCACAATCAACCCCATTCCCACAACAAACAACAAACCCCACCAGCACCACCACCAAAATGACATCAACCTTCGCTTCCACCCTCCACGACTCGACCCTCTTCGTCGACAAATGCTACATCAACGGCGCCTGGGTCCCCAGCCAATCCGGCCAAACCTTCCCCGTCACCAACCCCGCCGACGAGACCACCTTAGGCAGCTGCCCCGAATCCACCGTCGGAGACATCCAGACCGCCATCGCCGCCGCGGCCGCCGCCTTCCCCGCCTGGCGCAGCCAGTCGGGCCGCCAGCGCGGCCGCATCCTGCGCAAGCTGTACGACTTACTCGTCGCGAACCAGCGGGACATCGGACGGATCATCACGGCGGAGAACGGCAAGGTCCGGGGCGACGCGGAGGGCGAGGTGCTCTTCGCGGCGAGCTTCTTCGAGTGGTTCGGCGAGGAGGCCGCGCGCATCTACGGCGACGTGATCCCGCACAGCCACCCGGCCAGCCGCGTGCAGGTGCTCAAGGAGCCCGTCGGCGTGTGCGGGCTCATCGTGCCCTGGAACTTTCCCTTGGCCATGGGGGCGCGCAAGATCGCCGCCGCGCTGGCGGCCGGGTGTACCGTGGTGCTTAAGTCGGATGGGCTCACCCCGTTCGCGTCCAATGCGCTGGCCGTGCTGGCGGAGCGGGCCGGGGTGCCCAAGGGGGTGTTGAATGTCGTCACCGCGCTGGAGAATACCCCCCAGCTCGGGTTGGCGCTGTGCGAGAGCGAGGCGGTCAAGAAGATCTCGTTCACCGGGTCGACGCGCGTCGGGAAGCTGCTCATGCGGCAGAGTAGCAACACGCTCAAGAAGTTGAGTCTGGAGCTGGGCGGCAATGCCCCGTTCATCGTGTTCGATGATGCCGATGTCGAGGTCGCGGTCACGGCCGCCATCGCGAGTAAGTTCAAGGTCACGGGCCAGACGTGCGTCTGCGCGAATCGCATCTACGTGCAGGAGGGGATCTACGACCGTTTCTCTCGGCGGTTGGTGGAGGAGGTGCGCAAGTTCCGGGTGGGGAATGGCTTGGAGGATGCGCAGGCGACGCATGGCCCCCTGACCAACGGCTGGGGCAAGACGGCGGAGCATATCCGGGATGCGGTGGGGAAGAAGGCCACCGTGCTGCTCGGGGGCAATGCGCTGCCGGCGTTGGGGCGGAATTTCCATGAGTTGACCATCCTGGGCGATGTGGATGACTCGATGCGCGTCACGGCGGAGGAGACCTTTGGCCCGCTGGCGGCGCTGATCAGGTTCAAGACGGAGGAGGAGGTGCTTCAGAGGGCCAACAAGGCTGAGGTTGGGCTGGCGGCGTATGTCATGACCACCGACTTGGCCAGATCTCACCGCGTCTCGGAGGGGTTGCAGACGGGGATGGTGGCGCTCAATACGGGGGTGATCTCCGATGCGCCGGCGCCGTATGTTCTCCGCTTCTTTGTGACTGTGCTGCTGCTAATGGTTCTGCAGGTTTGGGGGTGTGAAGCACTCGGGCATGGGCCGCGAGGGAAGCAAGTACGGCTTGGACGACTATCTCACCATCAAGATGATTGTCACGGGGGGGATTCTCACCTCTCATTTGTAGATCTTTTGGCCTCTGGATATGGGATTAACGCATGTAATGATTCTACCATTGATATAGACTTGACTCGAATTGAATCAGTAGTTGAAGCAGTTAGTCCTCGCTGGTTGAGGGAACAACAGTCTCGTTCGTAGTCCAATCCTCTCATTTGCCGCCAACATCCAACCCACACTGTTCATTAAAACAAACACCCTCATAACTCCAAATGGTACGCTACTGACACACCCTCTCCCAGATCCCCTTCACGTCCTCATGCGGACTGATATTATCCGCAATGCCCAACGAGGTGGTCGGCTTCGTATACCCCAGCAGCTGCAACATCTTCGGACTCATCCCCAGCACCTTGCTGCGCGGGATGGCCAGGAACTGATTCTCCTCGGTGCGGTACGTGCCCCGGACGAAGAAGAAGCTGTGCATGGTCCGCACCGAGTCGGGCACAGAATTGTGACCGCCGCCGTGGTACGCGGACCCGAGGAAGATCAGGGCGGAGCCGGGGGCCATTTCTACCTCCACCACCATAGCGCATTCAGTCAGCTCGTCTTGGTTCTGCAGTCTCTCTCGCTCCAAGAGCTCAGAAAATCTGCTCGGGGAAAGGGCAGACGTACCCGCAAAACACACCTCGTCGGGCATGGCCGCCCGGCCATCCCCCCACTTATGACTGCCCGGCACGAACATGGTTGCCCCCTTGGCCCGCGTCACCTCGCACCCGGCCACGAGACACCCGAATTGGCTGGCGTTCTGAAACGACCACTCCCCTCCGGGCGGCACCTGGTGCTTCACCCCGTGCACGTTGTCGTCGCGGTGGAGCAGCTGGCGCGGCGCCCCGTAGCCGATGTTCATCGAGGCGCTCATGCTCAGTAGGGGGTCGATGCGATTGGGCTCGATGAAGCCCTCGCGCGTGACGGTGAATTCGTCGACGAGGATGCGCTCGCGCAGGGCGTCGAGGACGGGGTGCTCGCAGATGCGCGCTGCGGTGGCGGATTTGCCCACTAGGCCTGGAATGAGGGTGGTCTGTGGGGGGATGGTGTAGAAGGCGTCGCCCTGCGCGGTGGGGTCCAGGTGGCGCCGCGGGGTGCTCCAGGGCGCGGTCTCGGCAGCGATGGCTTGTAGTTCGGAGGGGGTGACGAGGTCGCGGAGGATGAGGCCGCCGTCGCGCTCGAGGACGGCCAGGATGGATTCGATGGGGCTGGTGGCCGGGAGGGTGGTGATGCTAGTGGTCGGGGTGTAGGAGGGATCAATAGGAGGTGGGACTGGGAGGGGGGGGCGAGTCATGGTGGATTTGTAGTGTGGGTGTGCGTTATGTATGTGTTTGGGCTCTGGATCCAGATAGGGTTATGGAGTAGATGCTGGTGGTGCGGACTGGTGGATAGGCTCGTCGAGTCGCTTTTAAATGCGCTCGTGGTGTCAGATGACTCCTGCATGCGATTGTCTCTTATCAGGTTCATGGGATGACTTGTCCTACGCATTAACAGGTGCTGTAACACAGTTGTGAGAAGGAAAGTGGCTTTCCTTATTGTCTGGGGAATGTTATCTGAGAGGGGGGCTCTCATCCGAATTGCCCCTTTCGGCCTAGTCAGTCAGTCTATCAGCGTCACATCGCCCTCATGGTTGTGAGACCTCGGAATCTCATTCTTGCCCCCAGTGGTCTGCAAGAGTGCCTCGCCCATAAACTTCTTCCTCGGTCGCAGCGGTTTACTTCAAGTCGTCCTTGGACAGTCTCTTCGTGGCAAGGCCAGAAACGCCAATGCATTCGACGAACAAGTCAAGTGCAATTCCGACCGTATTTAGGTCTATTAAAGCATCATTCTGTCTCGCGTAAAGGGGACACAGACACTAGTCACTGGTACTTTACTGGTGTTGTAGCGAACCCAAGCCATGTGTACTAGCCGTGTCACGAGTAGTACTGCTTCTGCTATCTGTTTTCAAGTGGGAGTCTACTTCAACCTCAAATCTGATATCTATGGAGGCTAAATCAAAATACCACCAACTGGCATCTAGCCCTAACCTTCCCCTTCCCCTTCCCCTTCCCCACCCTATCTATCTCCACCTAGGGTGCTCACAAAGTCATCGCCCCCCCATCCACCACCAAATCCACTCCGGTGATATACCTCCCACCCCGTGGACTACACAGCAAGACAAACGCCCCGGTCACCTCCTCCACATCCCCCATCCGACCCATCGGACACCGCTGCGCCCAGATCTCCCGCAACGGCTGCAGTCCGTCCCCGGCATTCAGCACGGTATCCATATACCCGGGACTGACACTATTGACCCGAATCCCGTGGACGGCCCACTCCGCCGCCAGGTTGCGGGTCATGTGCACCACCCCGGCCTTGCTGACGTTGTACGCCACCTGCGGCTGCGGGAAGTTGGTCGCGTGGGCGGAGATGGAGGCCGTGAAGACGATGCTGCCCCCCGTACCTTGGGCGATCATGTGGGCCGCGGCGGCCTGGGCGCAGAGGAAGGAGCCCGTCAGGTTGACGTCGAGGACTCTGCTGAATTCGGCGGGTGCGGCGCCGGTCGACGGCGTGCAGGAGACGATGCCGGCGAAGCAGAGGAGGTGGTCGACGCCGCCCATGCTGGTTACGGCCGTGGTGATGGTGGTGGTGATGCTTTCGGGGGAGGTCACGTCCACGGGATAGGCGTGGATTTGTGCGTTGGGAAAGGAGGTGGTGAGTTCGGTCAGGGCGGCGGTCGAGGTGGTGATCGTCGCCGGCAGGTCGAGGAGGGCGAGCGCCGTCAGGCCGTGTTCGAGTAGGGCCCGCGCGACGGTTAGGCCCAGGGAGCCTGCGCCGCCGGTGATGATGGCTCTGCCGGGGACGGCGAAGCGCGATGCGGCGCGGAGGGATGGCGTGTCGGCGCTCGGGTCGGGGGCAAGAGGCGCGGTTAGAGGGTTGGTGGCGGTGGAGAAGGTCATGGTAGGGATTTGGCGGAAGGCCAGTGCCTCGCGATCGCTGAGGGGCTTGGTGTTGGACGTGCTGGACATGGTTGTGGATGAATGTGGTTTGTGCAACGGTGCGTTGTGGTGTGTTGTAGTGCGTTGTGTTGTTGTGTTGTTGTGTTGTTGTGTTACTTGTTTGGTGAGGTGCGGTTGAAGCGGGGAAGCTTAGTTGCTGCTGAGTGCGGGGAAACCCATAGGATGACACCCCGATGGCATATTACATCTACTCGTTATATGATCCACTGCAAGCATCTGCAACCTACGGCAGTGTGCTATTGAATCCTCATCATGAAGATCATCATCATCATCCAGAGTATAAGAGTAACGACCGCCTAAGACTGAACCTTCTGCTGCGAAACCCGCCCCTCGATCAGACACCGATGCCCCTTGGGCGCCATCAGGAAGAAGGTCTCCATCACCATATCTGCCTCGCTCATCCCATGGCGGCTCGACACGCGTGCCTGTGGAAACCGACGGAAGAACATCGCCGTGGCTAGTCGTAGCTCGATTCGTGCCAGATGTATTCCCAGACAGACTGATTCATGAATTAGCACTCATTTTTCGCCCGGATAACAGGCACAATCTCGAACCTACCACGCGACCCTCCACCAAATGGCAGCGAAGCATCCTTCATCGCTTGAGTGGGCGACACCCATCGATCCGGCTCGAACTCCTCCGGGTCCGCGAAGATCTTCGCGTCGCGATGCAGAGAATACGACTGCGTGCCCACCGTGACCCCGGCAGGAAGACTATAGCCCGCGAGATGGGCCCCGCCAGCAGGCACGGCACGACGCAGCGCCGACGGAACCGCGCTGTAGAGTCGGAGCGACTCCAGAATGACCCGATTCAAGTACGCCAAGCCGCGCAGATCCCGATCGGTGAAGTCCGCCGGGAGCTGCGCGATTTCGGCGACCAGCGTGTCTCGGATCCGCGAGTTCTGGCACACGGCGTAGATCAGGTAGGTCAGCGTCACGGCAGTGGTGTCACTACCGGCCACGATGAAGGTGCGTGCCTCCGCGGTGATCTCGTCCTTGGAGAGGCCGTTCTCGCCGGCGTCATACAGTTTGGTGAACAGGGTAGGCTTTGGGTCCTTCGGGTTCTGTTTCAGTAGGCCATAATAGCGGCCGATGGAGGCCACGGCGTAGGATTCCAGACGGTCCACGGCTTTCACTGTCTCACGGAAGATGGGCAGCGGCAGAGTCGCTGCCAGCTTGAACATGGTCGGAAACGTGGTGCGGATGATCCCGGTCAATGCGATCCGTTCCAGGTCATTGCTGTATTGGCTTTTCTGCTGTTGGTGAGCCCGTTGCTCCTGTTCGTTCGGAGAATGGGTATTACGCACCTTGCCTGAGTCCAGCATGCGGAAGGACTCGCCGAAGGACATCTCCCCGATGATGTCCGTGGCCATGAATAGCATCCATTTGTACACATCCCCGGCTCCCGTGGCTGCCATATCTTGGTCCAGTCCATCGATTGCTTGGCCGACTCTGGCGCGGATGAGTGGCTCGAAATGGGTCATCAGGGCCGCATCGGAAATGGGTGAGGACAGCAGTCGCCGGTGGGCGGCATGGAACTTGGGATCGACGGTGGAAAAGGTGCTCTGTCTCTCTCGTGGGGTGAGGTCGACGTACCACTGGGACTTGAGGAATGCACTGCCGGTTTTGTGGATCTGCTTGACGGCACTGGTATCGCAGATGTCGACTTCCGTGGGGGTAACGCGGACGACGGGGCCTAGCGAGTGGGTGAGTCAGTTGGGGTTATGGTGCGTACTTCGTCTGGCAGGGTCCAGCGGGCTGTACAGTACCATATTTGCGGTGCAGGCTATGGACATACTGGGCCACCTCGCCCCGCACGCAGTAGTAGGCAAAGACCGCACTGGTCCATCGCGAAGAGCGCGGGCCCGGGATATGGGCGAGAGGGCTGGTCAGTCCTCGATAGAAGAAGTGCTGTAGATAGCCCGACTATTAGTGTTGCGGTTGGGCGTTATCGAAGCAAGGACACCCACGACAAGCAAGCAGCCAAGTACAACACCGATGATGAACAACATTTTGTTTTTCGTTTCGAATCGAGTAGTAGATTCTTGCTGAGGACGGATTGCAACGGTCTGTTGATTGCAGCAGGGACCGATTGGTATGTTCTTTATATAGTAGGCAAAGGCGGGGTTTGCAGGCGCCGAAAGCCGGAAACCCCGAGGTGTTGGTCCAGGATCATCATGGATCGTGCATTCCAGCGCCGGATATGGTGCCGGGACTCTGCCATGTCTCTGAGTTATGACAGGTCACGATGGACGTGGAGCTTACATGCAGGCCGGCGATATGGCTAGTAGATATCAGAATTGCTGCTTATACGTGCGAGTTGATTCTTGGTGGGCTTACCAAAGCTTGTCCGGATCAAAAGCGGGCTTAGGCATTTATGAACACATCATCATCTACGGTACATCATATTGCATGACCAGAGTTGACCTATCGGCTGTACTTGGATCATACCGTACAGCATTAGGTTAGTGTGTACAGTACCAGGTATGCATAAATCCAGCCACTTGGCGCCACGTCCAGCCACTTACAGCGTTGGCCAGGACGGATCAATCGGCTTGAGCTCCCCCGCTCCGTGGAAATCCTGCAGGATGTCAGCCTGCTCACTCAACATCACTCGGTCCGCCTGCGACGATCCAATCCTCGCCAACTCGCGCCAGCGGACAAAATCCTCCAAGTTGCGCTTGTCGCCATGCGCAGCCTCGTTCTGGGTCCAGTGGCCTTTGGAGAAGCCCAGCAGAGTACTCGAGCGTCGGCTCGAGATATCGAACACCAAGGAGCAAATCGTCCCCGTTTCCTCCAACCAGTTGACCTGCCATAGCTCGCCGGGACGGATGCACTGATACGTCGCCGTTTGGAAGTTCTTGCGGCCGGCCATCGGGCCGCCGTGGATGGCGTAGACCACCCGGTCTTCGTTGAAGGACCAGATCTCGTAGCGCCATTTCTCCGGCTTGCCGTTGCCGTCGTGGGCCGCGTAGTCGTAGATGATGTGCCGGTCGCGGAGGTTGGCGTCGAATGTTGCGCCTTCAAGCTGGGGGAGAACGGGCCTGTCGGATGATGCAGCAGTGAAGGGGGATTCAATGAGGGTACAGCTAAGCTCGGGAGGGTCGAGATTTTGATGAGCAGTAGCTTGGTTCTCCGCGAGGCTTTGCAGTGGTCTTGGTCTTTATAGCGCTCTTCATCCTCGATGGAGACGTTTGCTCATCGGAGTCGGACTGGTGACACCAATCCATCGCGATATAGCAGTCCCGGCTCGCTGGTACAGGCTGACAGGCTGTCGGTGTTCCTCGGCCTTTTCACTCGACCCAGGGAACTGGCTCATGCCAACCGCCATCTTCTCAGTTGCTCCATTCAGGCTTTTCGAGCTTATTTTGGTGGAAGGACAAATCTCGTAAGCTCATGTCATGGGGAGCGTCGCAGCGCTGCCAGAAATCCGGGTTCATTTACCAAGGGTTATGGTAGCGGGGCGGACACAGTTGTTGAGGGATTATGAAGTTGTGGCTGGAATCTCTTCTGTTGGTTGATGTCTGGGGACAAATCATTTGTGGATGATGACAACATGGCCATTGCTGCTGTTGAAACTCGGGAAGGCACGCTGGCATGACAGGCGGATAGATATATATCTGACCCCAGCTACAGCCTCGGATCAGGGTACCTCTAGACACGGTCGCCATCAATCATAAGGCACATTAGAATGGTCCGGTGAGCTCTCCAGAGACACATCATATCGCCTCCATGTGATAATAGCTTATCAATAGTGTTTTGCAGGTGTATTGTGCTGATGCTGGACAGAACCCAGGTGCGAAGGATACCTACGTGATATGCGGGTTATAAAACCAAAGCAGCGGGCCTTCTGTCACCAAGGCAAGATGGCCGAGCGGTCTAAGGCGCTAGGGTCAGGCAACCTGATCATCCATGTTCGCTCCAACGAGCAACATTCCTAGTCACGCAAGTGGCGTGGGTTCGAATCCCACTCTTGTCATACCTTTTTGCTGTTGGATTTTTTTTCCTCCCAACGATGTCTGGCTCTGCCTTACTACAGTGGGGCAATCCTGCTGTCCAGCTTTTCTGTCCGTCTGTATCTACATGAACAAGCTACATCCTACCTGTCATTCCAAAATGCGAATAGGTCAAAGTTCAAGGGCAGGGCGTGATAATCTCCCTCCCGGAGTTTACTTGCTTATCTCCTCTGGTCGCGGTAGATCGATCGCACTCAAGGGCGACTAAAATTCACATACTGAGCACAAAGTCTTACCATTGTTGGCCGGTTGGAGGGCTTTATTTACAAAGCTACAATTCTGGAACGAAACAAGGCATAGACTCTCAATCCATAATCGCAGAGAAGGTGGATCTACTGGGCGACTGTCCGACCAAGAAGGTCAACTGGCATTGTCATTCCACGTCACTTAAGCCCTTTGGTACCGCTTGGGATATGAGAGCAAGAACGTTATTACCATTTCAGCACCGTATTCCCTTACGATCCCCTAAAAAAAACCCCCAACCCCGTGTGCATTGTAACATCTTCCCAAAAGTGCATCACACGAGCCCTCGGTTGGCCGAGATAATATGATCAAGGTTACGTTTCCTTGCGAATTTCCCGAATCGTGAACCCGAGAAATCTCGTTGGGAGATTCCTGTCGTGCAAAGATGTGAGTGTGCTGCCTTATACATATGGATGGCCCAAGTACCTGATTGATCCTGAAGTCCCAAATCGTCCTCTGCCTGAGATGCATTGTTGGAGACACGCGCGTGCTTATGATAAGCGAAGGGGTCGAGAGGCTCCTTCTTCGTCGCACGGCGGCCCATCAGCTTGGCGACCAGCTCCAGAAGAAACGCCCTAGGCATATCGTTCCCAGTAGAAGTAAGCCATTTGGGATCAGTTGTGCGGTTTGCGGTGATATCCACCAGGAGTCGACGGATTGGGGCCGAGGAAGAAGTGTGAGAGTAGGCGTATTTGATCGCTTCGCGGCTGGGAGCGGGACTTTTGCCATCCTGGGAGCTGGACTGTCTCTGCTCAACAATAGCATCGACCACGGTATCCTGAAACTGGGTATCGAGTAGCTTGAGCCCCAGGACGTATGCCTTGATCAGATGGAGGTACTCCTGCTGGGCTTGGTCGCAGATCACGGGCAGCGTGCGATGGTAGAGCCAGTGCACATACATGGCCACCATCGCAGGCTCCTCGCCAGGGAGATCGATGATGCGCGTGGTGCGCTCCCGCAGGAGTTTGTCGATGTAGGGCGAAGATGCACGAGCCATCTTCTCATGCGCGGTGTAGCGACTTGTTCCGGGGCCCACCATGATCGTCAGGCAAGCCCCTTCATATCTTGCGTTGCGATTAGTGCCTAGTAAATAGATAGGGGGAGAATGCTTACTTGTTGCCCTCATCTTGGGAGATGCGAATCTGCTTAGCAGGTCTCAGGCTCTTGTCACTCTCTTCTTTCATATTTGAAGGACTTTTTGAGTAGATGTTTTGAATTTAGTAGTGAGGTAAGCAAAGTGTGGTTGGTGTAGCGTGGAAGATGTGGGAGAATTAGACAACTAGTACTTCGGTGATATAGGTATGAGATGGATGATGATATATGCCGCTATAGGAGTAGTAGGTGGATGAAGTGACGTCAAGGGACTGAAGCTGTTAACAAGTGAGAGATTGAGAGATGATATTGAAAGGAAGCACGGATGCGTGATCGTGAACTTGGAACCTTGAATCGAATGGTCCTATACTTACTACCTAGTCGACACACAACGCGCCAGCCTATGAGGGCCCAGTGAAGGATGAATGACGGTGTTTGCTATGTTTGTGGGTATTTGACGCCTTAGCGCCGAGGCATCAAGGGACAGCGTATTACAGCGAATCAGGGTCAGCGATCACCTCATAATGGGCGGGCGTGGCGCGGGAATCGGCGGCAAGCCACCAGTCATCATCATCAGTGCTGGGCCTGCTGGGCCTGCTGGCCCTACTGGGGAAATGCAACCTTGGCCGTGGGCTTGGCTGGGCTGGGCTGAATTTGGTGGAAGTGAGTGCGCTGGTCGCCCCTGACCTTTAATTCTGTTCGACCCCCGTTCGCATGTGCTCTGCTCCTTTATCATGAGTCTTCTCTGCCTGTGACCGTCAAGTTTCCCTCCCTCCAAGGCTGCTGGTGCACACCATGAGATTCGCCCCCATTTTGCTACTCATCTTCCTCCGGGTCTGGCCCGTGGCTGCCACCATTCTGCAGAATGGCCAGCCACGCGAGGACCCTTACCCCGGCCAACAGTCCCCCATCAAACTCGATGACTCCTGGCGCAACTACGACGCGGGGGTCCCGGAGATTGCCTACAAAGGCCGTTGGGATAGCCAGCACATTTCTTGTGAGTCCACCTCGATTTGGGAAACACTCCAGTTCGTGGCTAATTCAAGACCAGGGTGGTCGTGGGTTTTTCTGTTCTTTCCGTGAAAAATGGCATGCGCCGGACTCAAGGTCACTAACTCTCTGCCTCTCTGCGCATAGAGCCCCTGGGATCAAGGTTGAGTTTTCCGGCAGCAAGGTAAGGTTTTAATCCTCCCCGCGACCGACCGTGCCGACCGTGGAAGAAAGACAGAAAAAGGGCTGACGCATTGCGACTCCACATTCCAGTTAGCTCTAAGTTTCGGCCCCAGTACCTCCAACGGCGCCCTCGTCGCTTATCGGTATACTCCCCCCCTTTCACCCTACCTTCTTCACTCTCGATCATCCCGCGATACCAACTACAATCCCACAGAATTGGGTCTCTGGACTGGCGATTTTCGAACGTGACGGCCGATGCGACCTACCAGTTCATCGGGCCCGATGACTTCACCGATGGCATCGACACCAAGAGCAATGTGTTTGAGATGCGAGGTGCGCGAACCGGATAAGCTTGTGCTGCGCAGAACCTGAAGGCTGACAACTTGCCAGTGACGAATTGGGGCATAGGATAAGTTGGTCTCTGCGCGTATGCCGTTCCGCTGCTTATCCCCTGCACAGTCCAGTTGGCTGGCGTTTCCGTTGCGAAGGACGCCTACATCACGAAACCCACTCCCTACAAGAGAAAGGTGGAGATTATCGGAGGCTCGTGAGTGTACATGGTGGATGCTTGCGTGTTCAGGTACTGACCGAACAGGCTGGCCGGGGGTCAATATGCCACCTACGAGACCCTGTCATCCTGGTCCTTCCTCTACGGCGTTGGACTTGGAGATGCTGAATTTACCATCACTGTCAGTTGAACCCTCTCTTAAGGGGCCCCTCAAACCGCACACGCACACTCTGACTCATTTTAATCCAGGCCTACCCCGGTGTCTGCCTGGCTGACATGCAATGCTACGGCGGTGGCGTCCACGGAATGGTATTCCCCCAATCTTCGAACTGCACGCCGTCCCCAGAATTAACGAATTAACACTTGCAGACCTGGTGGTGGAACCGTGCCTCCGACCCCGGAGCCCGTGCCCACCAATTCTACGGCGACAACCCTCCCGCCTTCGACAACTCGGCCGAGCAACCCGCCGACCTGGTGTTCATCCAGATGGGCGGAAACGACTGGCGCCACCCGAACGAAGTGCCCGGCGACAAATTCTACCAAGCGTACGTGGACATGGTGGAGGAGATCCATCGCGTGTGGCCCAAAGCCGAAATCGTTCTTATGGTAAGCAAACCACCTGCCGATTGGCTCATGTCGGTCGACTGCCGCTAACGGTCGGCCAGTCGCAATGGGGCCCCTTCCAGAAAGTCGGCACGGAGTACAAGTCGACGATCCAGTACAAGGACGAGATTATCCGGGTGTACGAGTACTTCAAGGACCTGCGCTGGACCTTCGTGCACTACCTCAACACGGACGGCATCCTGCAGCACAACGACATCAACCCCAAGAACCACCCGACAGACGTCGGCCACATCAAGGTGGCCAGCCATCTGCTGCAGTGGACGCGGCTGGTTCTGCGCTGGGAGCTCAAGCCGACCGGCGAGGTGCAGCACGGGACGCTGTACTGGAACGATCAGGAGGGGTATTGATATCTGTGGGAGGGGATTGTACAGTTTGGGTCGACCCGACCGTGTATAGTGTAATTATCCAGGCTGAGATGCCTTGCACATTTCGATTAGAGCATGGGGGTGCTGTGCATATACAGAGCGTGTCTGAACATCCGTGGGATCGTCCTATGTGACATGGTGGATTACCGCCGCATGCTACGCGGGAGGCTATTGAGTAGCTTCCCCGGTCGCAATACCTTGTTTCTGCGCTCTCTTCCTCCTTTTCTTTGCTGCCTATATCGATCGATATGGATTCAAGGGCTTTTCGTACGCAGCTGGAGAAGTGGTATCCCACCACTTGGACCCATTCCCGAAATATTTTTCGCGATGGTTGGGAAGTACGTATGTCAATGCCTGCCCTTACTATCTCAGGTAAAGGGTAAGCAATGCCACCTTTTGCTTGCGCAACTCATGATGATTCACCAGAGTAGATTAAGAACGCCGGCAGCATTCAGAAGAGAGGCTATAGAGCTAACGAGGTTGTTATCTAGATCTTGACCAGTGAATCTGAAAGCTGACATTGTACCTTCTTCTCAAAAGTCGGGGTTTTGTTTCTTTTGTTTGAGGGCTTGAGGAATCCGGAGTACAAACCTTGAAGAGCTGGAGGTGAACCGCAAGCTCACGTGACAGAAGGACGGTCATCTTCGAACTAGCCCGGAGTATCAATCTTCCTGAAGGTGCCAAAGCTGAGTCATGACCCGATGCCACTGGCCAAAAGTTGCCCCGCTCGAACCCACGGGGGGCGCCCGCGTATCTCCCAGCTAACCCGATTAGGACACTACTCTCCCAGTGGTCGAACCTGGGGTATCAACCAACATCGTCACCTTGATGGAGATACTGATGTTAAACCCCAAGATCCAATGCTGTGTCGGACTTAAGAACATTTACAAAATCATTACTATCCTATGAAGTCACATACTCCGTAAACTCCGATCAACCATAGCAAACATGACGCACCGCCAACCATGGGTATAAAGAGCATGTCGACTCCGAGAAACCGCTTCCATTCAGTTGGACTAACAGCCATCAACGCCAATCTTCTTTCCCTTTAGATCTACATTCCCCGTGAACAAAACAAGATACAGAAGAAGTGACAATGTCTACCGACGAAATTGTCTCAACCCAGCGCCGCAATCTCCCCCTCCTCGCCACCCCCGAGGCCATCTCAGGGAGAACCTACATCGTGACCGGAGCAAACACGGGCCTCGGTTTCGAGGCGGCGAAGCATCTCGTCGCGCTCGGAGCCGACAAGGTCATTCTTGCAGTCCGCAGTCTCGAGGCTGGCGAGAGGGCGAAAGACGCGATCGAGAACGGTACCACTCGTCCCGGCGTGGTGGAGGTGTGGCACCTCGACCTCAGCAGTTTTGATTCGGTCAAGGCGTTTGCGCAGCGGGCCATTGCAGAATTGGAGCACATTGATGCGGTGATCGAGAATGCGGCGGTGGCGATGATGGGCCCTGTCCGCGCGGAAGGCCATCTCCTGTCTGTGACGGTCAATGTGCTGGGGACGTTCTTCTTGGCTGTGTTGTTGGCGAGGAAGATGCGGGAGAGTGCGGAGAGGAGTGATAGTGGGCTGGTCAGAGTGGTGATGGTGACGAGTCGAATCGGGTTCACAGCCCAGGAGGAGTGGCAGGGGATCTGGGAGGATCCGCTGGTGGGGATTGAACGGGATGAGGGGTTGCAGGCTAAGAGGTGAGTGTCCTCTTACTGTTCAGTCACTGTTTGTGATTTGATGAAGAGAAGGACCAGCTAATGCATGCGGTAGTTATCCCCTGTCGAAGTTGATGGAGATCCTGGCCCTGAAGCACCTCGCGACTATGCTGCCCGTCGAGCGCACAGGGGTGGTCTTCAACCTTGTTTGCCCCGGGCTTTGCACGACTGAACTGATCCGTAATGTTCCTTCAGACCATAAGGCACAGATCACTGATATGCATCGGCTTTACGGGCGGACGGCGGAAGATGGGAGTCGGACGCTGTTGCATGGTGCGGTGGCGGGGAGGGAATCCCATGGGTGTCTTCTCCATTCGTGCGAGATGGGCGAGTAAGATTTGCATTTTGACATTTATCGCAGGAACTGCGCTGATGCTCGAATACAGGAATGATGTTCCCGACTGGGTGACCAACGAAGAAGGGAAAGCAATGCAGAAACGAATGTGGGATGCTCTGGCGGAGGTGCTGGAGTCGGTTGAGCCGGGATGTGTGGAAGCTATGCTGAGGCAGTAGTTGAATGATCGGGCATCATTGCGAAGAAGACTGTGCCGGATATCCCTTACTTAGAGAACCTCTCAAGTATCAGGATGCGCTATCTTGCTCATAGCTTTGTCATCAATATGATTATATTTTATTAGTTCAATAATCATGTATCAGAAGACGGAGACACTTTTTGCCAAAGCCCTCGGGCAGGCTCATCGTGAAGGGCATTGACCCATGGATATTGGTGAAGTAAGTATAGAGTATCTTCCCAGGTAGCAAGCCCCAGACTCTGTATCAGAGTTGCAACCATTACCGTAAGCCACTCCGGGATATCCCTTGAGAGGATAGATGCTGTACCGACAAGCAGAGCCCACAGCAGTGCTTCCTGTGTTTCACGATCGGTTCCCACTTTCTCAGCGACAGACCAAAGTAGTTTCGCAAGTAGATGATTGTCAGCGATGCCACGATCCAGTCGTCGAATGAAAGTGCAGAGAAAGATTATCAAGCCAAGGTGAATGACATCGTCCAGATGACTAACTGGCCGCGGTCCCTGCAATGGACTGAATTGTAACAGCCGATAGCCGAAGGATAGAACGAGATCGAAATGAGAATAATATGTAAGCTTTCGTTTACCGGTTTCAATGGTATTGTAAACAAGTGCAATATGCATTCCATGTCGTAGCAGCGGGGCTAGATATGGATTTAGTCCTTGGGGGACGGCTCCAGATGTCGTTGGAGTGGGTCTCAACCCAAAGTCATTTGCTGAAAAAGCCACAGCATCAACCTCTTCAACAGAGAACAAAGGCTCACAGCCCAGCTGGAATGAACATTCAATATCACACCTGAATGCTAGTCAGCGGGACGTATCACAGCCAGCTTTGCCAACCCATACAGAAATATCTTCCTTGCCAGCTCACATCCCAACTCTAGAACCCCGCCACGTAGGTCGACCATCTGCCGCAGCCCTCGGGTGTGAATGAGAGCGCGTCCGAACTGCCCCTGGTGTCGCTCGTAGTGCACCATGCCCACGACGGCCGCTACGGTGTCATCCGAGGTGGAGTTTTCGCCGGCCAGCCGGACGTTGATGAGGCGTAGAGTGTGTAATAAATGGCGCGAAGCCTCGGTGACTCTGTGCTGCTCGGATATGAGTCCCGGTACAATCCACAGACACGTGGCGATGACTGAATGGAAGTCTTGCTCGCCGTCAGCGTTCTCGATGGCCAAGTCAAAATCACCAGATCACTCACACGCGGCGTCGAGGAACATGTATTGGACCCAAATTAAAGGAGCGCTTGGTTCCTCAACGATGTGAAATAACCCAGGAGCACCGCGTAGGTCACGAATGAAGTCAAACGCTAGAGACCGTTAACATGCCATCGGTGCCACTGCTCTGTAGATCGGACATACCCTTGTGTGCGATGTCCCGAGTTTGTGGCTCCATCTCTACCGGGAAGATTAAACCGCTCGTGATGGGTCTTTCGATGTCGCACATAGCCTCTTGATGTTCCTTGGTATTCTGACTCTGAAGGAGGGCAGGGATACGGAAGTAAGTCGGAGGATCGATATGGGCTTTGTTCAGCCGAGATGGCCGTGCGAGGCGTCTCCCCGCGTTCTTGCCTCGAGCCACATGGCTACGGATACGCTTTCGGGTGGTGGCTGAGATGGCAGTGTTGCCGTCGATGAACTCCAGATGCATGTTCAAGTATTTGACTTTGTGATTCGTGCGTATGCAGTCGATGTAGATGACAATCGCTTAGAGTTGATTAGATGAGGATAATGAAGAGTAACTTACTCTGAGTTAGGAGTGAGACGTGAGTCGGCGATAGCGGCGATAACGGACTTGGGAGATTCTGATATGTGGTTGGTTGACCATCTGCAACGATCTTGGCAGGTCTCTGGAAAGATGAAGTGAACCTCTCATGATGATCAATCTTACTTTGTTCTTCATGTTTCGGAGTAGGATTATGGAAAACAATCCGAATTTCCAGACATGGGGCACTGGGCCTGAATCTCGGCCTAAACGCGATTCTGCCATGTTCCATATTGTTATACTTAATTTCTATCCGTTTTCTTTTTGGCAGAAAATCGGTTCGTCCCATCACAGGAGAACAACTCCTCAGTCATGAGGTAGACATACTGGCCATGTTATACTACAGCCCATGCCAGAATCTGGAGCGGAAATATTATCCTGGAAATTTAGGAAAGGTTGAGTGGATTAGAGTAGCCGGAAGAGTACGGAAGAGTCCCTGAAGCTAACGGTTTCGGACCCTGGCTTACAAGCTTCTTACGTGTGCATTAGTGAATTGGCTGTCAGCTGTCATCGACCAAATTTTCAAAAAATCACTCCATTCTCTATTACTAGACTGTATTATAGTTCGAACACCCAAGACCACAACCAAAGCCTCTAGAACCAAGTCCAAGGCTTATCTTGACAAGGGGGCAGCGGTCGGGCACCCACGAAGGCTAAAGCCACTGTCGCCAGGTTTGCTCTACAGGCCATCAGCCTCGGAGTGCCCGAGTGGCGCGGACGAGGTTTAGATCAGGGTCTCCTCGACGGCAGCCAGGGTACCGTTGACAATGGCACCAGCGTGGTGGCGAGCAACCAGACCGTAAGCGAACTGGTACCTGCAGGGGTCGTTAGCACCACAGAACGAAATTCGATAAGATCATCCAGAACTTACTGGTCGAGCCAGGGGAGGAGCTCGGGCAGGCCGGGGGTGTTGCGCCAGTCGCGCATGAGGTCGCAGACAATGCCGAAGATGCCCATCAGAGTGACACCGGCCTTCTCCATGCGGCGGTTGGCATCGATGGCGAGCTTGGCATCAAAGGTACCGCTGGCCTCGGTGTTGGCATACACCTCGTAGCCCTCATCGATCAGGGAGAGAGCCAGGAAAGCGGTGCCTGGGATCGTTAGCCTCTCGAGGTCTCAGATTATATCGTTAGAGGGCGACTTACAAACTTCAGTGACAATACCACCGATGATCAGCTGCTTCTTGCCAGTGGCCTTGACGGCAGCACGGAACTCAGCATTGTCCCAGGCGTTGACCTCACCCTGGCGGCGGACGAAGGTGGCGTTGGGGTGCATGTCGGTGATCTCCTTGAGGAGAAGACCGTTGGGGCCAGTGTCGGAGGAGGAAGTCAAGACGGTGGGCAGGTCGAAGGCCTTGCCGATGGCAGCGTGGGCAATGATGTTGTTGCGGAAGTCGTTGGTGCTGTAGTCGCGCACCAGCTGGGTGAGACCGACCTGGTGGTCGATCACAAGGAGGGCCTGGATAGAAGTGTCAGACACTCAAATTGCGAACCACAAGGGCGTTCTTGTCAAGACCTACCGCATTGTCCTTGTCGATACGGTTCCACGCCTGAACAGAGGAGACTCCAAGAGCCAGGGCTGCGAGAATGTTGCTGAAACGCATTTTGAAGCTGAGAAGGTGCTGCTGGACTGGCTTGGTCTTTGCTTGCTGGGATTCTCGGAGTGATGAGTCTCTGATGATTCTCTATTTGCCTGGGCGATGAGGGCCTCTTTATACCTGGGCATCCGCCATCTGGAAGCCCTTGGTGTCTCCGAACAGGAAGGGTATGCTCAGCATTGGGTCATGATTGTCAACCATCTACTCATCTCGAAGCGACTGGGATCTCGTATCGCAGAAGTCTTGGCTGCAGCCTGGAGAGGGACTAGAGGGACTAGGGACAATGTCCCTGATGGACTACGATGAGCCGGGGTTAGGGCTACAGCAACTACTGCACTGCACTGGTGGCTCTCTATACGGAGCACGGATTATGGATTGCTTATGGGATTCTGACTGGTCGGGCTTGGCAGTGCCGCCGTGCCAACCGAGCGCCCGGAGGAAGTCGCGCCGTGTTCAAGCTGCTCTTCCCCACTCAATATCTCCAGTTGTACCGATCCGTCCAATCACCTTCCGCAAATTAGATTGATAGTGGATTCTCGAAGGAGCTGCCACTGCACACCACTGCACCACTTGACAAACAAGCCCGTATGAAGGTGCACTAATTCGCACTAAATAACCCTCATTGGGAAAATGGACCCTATGCCACTCCCTTGAGTCCCTTGTCCCCTTCTCCAACCACTTTGCCCCGGCGGGATGTCATCTCGCTCGCCCATTTACGTTTGATTGCTGGTTAGCAGAACCGCCCAACCCTAAAGCAGTATCCCTCTGTCTTACATTCTCCATCAGATGTCCCGTATTACGACATGACGGGTGAATGCGGGGACAATCTGCTATCAATCTAACGGCGATTCTAGCCCCAACTCCGCCAAGAATGAGGCATTATGAAGGAGGGAGAGATCGCACCGGTTCGCTATGCCCAAGCCTCCACTGCAGGGAGTGGTTACGCCAATCACCCCGACCTGCTGCAGAACTTTCTCGTGTTTGAAATGCCGGGTCTTGGATAAAATGGGGGAGTGAGACTCTGTCGGCAGCTTTGCTGTCCCTGCATGACAGGGGTCTCGCTTCACCCTAACCCGAATCTAGGCTAAGCGGGACAATCGTCTGCAGCACCGGGGTGTCTCGCTGCAGAAACGGCTCGCGAATTGCTATCTATCGCTGGCAATTACGAGAAGATGACCCATATTGCTCTGCTTGCGCCATCAGCCACCAGGAAGCTTACCTCCATGGGTTAGGGAGCACAGTCGAACAGGCCGGACTCTCCCAAATGACACCTTCACCGCAGTCTGTGTATCAACTAATATACTAGTAGTATCCTATACTATACTTCCCGAGGAGTCGGAGCCGAAATAGGGTAATTTAAAGTGATTTCCACTCTAGAGCCTCGTGTTGTCGGGGATCGGAGGGTCCCCGGTGGGGTTTCTATGTACCTTCCTTTCCTGGCTGATAGCCAAGATGAGATCTGATGCAGCGTGAGAACGAACCGCATATCTTGCCATGAATGGCACTCGGCACGTGGCGCGATACGAGCCTCCTGCCCCGATGCCTCCGACTCCGAGACTCTGCATGGCGAACCGAGTACGCTAAACGTGGCTAGTGATGCATAGTAAGACGACCAGGATTGTGCATACATGAGGAATGGAGTCGAAGGAGGGACCGAAGCCTCTGGAGGGTTCGTATCAATTATAAGCGCACCCAGTGTAATATCCAATAGATTCATATATACGACCTGGTGCCGTGTTGGGTCCCTAGTGCCATGTCTTCCTACCTTACTCCGACAACTTTCCCAGAGGAGGAAACCTCCACCCTCGTCAAAGTCAATATCCATCACATGCTCGCATGGAGAATTACACCGAGAGCCGTCTACACGGTGAAGCTTCCTGAGGCATACAGGCTACGAGTTACGCTTATCAGTTCTCTCCGGAAATGGACCAAGCTGGGGCAAAAAGACATCGTAAATTAAACACAAAACACTAGAGCCAGAAGTATGTCAAGAATCCCAAAAACGCCTCACTTTCATAGCAAGTAACCCGACAAGCAGTCCCAATTACTGAATATCAACCTTGGTTACCACCACCACATCCGATTCCACCTTGGGCAACCGCACACTGAGGACCCCATTCTCCATCTCCGCCGTGATTTCATCGGCATTCAGTTCGACCGGGTGGGCAGCACTGCCCAGGCGCACCTTGCGGTCGAAGGCACCCACCCGACGCTCGTCCAGCGCCAGGGTCTTCAGCAGTTCTTCGTCTCCAGGGCGCTCGATGGCACCAGAGATGCTGAGTTCATACTTGCGCGGATCCCACTTGACTTCCACCGCGTCCTTCTTAGCACCGGGGAGGGAGACGTGAATGAGGAAAGCGTCGGGGGTATCGTAGACATCCACTTCGGGCTGGAACTCGGTGTTGTTCTTGTTGGCGAATCCGAATCGGCCCCAGGGTCCGAAGAAGCCCGGAGGAGGCGGGGGAGGACCACATCGGCCGCCATGCTTGAATCCGCGCATGTGCTTGCGTCCTCCCCAGTACGGGTGCGGTCCGTGATGACCACCACGGGCACCGAATCCGCCGTGGTGACCTCTGTGAGGGCCGAAGGGCTCAAGGAAGTCGATATCTTCACGAGGACCGCAGCCGCCGCGGGGACCAAAGTGATGACCGCCAAATTTACCCCCGGGGCCCCCGAAACCGTGGGGACCTCGATGACCCGAGAAAGGACCAGGGCCGCCTCGGGGTCCGAAGCCTCTGGGACCACCTGGTCCGGGGCTGTGGCGACGATGACCAGGACCGCCATGTCCCTTGCCGTGGAAACCGCTGTGCTTTCCGTGACCCTTGCGGCCGTGGTGTGGCTTGGGGCCGCGGGGCTCATCGTGTTCTTCGTCGGAGCTGTCCGAGGATGATACCTCTAGCTCTACTTCGTGGATTGTTTCTTCGTCGTCTTCATCGTCTTCCGGGGTAGGCTCGCGGTGGCGGCGGTGGTGAGGGCCACGACGTCCGTGGCGACCTCCTCGACCGTGCCACTGCTCTTCGTTGTCGGTGGCATCGTTGTCGTGATCATGGTGGTGGGAGAACCCGCGTTCTTCAATCTCGGCGATAAAGTCCCAGAAGGGAGCAGTTTGGTTGAGTTGGCGTATCGAAGCCATATTGTTTCTTCGTTGTTGTTGATTTTATGAGAGAAATGGTAGTAGTGAATTGATGTAGAAGAGAAGGTATTTTGATTAAGGGATGAATGGAACAAAGTGTTGGGTGATGGAGATAGACATCATCAGCCCGGGATTTCTACAGCTTTTATAGATTCCCATCAAGGTGACCATGCTGGATGTTTTGATAGAGTTTCGCCACCGCGATATAGTCGTCGTAACGCTTGTTGCCAGCCTGGGATGCATTCACTCGCCACTTTCTGCTGCCGGTCGGAGATAAGGCGGAATTCGTATTTCCCGAGCCTCGGACTTCTTACAGCACTCGGAGATAATGCCGCGCTAGGCCTTTCGCGCCGCAATGAGAGCGCACCGTGACTCAGACCCGAGCCACTATCGGCTTGAGCTGCCAGATCAAGAAGTTAAGCCCGAGAGCCACCGCCACCTCAGCCACACTTCGCATAGTTACTGCCTGCGCGCGCATCGTTGCAGCCCTATCCCAACACCCCATAGGCCTGAACAGTGGCTACGTAGGACCCAGAAGCATGTATGGGTCCTTGTCTGTGGCGCTGCCATGTGAAGGCCGACCTCCGCTGACTCACAGCGTCCTCCAACGAGGCACCGAGCTTTGTAATTGAGTCACCCCAGGCCACGTACATCTGCTTGGCTCTCTTGCTCATTGGCAGCCTCAAGTACAGTACAACTGCTTATCTGGGGGTGATTTACCTCTCGGACATACCAGTACTACTCATGTATGAGAGCTTGAGCTTTGACCTCGGGATGTTGACCCTATCCGTGCCGGGGACACAAAGCCCTTTCACATCGGCACCCTATAGCTACTATATGAGTACTTGGTACGTAAGCTGGGCATACTTTCCTCTTGAGAGTATATTTAGGTGTTCTCCAGGAGTCAATTTGCAGTCTATCGAGTAGAATTATAGCTGTTACCTCTAGTTCCAGTTATGTAAGGCCACGCAGGTGGTTTCTACATCTCAAAGTCCGTTATGTATCATGGACCTAGGTGAATTTGATGGCTAAATACTGAGATTGAAGATGAATCATCGAAATGCAGAAGGTGGTGAAAGATGCTGAGCAGCCTCGGGAATTCCAAGTCCCGAGCAAGGCATTAGCTGGATGCCTCAGGCTGCCACCGCAGCCCATAATCTCCGGTCGCCGGCGTCGCGCCTGCCTCGGACTCTCTCTCGCGTCTACAACCATCCATCGAACGGCGTCCATCCGTTTGTCTCCCAAGAATGGTCGCTGTTGTCTGTCATGTCCACCCCCGCAGAGTCGCCCCCCACCGCTCCTGGCTCCAAGCCACACCGAGTCTTATCCTGTGTGCTTTGTCAGCAACGCAAGATCAGATGCGATCGCAAATCGCCCTGTGCCAACTGCCTTCGCGCGGGCGCGGAGTGTGTGCTGGCTACGCGCCAGCGACGTCGACGCTTCGCCGAGCGCGACCTCCTAGAGCGTCTCCGTCATTATGAGGACCTCCTACGCGACAACAACATCCCATTTCAGCCGTTACATCCTTCGCCGGAGGACCCGACCTCACCCGGTGAGAGGGAGCCAAGCTCATGCAGGTCCGAGCTAGAACGACCATCGGATGCGAAGCCCAAAGCAGTGTAGGTTCCTGCACCGCTACAGAACAAAAGCAAATCTCTAGTGCAGCTAGCTCATATCTCATATAGAAACCTGTGGCATGCCATGAATCAAAGGGTAATGCAAGTCGCAGATTGAGATTGGGATGGCTGGACTGATGTACCCCTAGGCAGCGGATGCAAGGGACCCTGACCATGACGATGAGGCAACCCATGGTGGTCTCGGCCAGGATGTAAATCAAAGCGTGATTACGACTGTCTGGAATCAGATGTACCAGCGTGAACCGAATGATTCCCTCCTGTTCGGCCCTGCAGCGACCGACATGGATCTTGCAGCCGCGCACCCAGACCAGGCTCAAATCTTTCGACTTTGGCAGACGTATCTGGATAACATTGACCCACTGCTCAAGGTTACTCACACGCCAACCTTGCAATCCCGCATCATCGACGCCGCAGCCGATTTAGCTCGGGTCCCTCCGGCACTGGAGGCCTTAATGTTCAGTATCTACTGCATGGCTCTGCTGAGTTGCACGGACGAGGACTGCCGGAGGGTGCTGGGCGCTACTCGCAAAGAGAAAATAGGTCGCTACCAGCTCGCTTGCCAGCAGGCGTTGCGGCGCTGTGATGTTTTTCGATCTCCCGATCTCGACAGTTTGACTGCGCTGTTTCTGTACCTGGTCGGTGCATAAGATCATCTCTGAGTTTTGCAAATACTGATCTCGAAAAGGTGTCTATACGTCAAGATACGGACCCCCGGTCGTTGTCCTCCATGTTAGCTGTGGCTATCCGCATCGCGCGCCGTATGTGCTTACATCAAGAAGCGGCCAATGCTCGCTACCCGGCGTTGGAAGGGGAGATGCGCCGCCGGCTGTGGTGGTCTCTCATCTTGTTCGATAGCCGCATTTGCGAGATGTTCGACTACCGAACAGCTCCATTAGAACCAACCTGGGACTGTCGGCCACCAGCCAACATACACGACTTTGATCTCCGACCCGAGATGACGGCAATGCCTGCCGCACACGACCGACCGACCGAGGCAATCTTTACTGTGGCTCGGAGTGAGATTGCAGACTTTATCCGTCATAGTCCCTTTCATCTTGACCTCACGAATCCCCTCCTCCATCGCATGGTGGGCACATCCCAGCATCCCAGCGATATGGCCGAGTTCGAGAATACTATAGAGCGCAAGTATCTCGCCTCCTGTAGCCTCGACAATCCTCTGCAGTACATGGTTCTCTGGACAGTACGTGGGACAGTGGCCAAGAACTATCTCCTGGAATACTACACCCAACAGGCAAAAGCTCGCGAAAAGCCGACAGAATCCGCGCTGGACAAGGCTCTAGACCATGCCCTTACTGTCCTCGACTCGGACACCAAACTGATGGCCTCCCCACTCACCGAGGGGTATCGGTGGTTTCTGCTCATGTACTTCCCGCTACCCGCCTACATACACATTCTCCAAGATCTGCGGAGACGTTCGGCGAAACAAACCACTGCGATCTGGGAATCAATGAGTGACAACTACGAAGCGCGCAACGTGGGTAGCGTGGCGAATGAATCGTCTATATTCGTGGTCATCGCGCGCCTCGTTCTTCAGGCCTGGGAAGCGCGCGAGGCAGCATCGCCTGACGGAATACCACAACCACCACGAATGGTAGCGGACATTCGTAGAAGGATACTCGAAATGCAAGTATCTTTCCCCGGTCGCAGTAATCTGGAACCGCTAAATAGCGATGCCATAGCAGCTGGTGGCACGCAGAGATTTTCGCCTCAAATGGATGCGAACATAAGCCTTGGGGCTCATGGTGTCGCGGGTGAAGCAGAGATTCTGGGTTCCACCACCCGGGCAGATGCCATCGACTACGCTTCTTTACTCGGGTTCAATCAGACGGGCATCGATCCGAACCAAGTGTACCTGTCTCCAATGGACTGGATCTTTGCGCAGCCATGAAGCCAAATGCAGAAGCGGCGATGGCATGCGCTGAATGCCTTGCACGGACGGTACAAAATAGCCCTTCCCAAATGGGTTAGCCGGAGTATCCTCTCCGCCTGCTACTCGGCGTATATAAGGAGGCTCTTCCCGCGCACTGGGGCAAGCTACGTCTTGGTCAATGATTCCATCACCAATCCACTATGCCTCAACAACATGCCCTTTCCAATCAGCACGCACTGCGTCTTCTCCAGCAGCAGGCAATGCAGCGAGCACAGGCAGCTCAAATGCAATCGGCCTCAAAAATGCAACGACCAGCATTTGGAACTCCCATGAGTGCTGGCTACTATAATGATCTCCCCATCAGCTCTCCCATCGATCGCACCTGCATTGACCGCACGCCACCCCCAAGCACTCCCTTCGACCACCTCTGTCGGAAAGGTCCTCTCTCAGCCCTCCAGGAGGCACTGTCCACAGAACCTTTGAGCCCAGCCTTTCTGCATCGAGCTTTGACCCATGCCCTTCAGGCAGGGAACCTCCAAACAGCCGAGTATCTCCTCACGAGTGGAGCCCCCATCCTTGAACGCACCCCTGTCAGCATTCTTGAAGGCCCAGAAGACCAGCGCCTTCGACTATTTGATCTTCTCAACCGTCGCGGATGGCACCCCCACACTCACCGTCCTGTAGACAGGATCATATTGAGTCGGGTGGTCAACGATGCCCCTGTGCTGGAATGGTTCCTCGCCCATGGGTTCAATCCAAACGATGTGGGCCCAATCACGGGCGCTCAAGGGCTGACTCCGCTTGAACTGGCTGCCAACTACGGGAATCCCAAATCCGTCCGCCTACTCCTCGATGCGGGCGCAAATATCGAAGAGGGCGCCCCGCTGCACTGCGCGGCGGGTAGATGTCCTGCTGGCTGGAATCCACATGTCTATCCCAACCAGAAGATTCAGAACGAAGACTCCGACCGTGCGCAGATCCCAATCATGGAGTTGCTCGTCGAGCGGGGTGCAAAAGTGAATGCGGCGGAGGAGACGCAGCACATGACGCATCGGTATGCCCTTGTCTATGCGGTTGTGGCGGGCGCAAGATACCGGGTGCGGTGGCTGCTGGCGAAAGGGGCAGATCCGGACTTGAGAGGGCCATTTGGAAGTGCGCGGGAGAATGCACAGAGAACCGGCAGACAGGACTTGATCGAACTGATGGACTGAGGGGTGCTCGGTGAATACAAGGAGGGGGAGGGGGTCTAGGATGCTGAATAATAGGCTGCTGACCAAATATGTGCTTACCTGACATCTGAGGCTTCTGCTGGCCAGCCTTGCTTCGCTCGGAAGACAGCAAACTCCGAGGGATGATGTACCACGCAGACACAGACGCTACGGCCTATCGGGGTCGAACTTCAGCTCTCCGACACATTCCTGCACTCTGTCTCAGCGGATAGATGGCAGTCCTAAATACTGTGCAACCCTCCGCAGAGCAAGACAAAGCTTTACTATAACGCATTTAGCAGGGTCGGAACCACATGACGTATTAGATATATGAACAGGAGAAGGCCACCATGGTGTCACCAACCTCAATCTCCCAATATTCCAGTATCAGCGCGCTTGAGTGCATAGAATAGCTGACGCTATGACTGAAGATCTTGCGAGGGAGCGATTGCACAAACTCGCCAAGTTCTTCGCAAACAACCCATCCATCCAATATGCCACCCCGTCCTCGCCCAAGTATGCGGAGCTGCGCGCGGCATATGCGTCCCTACCCGACTTAATCCCCTTGTGATCGCTCGTCCATCTACCGTGGAGGCTGCGGCTTCTATGGTGTCCTTCGTTGTGGCTAACGACATCCCATTCACAATTCGATCGGGAGGCCACGATTCCTTTGGGCGATTCTCCCGAAATGGGGCGGTCGCGGTTGACATGCGTTTGATTAACTACGTCGAGATTGATCAGGATTCCTCGACCGCGCGGATCCGGGGAGGCATCCTCACCGGGGATCTGATCCGTGCGCTGCAGAAGCATGGGCTGGCCGCTGCAGTCGGGACGGTCTCCTCGGTCTAATACGCGGGCTGGGCGATGTACGGTGGCTACGGACCGTACAGTTCCAAGTTTGGATTGGGAGTCGATCAAATCCTGGCAGCCAAAGTTATCAACGCTCAGGGGGCGCTGGTGGACGCCGACACAGAGCTGCTCAAAGCCCTTCGTGGCGCGGGGGGAGCATTCGGGGTTGTCGCCGAGCTCACGATTCCGGTGCACCGCCTTGATCAAGTATGACTTGATCCACATCTCCCTAGTCGGCGACTCTGACCATCGGCAGACTCTCGCAGGCGCCATTGCGTTCCAGTTCGATGATCTCCCTGCAGTCATCCGACAGTACAACACGGGCTACCAGGCTTTATGTGCCGAAGGGATCCCTGCAGAGCTCACCCTGCAACAGTGTGTCCTCAACCTTCCTCACAGTAAGACCTTGGTTGTCCTGTTCGCCTGGGCGTCCTACGACATCAAGACTGGACAATCATGGGCCGAGCAAATCAGCGCTCCAGCTCCGGTGGCTCACAACGCCGTCCAGCCAACAACGCCCCTTACCTATCTGACCGACACGGATCGAATGGTGCCGTCCCATACGCGTGGGCGTGTGCGGACGATCAGCCTGAAGCGATTGAGCGAAGAGGTTTTGGACGTGATATCCACCAGCGTCCTGAAGATGCCGACGGATCCGCACACCTTTTTCGCCATGCATGAGCTTCGGACCGGCACCCCATCGGCCCAGGGTCACTCCGACTCTGTATTTGCGGCCAGGGAAGGCCACTTCGTGTTCGAGATGATTGGAAATGCGCAGCGCGAAGAGAATCTGGATCTTGCGACCGCGTGGGGGCAGGACCTCTGGAACGGGCTGAGCCGCACCGATCAGGAGAATGTTCTCCCGTCGACGTATCTTTCTTTGACAGCTCCGGAGGAGTTGCAGATGTCGCCACTATTCGGGGGAAATTTTCCGTGGTTGGTGGAGATGAAAGACAAATACGATCCACGAGGGGTGTTTTCGGCGGCCACGGCGAGGTTTTGAGCCGTCTGTTCAACCTGGGCCTGGTTTTTTTGCTCTCCTGATTCTCTACTCCTTGCTCACCGTGGTAGTGCTGGTGAGAAATAGGACAACGATGCGCACGGGAAGGTCGGCATGGGAGTAGAAGCAATTGGAGAACAATGCCCCATCGCAACCGGCTGAATTTATAATTTTGTAGATGCTCGAACTATGCCTAACTATTGGGTGGGAATGCCAGATCCCCAAGCGCCGGTGCAAGGCTGAGTCAGGCCGACAATGCATCCCAAGCTTACCTACTACGTAGTAGTTTCTTCCCCTCACTTATTCTATCTCACGTGAGGTGTCCATATTTTTCAGGGCGCTTACTGTGTGTGTGTGTGTGCATTGTACTGTACCGAACATACGGTCTCCGTCCGCCATCTTTTCAAGAGTTGACACCCACCAGATAGAAGTTTACCCTAACGAAGTCTCATATTCGCGATCGACATGCCTCGGAAATACCATCCAAAGGTCGAACAAACGGCGTCGACCTCCACCTTCACAGCAGCATCCGAGCGGACGTTGCGCTGCACTGCGTTGTTGCCAGATGGCAAGGAATGCCCGCGTACGACAAAGAAGCCCGAGTATCAATATTGCCGACCCCATCATCAGGAACACAGGAATCTTCATGGCGAGTACAAACGGCTGGAAGAGGAGTATAATGCCTTGTTGTTGGGAGATACAGACGCCTCGGCTGCAGCACTCGCAGAGAAGATCGCACGTGGGACACGGGTCATCGCACTAAGGGACGAGGTTAACCGGCGGTTCTTCAGTGTCAGCCAGGGCAACAGAAATCACGTTCGATGGATCCTGAAGTTAAAAAGGGAGGTCAATATACTGGAGGAGAGATCCAAGATGGGGTCGGATAGGGCCGGTGGTGGGGGTGGGCCAGCGCAAGAAGCCCACAGTGGGCCAGCAGGCAATTCTACGGAAAGTGAGACCCCACGTGGAAAATCCGTTTATCGCTCGCTCCTCTCACCGGATGTACCGATGTCTGATCTAGAGCATCTGCCGGATGATAGTCCGGCAAGAGCCCTGAAGACCGCCCTTGTCCAGGTTACCGATGGATTGAGGCAGCGACTGTATAACATCGTCCCTTCGCTGGATGACTCCTCCCCGGTGAGTGAAGATGACGAGAACGGGGATCCACGGACGCCTGACGTCGGCGATAAAGTGATCAGGTTTCTCCTGCGTGAATTGATTCTCTGGAAAGCAGACACGGAAGTTCTTACTCTGGCGTCCGAAATTGACAACATTGATACGTTTCTGCGACAGGTGCCCTGGGAGGTTGAGAACTATATCAAGTTCTTTGAAACCCTAGGCCGTGAGGACACCCTGCATTTGCTTCGCGATGCCCTCTGCGATTGCCTGCTTCCTCCGGATTCATCGGGAGTCAGAATCCTGGGCGAACGGATCCGCACTGACAATGAAACAAGAAAGATGACTGTTGAAGCCTGGGACGTGTTACATCGGTATTTTCCTGATTATGCAGATTACACAACCGTCGATTTCTTCTGTTTCAGATTCGAAGACGTCCTTCTCATCAGAAGACTCATGGCACTGCAGAGATACTCCCCCCAGTGGTACGGCGGCGCATGTGAAGAACTTCCCTTGCTTGTTTTTCTTGGGTTTATTCCGGTCACTAGAGGCTACCAGGACCCTCTCATCTCTCTCACTGAGAAGGATGGGGTTATTACCGCGACCCAGAACCGTTGCTACCTGGTCGGGAGGATAAGCAAACATGACGCCATAACAGCGAAGCTCGTGCAAGACCTCCTTAGACGCGTCGCCCACTACATTGTGGTGGTCTACGAGACCAGTGGCGATGGGTGTGGACCTTCAAAAGTCGTTCACCGAACCGACATGCTAGACGACAATCCCTGGGTCAAGCGCAGCCGGTCGGCGGACACACATGCGCGTCTGGACCAGACTGACTGGAGCGTCGAATGGTCGTTGGATAACATCCGCAATGATGTACGATTCGTGCAATCCCACTTAGAACGCAACATGGTTAAGGACTACGTCGAGATATTGATCATCGACAGACATCCAGGGCGCATGTTCAGCCTACACAGCCTTGTGAGCGATGCGTTGACTATGATTCTGCATGATCCAAGCGAAGAAGAGATCATGAGAAGCGCCATTCGCAAGTCAATTCCCGAAGCCGAACAAACACGTTGGATAGATGCTTGCTCGTTGGAATGTGCATCTACCGAAGATAGACACGTCGGCGACGTTCACTACGAAGGCGCTCGAGTCCGAGCATGGGACGTGCAGCGGGAACAGCGAAACCTGATTCGTGGCTCGCTGGAGTTTGTGCCCTCACTGCGAGGCCGCCGGCTGATTTGCAAAATCCTAGATCAGATGGAGGCCAGCGGAATAATCAGCCGACTCACAGAACCACACAAATCCTACTCCAGACCTATTCTCCTGCATGGAACCGACGGCCTGGAAGACCTCTACTTCCACTATGATTTTGGTCCCGTTGATGAGAATGCTCTCGCACTAGGGCCCCTAGGCACTGCTACAGCACCCGACTCACTAAGCCGATTCGCTCGCGCGTTCCAGGCGGCGCACCCAGGCGCGATCTTTGCCAAAGGAAGGGTCAACGTTCACTACTGCGCGTGGCCAATGGCTCCGGTATTCCCGGCTCGGATGGGTGTTCCTACTTTCCACACGAGCGAGGGCTATGTATATCGGTGGAATGTTCTTCCATTCGACTTCCCCCTCTCCCAGCGCGTGTGGCAGGGCTTCGTTAATCATACCATCAACAAGGTATTCCCGTTTGCGCAGTGCGTGGAAACAACACTCCTTGTGGCTGCTACCAGTTCGGAAGAGGCGAGTGAGAACCTTGCGTTGTTGACCGGGACGACAGAACGGAAGGGATTGAGCCTCACTATTCCACATATCTCGAGGTGGACTGGGGATATTGACAGTTTGGCATTGTCAACATTATGGGCTGGGATATCCCCAGTCCTGCAGTAGTGAAGGACGACAGATGCACTAGGAGTGGAACAAGAATACTGTTTGGTGAGTGTATTATTTACATGCCCTGGCCGATCCAAAGCTTACGGCCGTAGATGCATCGCGTACCTACTCTAAATTAATGATTACGGCATTGCACGGATCATTGACACCAACTACAAGGGGGTTTTCTATACCGCCACGCCGGCGGGGCGGCAGATGCGGGCCCATCGTATCCGCGGATCGGTTCTGTTGGTGGCCAGTATGAGCGTGTTGATCGCTAACAAGGGGATGAACTCGTCCATGTATAACTCCTCCTAGGCGGCGATTGTTAGGCTTGGACGGAGTCTGGCGATGGAGTGGGCGAAGGTGGATGCTGCTGGGAGTGGTGGGGTCAGGGTGAATACCCTCTATCCAGGGCATGCTGTCACTCCCATGGCGTAGATGATGATCGATCAGGGCCCGGCTACGAAGGAGGTCTGGGGGACGGAGAATATGAGAGGAAGGTTGGGGCGGTCGGAGGAGTTTCGTGGGCTGGCGTTGCCGATGATGAGTGAGGGGAGTAGTTTTATGACTGGCACGACGGTGGTTTGTGATGTGGGGGCATACCGCGTGTTAGGGGTGTCTTCGGGTGCGAGTGGTGTCATTCTGGGCAGATTACCAAATCTTTTTCTGGAAGAGTGAGACGATCCCTAGTGGATGAGCTTGGTAAGTGATGGCGATGGATGCGTGTAGTGGAGTGGGCCTTTGGGTCGGACTGAAGTTAGCACCTTGACGAGCAATGGTGCATATTCACGACTTGGGCGAGGTATAAAGCATTGTCCAAGTTTCTATTCAACAATTTAATGCAGGAACTTGGTAATTTTGGCTCTAGTCACACAACCCTACTTCAACTCCTCCATCTCCCCATAGGTACCCTCCCCTTCGGATGGCCGCAACGCCTTCCCCGGCGGACACAGATGAAACACCGCCTGCACCACATACATGGGCAGCGCATCGAAGCAGTAGATATACGCCTCGTGTGTGGCCAAGAACCCGCCCGCCCCCTGCGCGGCCTCGATCACCCGGTACACGCACCGCAGGATGATCAGCGCCGCAGCCACGAAGCAGAAGTATAGCAGCGTGCGCCAGTGCGTTCGTCTGCGGAACAGCATCATTTTGCGCAACCGCATTTCGAACATCACAGCCGTGAGGAAGAACAGTCCGAAGGAGAAGAGCTGAATGATCAGCCCGACGATCAGGACCTTTTGGCCGGTTTGGGCCGTGGAGGTCGAGCACATCATTGACCCCCCGCCGAGCTGGGTTAGGAAGGAGAGGGTGTCGCCCAGGACGAAGATCTTGGTGACTTTGGTAGGGGCGATGATCGACAAAGCGGGTTGGTGGACGAGGAGGACAATGCGGCCGTAGAGCATGTAGATTGAGGCGGCGTAGAGCGAGGGAGGGAGGAGGATGCAGATATATTGGATGATGTAGGGGGTCAATCTGTCTGGGGATTGGGCGGAGATGGTACGGGTGATGTACCCGATGGTCATCACTGTGAGAGCATCAGTATCATTTGAAGACAGGAGCGTGTTGAAGAGGGGATGGGGAATATACTGATGGCGCCGACGATGAAGACGAGGAAAAAAGGGGCGCGATATTTCCAGGTCTGGTAGCAGTGTAAAAGACTGCTGCTTCCGAAGAGCAGCGCTGCCACGACTGCTGCTCCCACGCTGGGGTCGAAGCCGTAGATGTTCGTACTGTCAACCATGTTCGGAGAGAATATGTCGAAAGAAAGAGAGACTAAACGAGTGACTATCGCGTTGGAGAGCGAAATTGAGCGTGGAGCAATTATCAGCCAGCTACACCAGCTCATGACTTCTTATAATCTAGATAATGTCGTTCTTGCTGCCTACGCATTCTTACCCCTATACTCCCACACAAAGATCCGGCACAGCTTGATTTCTTTCGTTCATACCTCCAATTCAACATAATTTATGTCTGGATTGCACTCGCGAGAACGAAAACGAGAGCGAGAACGAGAACGACAGTGGGGCCGAGCTATAAATAGCAGCGGTGCAGCAAAGTCCTCGTCAGCCATCACAGCTTGGCCTTCTCCGAAAACCGATAGACAACATCCCCAAAACTCCCCCCAGGGAAAACATAAAGCCACTTGAAATCCTCATCGCTGTCGTTCATGACCGAGTGCTCTGCATCGCCCGGGATAAACACGGCCGTGCCCTTGGCAATCTGGTGGGGCTGCCCGTCAATCGTCACCGTAGCGCGACCTTCCAGCACATAATATAGCTCAGCTTGCGTGTGACGGTGGGCACAGAGATGGCCCGTTTGCGGAGGACAGATGGCGATTCCAGCACAGAGATCGCTCGTTGGGGTGGCGGGGTTGGTGAAGAGCGTGCGCCAAGTGAGATGGCCGTGCGAGGGGTCGGGGAACGATTCTGGGGCTTGGGAGGCAATCGCTTCTAGGGAGAGGATGACTGGCTTGGCCTTGGAGGGTGGCATTTTGGGTATATCAGTATATATTGTTCAAGGATATACTATCGTTCATACTGCAACGCGATCGGCTTTATATGAGGACAGCTGATCTATGCGATGATGCAATCTCATGGTAAGAATGCCTATTCAGGTATAATTATGCGGGGATGAGGGGTGAGGGGTTATCAACCGCAGAGATAGCTTTGCATTTGCATTCCACCAGCCACCTATATATCAGGGAATCTCTCACTGTTTCGGGTATCTGCACCCTCCCTAGAAAGGGATCAGACTCAAATACTCCATATCCAGCCAGATTAGACTCGAGCTTCATGAATAACCCCACCACAGGCTCCCATCAAAGGATCAACCAGACATCGCGACCAAGACATTCGGAACCGAAGCAAACGAGCGTTTATCCTATGCGACCGTCAGAATTTGATCTTCGAACACCGGAAGGAGGAAACTCACATTCTTATCGCGACACGCCCAATCCGCCCGCATGCGCTGTGACACAAAACACTGCAACTGCCACGTCGACTTCTCCAGCCAGATTGCCCGGGCGGCAGCCGCGAGCTCGCGCGCGCTGACGGCAGAGGCATCATCGCCGGCCAGCGTCTCATGCTCGCGGATGACCTCGTGCAGCTCGCGTACGATAACCGCGCAGCCGTTGCCCTTAGCCAGATCCGCCGACTCCTTAGGGCTGGCGGCGCCCGTCAGCAGCTCGGCCGATGTAAAGCTGGCGGCGGACAGCGAATCCAGGTCCAGAGCAATCAGCAACGGGCACAGGTGCACGACGAAGAAGATGAAGTAGGCGCGTTCGAGAAGGTCGGGCACGGGCATGTCGTGGTTGCTCATGCGCGGGTCGATCTCGATCCCCGTCGTGCGCGTGAAGTGCGTGCCGTTGAATCGCGTGCCGCTCATGTCCCGCGAGCTGAATCCCAGGATCTGGCCGGTGCTGCGCGAGAACCGCACGAGGGAGTTTTGGCCGTGTGCATCCAGCAAGAGGCCGTTGCGGAAGAGGGGCGTGAGGAAGCAGCGGAAGTAGACGCGAGTGTAGCTGTGAAAATCAGTTAGGGCTTGCTTGGATGAATGATGATGGATTTAAGGTGGGGATAGGGGCACTCACTCGCGCAGGAAGTTGAGACGATCGGCCAAGCTTGTCAACTGAAAGGCCGACTCGGCCACGCAGCCCTTCTTTCCGATCTCCGCGGGCTCAATCAACGCCCCGGTCACTGCGTAACCCACGTCCGCGTCGACGGGGGGCCGCGAGCTGTGATAGGGATCCCATCGAACCATACATGCCAGGTGATCGCCAAGTGCATTGGCACATGTCACCTCAGGAAGGATTTCGAGCGGGATGCCTTGCAAACCGCAGACTCGAGCTGGATCGAGCATGCCAGCAGTCCAGTAGCGCACGGCATTGTAGGCAGACCGGTGGTTGATGGTACGGATGTTGTCCCCGATGAACATGGAGAGCGAGAGCTTGATGCCCAGACCTGGGAGGGAGGGAATCGTCATGCTCCGTGTCGACGCCTGCGCTAGGGCCTTGATTCTCTGGGGCAGTAGCCGGAGTTTGCCCTCGGCCTCCGGTCGCGAAAGCAAGAATCTGACTTGGAATTCGTGAACGGGCAGCACGACCTCGTTGGGGAGAGCCGCGGTTCGCGGGTCCACGCCGGCGGCTTTCAGCAGAGGCGCAAGCTCCTGCTCTAGGGGGCCATAAGAGTCGATAAGATCGCGTTGCACAGCCATGAAGGCAATCTCAGCCTGCTTGAAATTGAAGCCACTCGTGGGCTGTGTTTTGGGATCAACTGGCATGCGGCATTTGTGGAGAGGGTTGATATTGGCTTCCACGATGGACTGTTCCCATGTGATGAAGCTCGAGTCCCGAGTGGGGGGAGGCCGGTTCTCTGCGTAGGCGTCGGCCAGATACTGGGTGGAGCAGCGAAGTTGCGTCTCGAAGATGCTGGTGAGGCGACTGTCCCAGCCCGTCCAGCGACAGAGAATGTTGACGAGGAAGTCTGATGCGACATTGTCGTTGATGTCGGCCCACGGTGCTGAGTCTTCCGCTTTCTGCTGGTAGCACCATCGGCCGAATGTGAGGTCGGACTCGGTCACCAAGCCAGGTACAATATCCCCGTTGGACTCGACCTCTTGAACACGGAACGGGGTAGTGCCAGAGAAGACGAATCTTTCTCTGGGGTATTCGTTCTCTGTGAAAGGGGTAACGTGGTAGAGACCTTCATCTGGATGGTAGAGGACGCGAGCCAGCCGTTCGTTGGCAACCAAGGCCACGGTGCGCCCGAGGGAACCTCGTTGCGCGGACAATGTCGATTGCTCCATGATCTTGATCTGTGAAAATGATGCCAAAACAGCATCCAAGTCTCCCCAGACACTCAATCATTTATTTCCTCTGGCCTGGCTCGGCTCTTGGGTGTTCCCCCGCAATCCCGCAATCCCGCAATCCATCATCCTCCAATCCTGTCTGGCTTCCGCCCACAGCCCAGGCCCTAATGCTGCGAGGCACAGGATTTACCAGCTATTTCCAGTGGTTGGTGAATACCTGTCTCGCCTTATACATGTCATGTATGATTGGAATGCTCTGAGTCACCGAGTCACCCCGCAAGAGCTGGGGTTCTTCTTCACACTTACTTCCCATACCAACCACTTGCCTTGAGACTAACACTAACCTGTTGTACATGAGACACTAAGAGCCTAGTGAAGTCACAGATGACTTCGTTCTCTGGAGCTTATCGAGCATTTCCCCTGAGAAGAATATTAAATTTGTATGATTTGAGACTCGATGCTTTACAACGTTTGGAGCCTTTCTATTCCGCTTCTATTCACTTCCTAAGGTATAAACATGTTTAAGAAAAAGGCTCTCTGGGCAACGCATGTGCGATGGAAGTGAATACTGAGGGTTTCCAAAATTTGCTACGACTTATAGCAGCGACCTATACGGAGGACCAATTGAATACCAGGAACATGGCATCTCGCCTTCGAGACAGACGTGTTGCTTGTGAATTTTGAGATACATTGCAAGTGTTAAAAAGGGTATAAAATGAGCATCAGTGCGGATAAATATCGTTACGATTGCGAAATCATAGTTTCGCCTTGGGTTCAGCTTCGGTGAATGGGACATACACTTGCTGCGGTCGCCAGAGCCTGATCGGGGCAACTAAAAGACCATTAGGGTATTATTCCTCGGAGACAAGTAGAATGAAAGGGGATAACATACTCTGAGTCTCACGCCAGTGGGCCAATCCACCTGGCACACGGGAAAGACCGACGATGGCGGCAAACATGTTCGTCTCAAAGCCCCTGCATTAACATCAGCATTGCGTAGTCGGCTTTCTAAGCAAGGTGGGTAACTCACATGGCAGTGTACAGGAAACAACCCTTCAAATCCGCATTGGCCTTGACGTTCCGCTCGACGAAATATTGATCCTCGTTCGCTTGGCGATCCACAGCCATGGCAATCCGGAGGATGGGGTTTGCGTCGATCGCGTCCTTGTGCTCGTTCATCAGCTCCTCGATCAGCGACAGGCGCGGGTCGCGCGTCTTGTACACGCGGTGACCGTAGCCGAACAGCCGCGTCTTGGAGGCCTTGACCCCCTCGATGAACTCAGGCACGTTCTCCGCAGAGCCGATCATCTCCAGCATCTCATAGGCCAGGTCGATCGCCCCGCCGTGCAGGGGCCCCATCCCCGAGCCGATTCCGGCGATGATGCCGGAGATGGGGTCGGCCAGGGAGGAGCCCGCGTGCAGGAGGGCGGCCGTCGAGTTGGTCATCTCGTGGTCCGCGTACAGGATCCACAGCTTGTCCAGGCACTTTTCGACCCGCGGGTCGGTGATTCCCATCATCCAGAGGAGGTTACCGATCAGGGAGCGATGGGCCTGTGGAGGAGTGAACCTTTTGCCCTGCTTGTGGCAGTAGATCAGGGCAACGGTGGTGGCGTAGTAGGCGATGGTACGGACGATCATCTCGTCGGCGACGGGAAGGTTGCCGTGGAACATGGGCTTGATCTGGCGATGGGAGGCGCGGACGAGGTCATCAGAGGCGGCGAAGGCGCTCAGTCCGGCCATCAGCATAGTGAAGGTTTCGGCCTCGCGTCTAGGAGGACATGATATGAGTGACATTGATCGAGGAAGGTTGCAAATGGAAGCTCACGGGAATGCGGCAATCACATCCACCACCGACTGGGGAGGCACAGCCTGCTTGGCGACAGCGGCGCGGAAATCGATCTTTTGCTTGGCCGAGGGCAAAGAGCCCCAGATGAGAAGGTGCATGACATCTTCATAGACGTAGTCGTGGAATAGTTGCTGAATGGGAACCTCACGGTAACGGATGATCCCACGCGTGCCATCTCTACCAGCAGAATGTCAGTCAGACACAGCACAAGACAAGCCCTAACAGCCCGGAGAAAGCATGGTCACCTACACCAGGGTCACGCTGGACTTCATGCACGCAATGTTGGCGAACCCATTGTCCAAGATCCGCAAGGACCGAGGCGCATGAAGATCCACATCGCTGCTGTTCTTGGTCGGTTCAGGGGATTGGATCTTGCTCAGATCGGAGGCATGAATGTAATTGCCGGGGTGGATGGGGACCTTGATGCTCGCGCCCGACCGAGAGTCGAGAACTTGTAGATGGGCAGGTTCCAGAGAAAGGGAACCTCCCACCATCTGTTGAAGCTGGGTAGTCATTATTTTGTGTGAAGGGATAAGACAATGTTGAACATCTGGACTACAATGGTGGTGTTGGTGTATATAATCTCTGGTGATGCTTTTTTGCCTGATCTCACTTGCCGAGGAGGCGCAGTCCGGCAATCCAACAATCCCGCAATCCCTCCACACAATCTAATCGGCCAGAGTACCACCCATAGTCCAGCAATCCTTTGATCCCTCAGCCTTTTAATTATGTGTCTGTGCTGTGTCTGTGCTTGGCACCGTGGACTGTTGTCAAAGCCATATCTGCTGGCTCATCTGCAGCCCACTGCTCCTGAGCACTGACGGTCGCCATTCTGGTCCAATTCTCGTCCAACGTTCATTCAGTCAGCATGCAGGACAAGAAAGAGTTGCGCATCCTCACCCCAGTGGGAATGCTGGGATATGGCTTCAGTGAGCCGCTGTTTTGGCAAGCCGTCGACGCCGGGGTGGATGCGATTGTGTTGGACAGCGGATCGACAGATGGTGGACCATCACGACTTGCCCTGGGATCTACGACATTTCCGACCGAGCGATATGCTCGCGATTTGGCCATTCTGATCGCAGCTTGTCATTTCAATCGCGTACCCGTCATCATCAGCTCGGCCGGAGGCAATGGGGAGGACGACGCGGTCGACATGTTTGTCGACATTATCAACCAAATCATCGCCGAGAAGCACTATCGACCGCTAAAGGTGGTCACCATCAAATCCGGGATCTCCAAATCATTGGTCTCGCAAAAGATGCAGGTCGATCAGATTGTCCCTTGTGGCGCGGCGCCCCCCTTGCAGGAGGAACACCTGGACCAAGCCCGGTTGCTTGTCGCCCAGATGGGGCCCGAGCCCTATGTGAAGGCGATGCAGGAGCATCCGGATTTCGACATCATCATTGGAGGACGCTCGTACGATCCAGCCCCCTACGTCGCGGTTTGTCTGTACCACGGCTTCACGGATCTGGGGGTCATCTACCACATGGGCAAGATCATGGAATGTGGGGCGTCGTGTGCCACGCCCAAGTCCCCCGAGGCCCTGGCGGTCATTCGCAAGGAGCCCTCGTGCTTTGAGATCACCCCGCTCAAGCCCAGTGCGCGCTGCACGAAGAATTCGGTCGCTGCCCACGCCTTGTACGAGAATGCTCGTCCTGATATTCTGCACGGACCCGGCGGTGCCTTACTCCTGGCCGATGCGTCCTATGAAGAGCTGGCCGATGGCCGGACGGTGCGAGTGTCCGGAGCTCAATTCCAGAAGTCTGACCCATACATGGTCAAGCTGGAAGGGGCACGAGTCAGTGGATATCACGGCGTTGTTATTGGAGCCGTTCGAGATCCGATTTTGATCCATCAAATCGACTACTTCACCACGGAGGTGGTCAAGGCGATGCACGAGAAGCTGGAGTTTGATTTCGACTGCCGGATGCATGTCTACGGCAAGGACGGAGTCATGGGAGCTCTTGAACGAGATCGATCCACCATCCCCAAGGAGGTGGCCATCATCGCCCATCTCCACGCTCAGACCCAGTCGCAGACCACAGAAGCTTGTAAGCTGGCGCGAACTTACCTCGTTCACGGACCCTACCCCTACCAAGCGGCCACGGGCGGCAATCTCGCCATGCCCATCAACCCGAGCAATCTGACCCTGGGACCGGCCTGCGAATTCTGCGTCTACCATCTCATGCAGGTGGACGATCCGACCTCCCACTTTCCGATCGCCGCACAATGGACGCCTGTATTGTCGGAGGACCAGGGACAATTTGCAGTGCACCCGAGAGACAGTCTGCAGCGGAAGAATGGAAGGAAACTCAAGGATCGCCCGATGCCCCCCTGCGAGCTGGGCTCCAGGGATGTTTTCCTCCAACCGCCCCCATCCCCAGGCCATCGTTACCTCGGCGACATTGCTTCGGTGGTGCGGAGTAAGAACGCAGGCCCGTTTGAGCTAACCTTTGACGTCCTCTTTCGCGATCTCAACGCGCTCGAGAGGGTTCGCTCGACAGACGTGCTCAATGTCGGCACCATCGCTCGTCTATACCAAATTCCGACGGAAGAGGTCCTAGTGTGCATGTACTGGCCATTCGCCTGTGCTTTCAAGGCGACGATCAAGCGACCGATCGTGTGCGGAACTTTCGGAGAGACGGACACGCATGGGTCGCAGCAGCATGTTCCGTTATTGTATCTGGAGGTTCCTTGGGCGGAGTGATCGTACGCTTATGTTAATTATGAGAATGATCTTAAGTAGTACATAGCTCTTTTCTTTTGATGAAGACTTGTTAGTATTCACATTTGGTGTGCTGAATTCCTGCCTGACATATATACTCTGTAGTGCTGTAGTGAGAGAAGCGTCCCCAGTATTACTGATGCAGCAGCCCCAATTGATATGATTTACTCTGTGGGAATGCTCTTCCGGCTACCTACCGGAAAGCCTCCACGGGGGATGAGTGTAATAGAACCTTCCAATAACCGCATAGACTTTCCGACCGGAGTAGAGCCAAATAATCACATTTCAAACGGAGAGTAAGGAATAGCTAATTGCAGAAGAACAGTCACGCCTCAATTGGATCCCAAAATACAAACGACCTCGCCTCAATCGACCGCCTCGTCGGCGCATCTTCCGGGGTATCATTATCCCAGAACGCCCCATGGGGCACGACCTTGGTCACATCCGTGTCAAACGAGCTAAACACCAACGCTTCATCAACATCCAGGTCGCTGGCGAAGTAATACTCGTAGCGCGGATCGAATTTCAGCACCGTGTCGTGGTCCTTACCGCCAGTCTCCGCCTCGGAGGGGTCATTGATGGTGTACAAGCGTTCCATGTGTGTGTCATAATGCCAGTCCTCAATCTTCTCGTGGTTGATCAGTAGCAGCGGCCACTGCTTGACGGCCTGATCGATCGACCGCCACACGTTGACGGAGGCCCAGCGCTTGTGGGTGCGCACGAGGCGTTCGGCCTCATCGGCGCCGACGACGTTCTGCAGCCGCAGGAACCCGTTATCGAGGTCGCGGTCGACGTGTGCCACGGCCAGGGAGCTGCCCTTGGACTTGGCGGCGAAGACGTTCTTTGCGTTCAGGTTCTGCTGGCGCACGCGGAACCCGAACGGGATCACTGTTGCGGCGCCGGTGACCTCGGTGACGAGTTTCTGGACCTCCGGGTAGTACTGGGTTTCGATGGTGGCTTTGCCTTCCTCGGTGTCGGCGGCGGCGAGGAACTGTTCGGGGGTGATGGAGGTGGTGTGGCGGACAACTTGGTAGCCTTTGCTGGCGTGGGTGGGTTGCGGCGACACCGAGCGGAGATCCGTCACCGTGATATCGATTTCTTTGGGGGGCTTGATGTTGGTGGAGCCGTTGGCATGGTCGATGTAGGCGTTTTCGCCGTCTCGAGTGCCGTTCCACATGCCCACCTTGCCGGTGGTATTGCGGGAGACGAGAGTGCCTGGCATGGTGATTGAGAATAGTACGTTTGGGCGGTTTGAGTTACGGTGAAGTTGGATGGTCGGTTTGAGGCAGCTACGGGACTACGCTGCAGAATATGGTGGATATAGTGTTAGATACGACGGCCATACTCGTGAGGATGCAGGAAGGAGAGGAATCGTGGATTTGGGGATGGATGGATCAATGGATGGATGGATCAATGGATTGCGGGATTGCGGGATGGCCGGATCAATCTGGGCTAGTTTTGCTTGGCTTCATCGTCTGAACTGCAGGACGGATTTTGCCGCTGGTAAGTTTTTTTCGTGTGTCTTATGCAAAGATTATGAGAAAAATCAATCCCTTGTTCATGGGCGCTAACCAAGGGAGATAAGTCTCAAGCCTGTGATCGGGGGGTATGTGCTCTGGCCACACTGAGTCTGGCGATACTCGATATGATATCTGCATCGAGATACAAGAAGAAGGATAGTTATGAATACTTTGCTGAGTAATAGCAAGAAAGCAGACAGGAATGCATAATGTGAAATGCATGAGTAGTCGAAGATATGTAAGAAATTTCACATGAGTGGAACTTGACAGTGCTATTGAAGCCTCTAGGGCTTGAATTTGCTCACATGATTTGGCTGCCATGACTGAAGCAATGCAACTTGCAGAGCATACCAACTCCTGCAACCTCTCGCCACAACACAGCAGAGCGATAGCGAGAATAGATATTTCACGGGAGAGAAAAAGTCCAATCATTTTCATACTCAGTGCCACGACTATAGCCCACGATGACCTTTGACGCTTCCTCTGGGCTTCCATATTGTCCGCCGCAATAAACTACAAGCGCTGGCAGAGATGGGCCAGGGTCCAGGCAGCAACAAAACACAGAGCTTGGCCGGGTTGACTTGCTTTCCTTGGTACGTGCTCGGGATGCTCTGTCACTAGCTACTGACAGGCTGGAGCTCACGCTCGGTCCATATCTGTCATCTTTCGAGTCAACCTTGATTTCATCTCTGCCTGGATTCCGGCTGATCGACAGGGTCTGATGCTTACTGTCGGTCCACTCGAGTTACAGTACACTGCATGAGACTTATGGCATGAATGCACCATGCCGTTCAGCCCTATGTGCTGTCGATCGACACACAAAGCGTTATTCTCCACTGGTGATCTTCATGCCGCGCAGTATCCTTGCGACGCGAACCAGCTTGATCTTCATGCTGGGATTAGACCTCTCAAGGTATATGGTCACAGGTATATTAGCCGTACGCCCTTGACGTGTATGTGACTACCGCGAGCACTGTAGGATATCGGAGCGGTGATCCTAAAGATAAAGTGTTGCATGGAATCGAGAAGCCTGATACTCAGTGCTCCCTTTCAAACGACGTTTTTGTATCTGCAGAACAGTCAATATCTTAGAGAAAGGTATCAGTCATTCTTGCGGAATCTCAAACCTCTCTTGAGGGGGCGACCAGGGCTGTTCAGTGACTATACCTCACCCTATATCCTCACCGCCGACCATACCATAAGTCGTCCCTTCGGTTCTGGCTCTTAGACTCGCAGCATAAGTCAAATCGGCGGGCGCATTGTGCCCTAAAAAATGAGTTTATCGATTTTTGCCCATAGAAAGCCCGATCGGCCAAGATCCGGGTGGCGATGTCGGCCAAGCTTCACGCGGCGTTATGGGGCGTGCGGGGCGACCGCCCAATGATGTTCCTGAAGCACAATTCATGAATCGCGATTGACTTTAGCCCCCAAGATCCCTCGTGGAACCAAAGGTTCAACGTGAATCAGATCGAACGGACGGTGTGGGTTGTCTCGGCCGGTAATGGACAAAGTGGACACTGCATAGCACCGAAGGCGGGTCAAACCGACGTATACACTATGACTCGACATTCAGCAAAAGAGAAAGCAACACACTTGGCACGATCGGTTCTCTTTCAGCTGCAGTCAGTGGAAGCTAGACTGCTTGGGGAGGCAACAGCCTTCAGATGGAGAGCTCCACATGGCTACAACAATAGTGCGGTGGGACTGCTGCACGGCCTGGCCTTGGCTAGTGTACCAGTCCACATGGCCCTTCGTCATGAACTTTATTTACGAGGCTGAGTTTGCCTTGAGGCAAAATATAGGTCCAGACGGCTAAGGATGAAAGGGAGGCCGACTATCCCCGAAGACTGAGCCAAATCTAGGTTCGGATGGGCGAATCTGTACGCTGTTGCCAGGGATTATTTTATCTCGTGAGCAGGTATACTATTGTGGGGGGTGGAATACAGAATGATTGAACATGTTGCACCTGCTCCATCGAACTGTGCTGTACTCAAAATCGAATTGTATGATTTCAGAAAAGAATCGGTCTCTGTCTCTATCTTGTATTGTCTTGGGGTATATTCATAGTGCCGGTCCAACATCCCATGGCCAGGACTCGGGTCAAGCCATCCGTAACCTTCAATTTTCTTCCACCCTTTCCCTGCCCTCCTTTGCTAAGTTATAATCCGTACCAACTCTGGGTTGCTTAAAACCGCAAGTCGGCTGGGTCGTGGCCGACCGTTGGAGTATCGGCGGATGCGGTTGCAGCTTTGACGAGCCAGGTGCGTATCCCGCGCGGAGCTTCGGGTAAAGACTGCTGCGCACAAGGGACATGTGAAATTGCTGGTGGTCTTGGATTTCTCCTTCTGGTGTCGGATAAGGTTGCTTTTGGAAGAGAAGTGTCGGCCATTACAGCCATGATCCCAGCACTGGAAATTCTTGGAAGACTGTTGTGGCTTTTGTTTTGGTGTCGTCGTAGTAAGCATCTCGGCCAGCTGGCTTGTATCCTGTTGGTAGAAGTCCGCCATAAGGAGGGGATCGATGTCGCCGTACGGTTGGTGATGATCTCGTATTTGTTCCGAGCTGTTACGGAAGGGTGGTCAGAAAATGCTCGCTGGAGGATAGGGTGGTGTTGGTTAACTCACTTTAGAGTCATGACTGGCAAGTCTGTGGCTTGGTCGAGGTTGAGCACCAAGCTCTCTTCACCTGAGATACTTTCCAGCCCTTCCACGGATGAGCTCTCATCCCACGCAAACTCGGGAACCATATCATCATAATGCAGGGTATCCATAAGGTCGGGGAAATCTGTTTGGTGACCGAAGTTTTGGAATGGGCTTGATAACGGTTCCATTGCGTCTTGCAAGTATGTGTCTGCAGATCTGTCTGAGTACATGGGTGGGAGTTGCATGATAACCACTCAATTTATATTCCAGCTGCATGCTTCGCTCCACCTACACGTGGGAAGGGTAAGGGCACTGGAGTTGCTGCGGGCAGAATGCACAAACCAGTGCAGAATCCACTGAGGGGGTCATCAGTGCCAACCAAGCGAGTCGCGACAAAGCAAACCCCGCTCTTTAGCCTGAGTCCGCTGATACAATCTCACCCCTCCCTCCAAGCCTCATGGGGGCATATTCACACTCATACAGGTACGTAGTGATAGAGAAAGCTGCAAAAATGGAGGGAAAGTAATATCAGTTTCCAAGTTGCCAGTGGTTCAGGGCTTCTAGACCGCGGAAGGATCCCGGGCTGGCTGGCGGAGATAAAAACCTACCGGATCACCAATCACACCCGCCCGATTAATCTCCCGGCCCGTTCCCTCTAACTACCACCACTGATACCTTCCCAAGTCACTTTTCACCTCCTCAACTCAAAATACCTGTTCGCTGGTATTTATACCTTAAGTTGTCTCCCTGATGGTGTATTCTTATTCTTGACTTTCCTGGCAACCATTTTTCTGCCCGAAAAAAAATCGAGAACAATGGAGGCTGACCAAGTTATGCAGTCACCCTCATCTCCTGCCACATAGGGTTGAGGATCAGACTCTCTGCCAGAATTCCTCCTAGCCAAAAATAGAAGGATCGTCCTTTTGGAAACCACCATGCAGCCTTCCTCGTATTTTCTTGGGCTATATTAGTCAATATTAAGATCCCCCCCGGTCTGATACTCAGTACCAAAACGGAAGCTTAAGTTCTGAACATATCTTCAAGGTGAAGTGGGGGGAAAGACGAAGGTGGTTAGGCGCTCCACTTCTATAACACCCACAAGCTATCGCCTTCCCAGCTGCAAAAAGGTTCAAAGGACCCTGCCGGACAGGATGCACGGCCACCCAATTAGGGCCCACCAGTTGGAGGCTGTCACACGCTAAGATTGACCAATTTCTTACTCGCACACTCCAACCTTCACACCACATTCCTAAACGCCTTGGTTTGCATCCTGAGTGACCATTATTAAGCCGAAATGACCAAGTCAATTACCGACCATTCGGAGTTTCCTGTCCTTCTTACCTACCTCGATCCTGGGCAGTCAGTAGGCAGTCCAAGATGTTACATCTCCAGCGACTGCCGACGTCCGTGGAAATACGCCGTCTCCAATGATCGAACCCGCCGGACCCGCTCCAAGACTGGCAGAATGAAGTGGAGGCATCCAGCTGGGGCGTGGTTAGCAGCCTTAGTGTCTCCATCGCGGCTCATTGGGATTCTCATGGCAATCCTGTCGGACTCTCTCACTCGCAATTCGCTCAAACACTCATAATTCGGCAATGTTTGCTACGCCCGCTCGCAGTCAGAATCTTCTTCCTGGACGAGACCACCACCTGTTGATGAAATAAGCAGGTCAATTCTCACTGCCATGGCCACCCAGAACGATCCCCGTCAGCCGCCGCACGCAGAATCCCATCAGGCTGACTTACGCGATTCAATCCCGAATGACGAGAATCGACTCCAACAGCAGTTAGTGGCAAGCTCTGCACGAGCCAAGCCAATGATCCCCTGGGTGTATGACCTGGGGCTTCACGTTCTCAGTGTTACGCTGGATGTCTTCTTCCGGGAGGTCTCGACTCGCAATTCCTTCCGGGTCCCCAACAAGGGACCCGTCATCCTGGTGGCTGCGCCACACGCCAATCAATTCGTCGACTCGCTGGTCTTGATGCAGCTGATGAAGAAGCATGTTGGCCGCCGTATCTCCTTCCTCATCGCGGAGAAATCACTGCACGAGCCCTACATTGGCACCATCGCGGGCGCCTTGGGCAATCTTCCCGTCACCCGCGCCATGGACCATGTCCGACCGGGCCAGGGGACCATCTACCTTCCCTCGCCCGAGGGGGACCCGACTCGGATTAGTGGAGTTGACACTGACTTCACGGGACCAGACGTCATGGTCGGGGGCAGCATCATCCTGCCCAAGGTCGGTAAGGCCGTGCCAGAAAGCCAGTACATTGAGGAGATCATAGGGCCGACTGAGCTCCGGCTTCGAGCCCCGTTCCAGACTCCACACGCCATGGCTCTGCTGACACCGGCGACGGGCGCAGGAACGAGGTTCAAGGTCGCCCCGCACATTGATCAGAAACGCATGTTTGCCTCCGTCTGGCAAGAGTTGTCGCAGGGGGCCTGCATCGGCATCTTCCCGGAGGGCGGCAGCCATGACCGCTCGGACCTGCTGCCCTTGAAGGCCGGTGTAGCCATCATGGCCCTCGGAGCCCTATCGCGGGATCCGGACTGTGGCCTGTCCATCATCCCTTGCGGCATGAACTACTTTCATGCCCATAAATTTCGATCGCGGGCGGTCATTGAGTTTGGCCATCCCATTGATGTTCATCCCGATCAGGTCAAGGCCTACGAAGCCGGGGGAGCACAGAAGCGCAATGCCATCGGCTCCCTGCTGGAGACGATCAATGATGGTCTCGCAGCGGTCACTCAACCCAGTCCGGACCACGAGACCCTACAACTGATCCAGGCCACCAGACGCCTGTATAAGCCGATCGGCAAGAAGCTGCCCTTGCCGTTGGTGGTTCAATGGAACCGGCGGCTACTCAAGGGGTACACGAGATACCGGGATGACCCGCGAGTGGTGCGACTCAAGAAGGCAGTCTTGGATTATAATGTCAAGCTTCGAGCACTGGGCATTAAGGACCACCAGGTGGAATGGGGCAATGCCACCGATCGCCCATGGCTGGTGGCCTTTGCTACGCTACTGTATCGACTTACGGAGCTGGTCGTCTTAAGCGTCGGCACCCTTCCCGGGGTACTTTTGTTTTGGCCTGTCTTCGTGACCACCAAGGTGATTTCGGTTAAGAAGAAACGGCAAGCATTGGCAGCATCAGTGGTTAAAGTCCGAGCCCAAGACGTCGTTGCAAGCTGGAAGATCCTGGTGGCGCTTGGATTAGTCCCGGCGCTGTATACTTGGTACACCTTCCTGGTCTGCTTCTGGCTGCGCTACGGGCGCTCTGGTGGCCACTATTCTCATCTTCTGCCCTGGTATATGCAGGTGCATACTTACATCCCAGATTCTGTCCCTCTGTGGCAATTTGCGATCGGGTTCTTCGCTCTCCTGGTCGGGGTGTCGTTTGCAGCGCTCGAGATCGGCGACACTGGTATGGATATTTTGAAATCTTTACCACCGTTGTTGGTCGCATTGAACCCACGTTCATCAGGATCTTTGAGTCAAATTCGAGCGACCCGCAACGCTCTAGCAGTCCAGGTACGCGAGGTAATCGATGACCTCGGAGAAGAAGCATTCCCGGGATTCGATGCCAGCAGCATCCATGGCGATACGCATCGTGAGGATGCTTACCTTTCTCAGCTCAAGCCAACCTCTGATCTCTGAACGGAATATCCTCTGAGACCTACCGTCCATAGAAGTCTGTATGTTCGTTATTTTCCAAACCACAAACGCAATCTTTTCTTTCTTTTCTTCTCATTTTTTCTGGGTTACGAAGTCAAACGCCAGCACGATCGGCTAGAGATGGGCCTCCGGCCGCCCCACCCAGCATAGCCGCGTCCCACCTCTCCCTTCCATTCCAAATTGCCAATCCTTTCAAATCCAACAAAGTATGTTGGCAAGCTTTGTCCAAGCACTCTTGGGGGTTGAGATTTGCTCCCCCACTCCAGATTTAGCGCGCTTGATCTCGTCAAGATCCCCAAAACAGCCGGGCCCTGTCAACCCCAATTCCCCGTTTGAGGCTAGACTCTCTCGCTTGCGTGTTGGTGGAGCAATAATGCATGAGAGCCAGACTAGCGGGCTAGCGACCTAGCCTAGGACCGGTGTCTGTCCAGCCATGTGCTTGTAGCCTTGAAATCTTGCAGGGATCTTGTCCCAACACTTCCACGATCACTGATCAATATCAATCGGTTGACCTAGGGCCTTATCCGCGCGGTGGAGCATGATTTTCCTTTTCCACGGGAATGTGGGTACGTTGCGGGTAGGATGAGGTTTCATCGCTTTTCGCTTTTCGTCCAGTGCTCTGTGGCTGTACGGAGTAGGGTCGATCGATCCGTGCGGTGATTTGACGATTCGGAGTCTTTAACTGACGCTGTTATGGTCAATTTCTCGAGTTGGAAACCGGCATTCTCTGTCAGAGGTTGCAATGTTAGGAACGGACCCTCGAAACCATACGTTGTAGTAGGACAACATATATCTATACCAGGTGGCTTGGCGGCGTTCCGGCGGATATCAACTTCAGCCTCCCAAGTCATACAGACCTGCTACTTTGACTTTCCTATGATCTTTGTTTTCATAGTACGAAGCTGATTAGAATAATTTCTTAGACCCCGAACGAGTTATCCTGCTACAGAGTCCTAGGGTTGCATCCTGCATCGAAAACAGTGGACCCCAGCTAACTACACGTGGTGGATGTTCGAGAAAAAGATCCAGTGCATCAGTACAGCGGCACTAGCTCACTAGGCTACTGGCTAATACTTGATTACAGAATTTCAATTCATGTAGGCGATTAGCAGCCATGTGGTTGTAAACTTGTAGTAGACATGGAAGGCAGAGCGGAGAGACGCAATGCCGAAAGCCGGGCGAGCAGCGATGACTAACCGTCGTGAGCTCCGGATTTCGGCCACTACTCGGCCCGACTTGGCTCAGAGCCGACCGCGACGCCATTTCTATCCATTGCTCCAGGCTCTCTGCCATGTCTGCTATAACGGGGGATATATAGTTGATTGCGAGACTGATTTCACAATGTATCTGAAATAGGCCATGGCGATATGTAGTGGTTGCATGGAGTCACTCTAGGTCGAAGCCGTCAAGGCCGAGTACCATGACAGCGGAAATTCCCGCCAGGTCAAAGACTCCGCTAGTTGCTTTTTTCCATGGATCAGGAACCTGAGAACACCACCAGATAAGAGCCAGAAACAGAATTCACGAAGGATGAAACTAAGGCTGGACTACTGAGCCTCAAATCCAACCTTGGAGGTGGGGAGGAAGGAGGGCTAGGAATAGGGGATTGCAGGAATGCAGGAATACGGGGCGTGAAGGCGTGAGGGGGAGAACATTTTCTTTTGCTGCGGAGTAGGAACTCATGAGGGGTCAGCAGTCAAGGCTGGCCGTTGATGAATCTAACGGATTCTCTGATCAGTCTAGCAGAAGATTTCCCGTTGAGGCCAGCCCAGCTTACTAGTAGGTAGTGCCGTGCAGTCAGTCAATCAATCAGGAAAAAATGGGTTGAGAGGACGCCAAGACCGATGCTGGCCCTACAACAACAACACTCACCACATCTCTCTCTCCGCTCCCTCTATCAATCTCCCCTTCCGGTCGAATGTCACCACGCCCTGAGTAGCTTCCCACTCGGTGTCACAGTTTGATTTTCCGCTGGCTCTGTTCTTCATCCCAATCTGCTTGATTTCTCCAGATTTGAGACTTTTCCGACCGTGGCAGTATGGAGACTTCCCAGTCTCAAGGGCCAGTCCCCGTGACCGACCCTGCCCAAAGCAAAGAGCCACCACTGCCGATCAAGGAATGTCAAGCCTCCGAGACAGACTCCAACATCAACCTGGTAAGTCGTCTCTTTCGGTCGGACACTGCATCTACTGCATACCAGTGTTCATCTAAGTCTCCCCCTCCACCTCCCATCCGCTATTGACACTTCCAAGGTGACCTGGGACGGCGAAGATGATCCCGACAACCCGAAGAACTGGTCGTTCAAGATGCGATGGAGGATGACCGCCATCGCCTCAACCTTTGCCTTCATCTCGCCCATCTCCACCTCCATGACCGCTCCAGCCTTGAGCACGATGGCGAAAGACCTGCACATCCACCATGCCTTCGAGCAAACGATGAGTCTGTCGATCTTCCTCCTGGCATACGCCTTCGGGCCCCTATTCTCCGCCCCAATGTCCGAGGTCTATGGGCGGCGCGCCATCTTGCAGGGATTCAATCTGATCTATCTCGCCTTCAACACCGCGTGTGGATTTGCACAAACAGGGCCCCAGCTGATTGTCTGTCGGTTCTTTGCTGGGTTTGGAGGGAGGTGGGTTGCCCCGTATCCGGCATTGTTTGGCCTCATCGATCTGTGTTCATCATCTGATTCATCTACAGTGCGGCAAGTGTGATTGCTTCTGGCATTCTCGGGGATCTGTGGCGCAAAGAAGAGCGAGGATTGTCCGTCAGTATCTACACCATGGTCACGCTGCTGGGACCAACCCTAGGCCCTCTGCTAGGTGGATTTATCACTCAGTACAGCTCCTGGCGCTGGACCTTCTGGAGCGTGAGCATCGCCGATGGTCTGTTTCAACTCATCGCCACCTTTTTCTTCCAAGAGACCTACGCTCCGGTGCTGCTGGGTCGCAAAGCAGCCCGACTACGCAAGGAGACAGGCAACACGTCCCTCCGCACCAAATGGGAGGAAGACGACCTGAGTCTGCGCAAAAAACTGCGGGTTGCCTGTACCCGGCCGTATATTCTGCTGGCCACGCAGCCCATCTTTCAGGTGCTGACCCTGTACATTTCCTACTTGTTCGGGCTGGTCTACCTGGCGCTGGCGACCTTTGCCGAGCTCTGGACCACCCAGTACCACCAGTCGATCAGCATCGCTGGCTTGAACTATCTGGGGTTGGCCGTGGGGTACATCATTGGCACCCAATCCTGCGCCATGCTGATCGGCATCGTCTACCGCCGGTTGGTGGCGGGCAACAATGGCACCGCCCAGCCCGAGTTCCGTCTCCCGCTGCTGCTGCCCGGTGCCCTAATGGTCCCGGTCGGACTGCTGTGGTATGGGTGGAGTGCGCAGCATCATTTGCACTGGATCATGCCGGACATCGGCATTGCGCTGTTTGCCATCGGGGTCAAGTATGGCACGCAGTGCACCCAACTGTATGCCCTGGATGTGTATCCCACCTACGCCGCGTCGGCGAGTGCGGGGGCGCAGTCGTTGCGCTCGCTGGCGGGGTTTACTTTCCCGCTGTTTGCCCCGTATCTCTATGACAAGCTGCACTACGGTTGGGGAAACTCAGTGCTTGCTTTGGTCGGATTCGTGATCGGGGTGCCCGCCCCGATTCTGTTGTGGATTTACGGGCCGGCGTTGCGCAGGAGAAGTCAGTACGCCACTGGGGTGTAGACTCGAGTAACAGAATGAATACCAGATATATACCATATATAAACAGAGCAATAGAAGAGCTAATACCGTATCCTACTGGTCTTCCGTCTATGATTCCATTTCTAATATCATTGCTAAAAAAAAAACAAAAACCTGCAGTTCTACTATGAACTTCCATAAAAGTCGTCATCAATCCCCATAAAGGACCGACAGTACTTCAATCCTTGCAGCCGCTGCACCTCGATCTGCTCCCACGTCCACTCCCTCCCTGCCTTGCTAGCCGGTGTGAACTCGAACTGTGCATCTACGCTGCTCTCACTGCCCTGGTCCGCCACCGCCACCGGCTTAGCAGGCACCTTCCCCCCAGCGGCGAGCAACCTCTCCACGGGCACCGTCAATCTCCCCTTCTTCACACAGTATTTGCTCATTCCCACCGCCGCGACTATGCTGCTCCCATCCTTGTTTCGCTTGCCCGTCTTCACAAAGTGTGTCAGCACGTAGATCCACTTCCGATCCCAGGCCACAACCTGCGACCGCATCTCGTACCGCTCGAACGGTTTGATCTCCTTCTTGAAACTGCAGTACACGCCGCCGAGAGCGATGAAGATCGGTGCACTTTTCGGCGGCGGGTTCCCCTCGGCTGTGGCCTGGGCGGCGAGTTCGGCATCGATCTCCGCGCTGACTTTCTCGCGCCCGGGCCAGTAGAAGTAGGCCATGGGCGTGATGCGCGAGGCGTCCAAGTCGGCGTAGTAGGTGCTGTTGGATTTGTGGAAGTTGTAGTCCGTCTCGAGCAGGGAGCAGTAGGAGGTGGTGGTGCCGACGGCGAAGATCGGGTGGGTTGGGTTGCCTTGCAGGTCGACGGGCGGACTGGGGTTGCTGGGTGGATAGGCGAGGTCGTAGAGCCCGTGGATGAACCAGTAGACGAGACGAGTCTGGATGGCCTTGGGTCAGTGGGATGCTAGATGGAATGGATTGTGTCTGTAGACTCGAGTGTGGGCGTACCGTCCATGCGAAGGGCAGAGATTTCCAGTTCAGTACGGCAAATGCGACGAGAAAGACCTTGCTGGGCGATAAGGAGCCGACTAAGCCGGCTATTTCGGTGGCTATCATGATTGCTGTCTCGAACTAAATGCTGCGTTTGCTGGAAATCGGTGTTCAATGTGATGGTTTGGCGGGTTGATCGACTTGGTGAGTATGTGATGGGACAAGATACAACCCCGGGTTGAATATAGCCTGGCTTCAACTTCGAATGAGGAGAAAATAGAAAGCTAAGTGTGGCGTTAGAAAAGGCTCTTGCGTCTATCGTCGTCTCGTAGCAATCTGTGAATCAGAGAAGGAATCAACTGGCCGTTGTTTGGTTGCAGGGAAAGGATTTGGGGATTGAAGGATTTGCGGATCGGAGGGTCCATCTCGCCAGATGCCACCCCAAACAGCCTTGCAGCGGTTGACATGACAAACGAATCCTGCGCGAAGTATCCCAGGAATGACGGATTGTGGGATGTTTTGCTTGTGAGACTGGGCTCACTTCTTGTACATAACTTGCAACGCTCTCGAGTTCTATATTGAAACTACGATCTGCAGCGACAGGACTGACTGATCGACTGACGCCAATTCTCGTCTCACAATCCCCAAAATGACGGTGCAAGAAAAAGAAATCCTGGCCGACAGGAAAGAGCCTCCAGCCCAGCCGCTCAATGAGATCCATTGGTTCAAGCGTCTAGAGTGGTTCCGGATGTTCATCATCTGGGGTATTCCTTTGCTCGGGTTCATTGGAGCCACTCAGGTTCCCTTGCACAAGAAGACGGCTATCCTCACGATCGTCTATTATTTTATCAGTGGGATAAGTCTTTCAGCAGGTGTGTCAGCACTTTCACTCTCCTTGACCCGGAGATCGTGCAAAACTAATCTACAGACAGGTTACCACCGGCTCTGGTCTCACCGCGCCTACACCGCAACCGCAGTAACGCGGTTCTTCCTCGCTTTCTTCGCAGCATCCGTTGGCGAAGGCAATGCCTACACGTGGGCGCGCGACCATCGTGCCCACCACCGCTTCACAGACACTGATCAGGATCCGTACAGCGTGCACAAGGGCCTGTTCTATGCCCACTTCGGCTGGATCATCTTCACGCAGGACCGCAGCCTCACCGGGCGCACCGACGTGTCCGACCTCAAGAACGACAAGATTGTGATGTGGCAGCGGCGCAACTACATGTCGCTGTTCGTGCTCACTGCGTTCATCTTGCCCACAGTCTTCGCGGGGCTACTCTGGGACGACTGGTGGGGCGGCCTGGTGTACGCCGGTGCCATCCGGATGTTCATTGTCCAACAGAGCACCTTCTTTATCAACTCCATCGCCCACAGTCTCGGTGACCAGACCTACTCCGACCGACACTCGCCGCGCGACAGCGTCATCACCTCCTTCCTGACCGGAGGCGAGGGCTACCACAACTACCACCACGAGTTTCCCATGGACTACCGCAGCGGAGTGCGCTGGTACCACTATGATCCCCCCAAGTGGACGATCTACATCCTGTCCTTGTTTGGGATGACGTCCGACCTGAAGCAGTTCCCCGACAATGAGGTCAGTATGGGCGCGCATCAGCAGAGGATGAAGAAATTGGACCAGGAGGCCAAGGGGATCAGTTGGGGAACCCCGGTTGAGGATCTTCCGCTGTTGACCTGGGCCGAGTATACCGAGAGAGCGAACGGCGGCCACCATTTGATCTGTCTCAAGGGAATTATCTATGATGTGGCTCCATTCGTACATCAGCATCCGGGTGGTACCAAGATCATTCTTAGCCAGGTGGGGAAAGACGCCACAGAGCAATTCTTTGGTGGGGTCTATGCCCATTCGAACGGAGCGGAGAACTTGCTGTGCGGCATGAGATACGCCAGGCTCGTGGAAGAGACAAAATAAGGAGATGATTGGTTCTGATTATCTTGAATGCCGTGCACGATGGGATGATCGATGATGAGGTTGCGGTTTCTGTATGTTTGCCTTGCTTAGAAAAGACCGCGCTGGATGGAAAGAAACCATAGACATCAACGCAACAGGTTTGGAATGAGGGTATTGAGGTGATGTAGATACTCGGGCGGCAAAAAGAATGATCAATATGATGTCAGTGAGGCATTAGTGTGCCTTGGTTGCCAGCCGTTGGCGTATACTTTCATACCAACAGTTGAGTCTTGTATTCCATTAGAATTCACACCTTTTCATTTGTCTCTCGAGACCCTTGTTCCCTTGTTCCCTTGTTCCCTTGTTCTGCGGGCCAGGTTGCCCGCAATACCCGCATGGGAGTGTCTGCCCGTTGTGGGGCCATGCGCGATATTCTCGCCGAATTTAGACGCTCGAGAACTTTCCGGACTGCACCAAATTCACAAACTAACTAACTAACTTATTCCTGATGACGCAAGGGATAAGGTTGTCTTAGTACACTTTCTATATATGATCTCTCGAGTTCAGATTGAAAGGCCGTTCTATGCGTGACATCTCTCTTTGGAAGAACGATCGCATCCTCGCACTGCATTACCCTACACCTGCTCAATTTGCGCGGATAAAAACATGGAATCCGCAGTCACGACATCGGTAGCACATGATGCCCTTCTAAGTCCCGTGAGTCAGGTCAGTGAACCCTTAGTGAGCCAGATTGTCCTGCTGGGATGGCGGATTGACAACTCTTCCAGGTATCCGGTATCAGCAGAAGTCTCGCGAGCACACCCTCTGACACACCTGGCGATGTGACGAGCTGCACAGCTTGCACCCGCCTATGTTCGGAGCAGCGAAGCGCAAAGCCTAGTCGAAAAACAGCTCCAGTAGGAGGCCTTGTTCTTGTACCATGACATGGTCATAACTATACTGACAGGATCGCAGGCCACTGCGTCACGACCGCGCAGCCCGTCAACCCTCACATCGCGCGAACTCGAGAAGAGCTTCCGGGCGTTATCCTGTCACCACCGGAAACTACAGCAGAAACATGTCGCCTTGATGAAGGCCCACCAAGAGAAAGACGAGGAGATCACACGCCTGAATGCTAAGATCTGTGCGTTGGAAAGCGAGCTCTACCTGACGCGACTCGCGTACAGTGATGACTTTGCCTTTGATCCCCTCCAGACCTCGCTGAACCAGTATGATATTCGGCCGACGAGGGATCCCACTCCCGGCAGGGAAGCAGCCTCTTCCGATGTCGGGTTGAGTACTCCGAAGCCATGTTGAACCGCTGGACCTCTAACATAACGCTTTGATTGTGCGTTTGCGCGTTATGCGCAGATGATTGGGGCTCGCGTAGCTCCAGCTTACCTCCAACATGCAAGGGTGGATGTTTTCTGATGTTTTCTGCCAAGAGGCTGTGTGCCGCGGAGGCTGTCGGTGCCTCGGCTATCGAGTCGGAGAGAAAGAAAATTCTACCGAGACAGCCCGACCCAAGTCCGAACGAATCCCGAACAACCTCACACAGCAAGAAAGATAAGGTCCAAGTTCGGCCTGGTGATGGACCCCTGCGCTGCCTTGGAAAGGTGGTGGGGTTCTCAGGTGGCCCTATAATAAGCTTGAAACTTACGAGTCCACAATTCTCATGGATCGGGTCGCTCACAACCCTACAAAGCTCAATCCATAAAAAAGCTTGCGAAGAACCTTTGTTGACGGTCGCATTCTTGGACAGGAAGGGTTGGGGATGGGAAATAACAAGAATAATAAGATCATCGCAGATTCTATACATAACATACAGCTTTGCGTCTATCGTTCCGGTCGTTGGATTCCGCGCCGCCACCTCCGCTGCACCTACTCAACAATCAGCCTAAGCAGTCAAGGGCTTTTGTGCGGTCACCACCAAGAAATCGAAGATGGGGTGAACCGCGCCCTTCAGAGCCTCAGCCCGGACCCCAGCGTTCAGAGCAGCGACATCTTCCTGCGTCCAGCCCAGAACATCGATGAAGAGCTGCGCGGTGAACCCCTCCACCCCCTCGATGAAATTGACCCGCATAAAGCTCCCACATTCCTTCAGCCGCGCATCCTTGGGCCATGGTCCGATGGGCAGCTTGAATGCGTGCTTCTGGACGTTGGTGAAGCCCGCCTCGCGGACCCAACCCTCAAAGGAGGGTGCTGGGTCCAGGGTCTGGCCAATCTTGTCCCCGGCCTCGAGTAGGCCCTCCATCATCTTCACCATCCAGCTATCGGGCTTCAGACTCCCATCCTCGGAATACAGCGTGTTGGCTGATTCCTGCAGTTCCAGCCAACCCCCGGGCGCCAGATTGTCATAGCACTGCTGGATCAGCCGGGGCCAGTCGCGGATGGACCCGGCCATGTAGCGACAGTGGATGTAGTCGTAGGGCTTGTTACCCACCCAGTCCTTCTCGACGTCGTCGACGACGAAATGCACGTTGGGCGGCACCCAAGCCGGCTGGATGGGGCTCAGGTCATTGCCGACGATCTTGTCGATGGTTGGGTTCTCGTCGCCCATCTGGATCGCCCACACGCCTGTGCCCGTGCCGATGTCGAGCATTCGCAGTCCACTGGGGTCAATGGGCGCCAGGTACAGCCGCTGGTTCAGCAAGCGGTAGAAGACGTGGTGGATCATGTCCAGCCGGTCCTGTTCGGGCTGATCGTTGGGGAATGGGTAGCTGCCCGATTGATAGGCGTGATACCGCCGACCATGTCGGTATTCATACTTCAAGACACTCGAGCTCAGCGAGGTGGTTGACGAGGAGGATTCATTTCCCCCACCAGCCCCGGGATTCTCCTCCCCTATGTCCACTTCGATGGGGTCGGTGGTTGCACGATGAGCCATGGAGGTCGAATGTGCAAGTGAACGGATCGGATAGCAGAATAAATAATTCTAGTATTTATTTAGCGATTGATCTTGATTTTTCTCGCCTCTTCCTCTCTCCCTTTAGGTTGGGGAGAAAAAGACCACGTCTTGAGGAAAACTTGATTAAAGGAGTTTAGCATCATGCAATAAATCGTGCCACGTGCCTGTCAAATAAATACGGAGATCGGTCTTTTCCGGGCCGATACTAGGGAATAAACTAACTTAGTAGTTTGGTACTTTAGTACTACTTCAGACCAACTAAGTTATGGTACTCCGTACTTAAGGCCGGTTATTATCGTGTGACGCTGGCGGTGAGAAATTGCTGCGTTGGCAGTCAGTCTAGTTAAACGGTTCTGCCTGATTTCCGAGTCTCAATAATCATTTATGGTCACAGTATTTATACTTACTTACCACTCTCGCCACCACTGGACTCCTCTTGTAGCAAGCAATAACAGCAAATAAGCGGGGCAACAACATCCACAGGCCCAAGTCTATCCGCCATCATCCACTTTTATCTTTGCCACCCCCTTTCCCCAACTGCATCTGCTCCCAGCGCTGAACGTACCAATAACAAAACCCATACGAGATATCCAAAAGCAGAAACACCGCCAGACTCCACAGCACCAAGGGACTGTTCAGCCACGCAAATGACTCCGGCCAGTACCACCACCGCAGCCCAGCGAAGACCACCGTGCAGCAGGATCCGAGGAAGCGAGAGAGCCTGAGCCTGTCAGTACGTCGCTGCCAAAGCGCATGAAGGCATCGTTAGGGCAAGGGTGCTTACCACAGAGCATACGAGGCGCCGCGGATGCTGCCCCGGCTCACCAACTGGCAGAGTGCCCCGGCACTCAGCGCGAGCTGGCAGAAGACCGCACCCCAGGAGTAGGCCAGGGAGGGGCTGATCTCGCGCGACAGTGCCAGGAATCCGGTCAAGAAGATAACAATGCCAATTAAGAAGATGAGCGCGAGGTTGCGCTGGACGAGCAGCGCGTGGTTCCATTCGTTGGGGGCATGTTTAATGGCGGCGTAGATGATGGCGAAGTTGATCGCCAGGCCCACGAGGAAGACTCCCTGTTCGATAAGGCTTTTCGATGGGTAGATTAACCCGAACACGGTTTCCCAGGCAATGTTGGAACAGAGAGGTATGATCGCCATCGCATAGGTCTTGTCGCGGAAGGAGACGTGCACCATGCCGATGTAGTTGATTGTCCAGCCTAGACCCATCCCGAGCACGAAGAGGTCCGCGATGGGCTTGACAGCCTGGTAGGCTTCCGGCGCTGTAGTCACATCGAAGCCGTCCATGCTGAAGATCTTGGGTGAGAATGATGTTTCCAGAAGACGAAAGGGCCTGATTCCGCAACGCTGGGACCTACTTCGAGGGGGAAAGCTGAGGCGGCGGTCATCATCATTTTAAACGACCTGGCCCACCTTACAATGCAATCTGCAGCAGATATCATGTGCAGCCTCTCTCCGGGATCAGGGATCTCCGACCTCGCGATTTCGCCAATGATATTATCGGAACTGTGGCCTACCACATTCAATACGGGGCGACGAGCTGAACCTATCGCCTACCACTACAGAAGCCAGTCAAAGCTGGTGTTCAATCGTCGTAGCCCTGTGCTGTCTGTGAAAGGTCACTCGAAAACGCCCAAACAAACATGACTAAGATGACGATGTAGTCCCTCGGCTCGTATTCAGGCTGGGGAAGCGGGCGCTGCCAAATACCGCTCACGCGGAGTGTAGTGACTTTGTCCGGGTGTACTGGTATCACAAAACTCGTAGAAATGCTCTATTACAGGTCGTTGTTTTGAGATTTCACCCTTGATGGTACGTGGTTGTGGCAGTCAGCGTACGTGGGAGTTAGCTTTGCGAGCGCGAGTGGATCGAAAAAGAAAAAACTCGCATCGCCAATGGCAAACAGACACGAGATGACATGGGTCAGGTTAGTGAGATAAGACGCAACATAGCTTGCTTTGAATTTTGGAATTGTTTGATTTTTACAAGACTTCTGCCGACGAGAGGCACTCAGCCGACCGGCACCAAACTTATGTCGACACAGAGAACGTGTATGCTGTATATTGTATCCTATGTAATATGTTTTATTTCTCTCCACCCCCAAGATTCATCGCGGCACTGACGCAGGCGAGATGACTGAATGCTTGCGGCATGTTACCAATCTGCTCCCCTGATGAGGCCACTTCTTCCGAAAACATGCCCAGGTGGTTTGCAAATGACAGAATACTGTCAAACTGCGAGGTAGCTGTTCTCCGCAGCTGCTTGAAAAATTGATTATGAGGGAGATACTCCTTGGATCGAGCAGCCTAGATGTACAGAAAGTCGGGATTAGATGACGAGCGGAAGCAAAAGCAAATATCAAAAAGATTGTACGTACGCGCATCATCGCTTCGACAAGCCAGAAGGTGACCATCAGGAATGCACCTTCGTTCCCGCCCACCCCTATTATGCGTATCAGTACTGCCCAGTGAGACCAGCCCGCACGCACTCGATGATTAACTCACCATCATCAATCTTTCCCGTATCGTATCGCGATACCATGTTGGCGACACTCAATCCTCCCCGAGCTGGAGGTTCCATGATCTTCTGGATCGTGCTCAGGAGACGCGGGTCGTTGGGAGCGATGAAGAAGACGAGCGGAGCAATGAGAACCGCCGCATCCAATGCATCCCGATTCTCGTAGCTCATGCAGAAGAATCCTTTTTCCGCGTTGTACCCCTTTGTCATGATCTCATCATACAAGTCGTCTCGCTCCTGCACCCACCGGGCCCGTGCCGGACAAGGTAAATTCGAGCGTTTCTCTGCCAGTCGAATGCCGCGATCAAGCGCAACCCACAGCATGATCTTAGAATACACAAAGTTCTGGGGAGGACCGCGGACTTCCCAGATGGACTGATCGGGTTGATGGCGAACCTCGATCACAAAGTCGACCATGCGACGGATAGCAAGCCAGTGGTCGTAGGAGATGTCGGCGGCATGCTTGTTGTACAGGTAGATACTGTCCATCAGCTCCCCGTAGATGTCGAGTTGGATATGGGTGGCCGCCCCGTTTCCAATTCGCACCGGTCGGCTTCCTCGATATCCCTCGAGATGATCGAGTTCCGTCTCGGGGATCTCCCGTTCGCCGTGAATGGTGACCATGATGGGCAAGAAGGGATCTCCAGGCTTGGCGTTCTGGGACAAGGGTGGGAAAATGCGATCGAAGATGAAGTTGATGTATGATTCGGCCTCCTCGGGGTAGCCGTTCTTTAGAAAGACGTAGACCGTGAAAGCCGCGTCGCGCACCCACGAGTAGCGATAGTCCCAATTGCGACTGCCCCCAATGTGCTCGGGAAGGGAAAAGGTCGGTGCAGCCACGATCGCACCGGTGGGTTTGTAGGTGAGTAGTTTGAGAACCAACAGGCTTCGTTCGACTTGTTCGCGGTAATGTCCCCGGAAGGTACATTTGCTGGTCCAGTCGGACCAGAAGTCGCCCGTCGTTCGCTCCAACCGTCTCAGCTCCGGGCCCAACACCAAGACATTGGAGGTGATTGACTCCTGATCATGAAGGAGTAGAGTGATCGACTGGCCTTCCTTCAAGGTGATCTTGCCGACCAAACCCGGACCCAGGTGACCCGGTCGCTCCGACAGTCGGAGTTCCGGAGTCAGTTGTGCGTCGGCGGCCAATTCCCCAGCATCGACCAGTACACTGACCTGGAGTCGCTGGGCCGCCGACTGAAAGTGGGCCCGATGAACCCCATCGCCTCGCGACAACTGAGCGGTATGAGAGTCTCGGGCATAGTTGAAGGCGGGAAAGATCTCAATCTCAATGTCCATCTCGCCCCGCACACATTCCGCCTTGCGGATTAGACCGGAATGACAAGCATGATGGGGTTCCCCGGGGAGACTGGGCTGATTGCAATGGCACCACTCGGGCAGCTCTTGACTTCCCACGACGGGCGACTTGGGCTTGGTGATGGGGAAGTAATCGAGTATGTTGATGACTCCCTCATCGTGGATCCAGCGGGTCTCGAGCATATTGGTGTAGGGACGGTAGCGCTGCTTGCTCAGGGGATTGTGCAGACCACGACTGGGAGTGATGGAGAAGTGGCCGCCCTTTGCTTTGTCGAGAATGCGACAGAAAATGGAGGGCGAGTCAAAGACCGGCCAGCACATGGAGTCGATGCTGCCATTCTTGCTGACCAGGGCACAGGTGTGCATGTCGCCCACCAGGCCATAATCCTCGAGGCCACAGTATTCTTTGTCGCCTTGCATGACCTGGGAGGTTTTGTTTGATTGACAATGATGATGATGAACCAAATGTTATCTGACACAGGGAGAGAAATGAGAAATGAAGTGATAATGGGATGAGGAAGAATTGACGATCCCGGGGGGACAGAAGACAGAATGAAGGAAAGAAAGAAAGAGAGAGAGAAGAAAGTGACGTCATCACCCCCCGTATTCCCCGTGTTTGAAGATCCCCACTCCCCCGCAAACAAACAATGCTGCTTATTGACTGACTATTGACTCGGTATTGAACTGTGGTGGGTGGTTTGTGAATTCACCCGGGCAAACACAAGACACACACTACCTACTGCTCTCTAAGTTACCTTACACGCCTGCCTCCTCACCTCCAACCATCCCAGGTAATTTTGCTTTTACCTCTTCTTGCACCGCTTTTACTATGGTTGCCGCACTTTGGACCTCGTGTATTAAGCCAATGGATGCTCCAGCGTAGGTGGCCAGTCGACCGGCTGGGCCCCAGCCACTGTCGCCTGCCTTGAGGGCTTGATCGTGCAGTTCCTTCAGCTCCTCAAACGGTCGCCCCTGTTGGTGTTCGATGAAGGACTGGTTGATGATGGTTCGGGGACTGTACTCCGCTGGCCAGCCCATTGTGCCACGTAAATGGTTGTACAGCATGGTCTTGGTGGTCGAAACGGCCCCATCGCTGGCGCGCACAATTTCCTGCTGGTAACCGGCACTGATGCGGGCTTCATCTGCGGCCAGGAACCGGGTCCCCATCACCACCCCGGACGCTCCTAGACAGAGAGCCGCCGAAGCACCACGCCCATCAGCAATGCCCCCCGCTGCGAAGAGAGGGATCTGACCGGCCACCAGGTCGGCGACCTCGGGGAGAAGAGTCATCAACCCCAGTCCGTCGCGAGCCCGACCGTGGCCGCCTGCCTCCGCTCCTTGTACGACAATCACGTCGGGCAATTCCTGACCCTGCAACAGCGCTCTGGCCTCCGCTAGAGTTCCGATCTGAATCCAGATCTGGGTTTGAGCGGAGACGGTGCGAATCCGACGCGACCATAAGTCGTAGTCTCGTTGCGGGTCGCGAGGGGCGTAGAGCCATGCGGCACACGGTTTATACTGCTCAACGGCGGCAATGGCAAGCTCTGGGTCATCACTCCACAGCTGAAACCCAACGCCGACCGGCAGAACAGGACTGTCGGCCCATGATTGATAATGCAGGGCCTGGATGCGGTCGGAAGTGTCTTGCAAGTCGGCCAGCATCTCGTGGGTTTTCACTCGCGGGCCCAGAAAGCCGAGGCCGCCAGCTTGTGAGACGCTGACCGCCAACGCGGGGCCGGCCATCACCCGCATCGGCGCGCTGACCACCAAGGGGCTTTTCACCCATGAATACGCGCGGGAGAAGGTGGTTGCCAGTCGATAAGTGTGGGCCATTCTGGCTGTACGGAGTAGTCTGGTGGGAGCTGGTGAGAACGGGTGAAAATATAGGTTTCAAGGGAGGATCATGGATTGAGTGGTGAGATAGATAACTTAAGGTCCAAAACTTGAAGATGACGTCCACCTCCGGATGGATCGATGGACTCGGGATCTTCGCGGGTATTGCGGAATTGAGCCTCCCACCAATAGCAAATCCTCCTCCTTCCCTCTTGCCGCCCGTTACGGAGTACACTGTAGGTTACAGTACAAGATGGGTCAGTATGCATTTTCTCGTTGCACATGAAGATATCTATGCATGGTGAGCACCATCACCAACTCCTTTTGATCTGCGTCCATGCCAATGTTCAGTCACGGACCAGCCCCCTCCCCACCATGAATCCACAAGAGCAGCCCCCCTTAATCTTGACCTGGGGGATTCTCTCAACAGGTCGGATAGCCGAAAGTGAGTGCTCCTCTCAATTGCCTCCACGGGTATGAATAGTCAGACAAGACTGATCATTCATCCTAGAGTTTGCCCTCGATCTCCTCAACCCACGCCCTTGCTCACCTATCGACCACACCCTCACTGGAGTGGCATCCTCCACCTCTCTATCCACAGCTTGCACCTTCCTGGAGAAAATCCGTGCGCCCAAACACGTTATCCCCTATGGCTCTTACCCCTCCCTTCTATCCACCTCATGTGAAGCGGTCTACATTGCCACGCCACATTCTCACCACTACCAGAATGCCATGATGGCACTCGAGGCCGGAAAGCATGTTCTGATCGAGAAGCCAATTACAGTGAATGCGGAACAATGCAGGGCGCTCTTTAACACCGCAACGAAAAAGCGGTTATTTGTGATGGGGGGCTTGTGGACGAGATTTCAACCCATTGGCTGTGCCTTCCACGAGGTGCTCGGGGAGGTTGGGACGGTCCGGAGAGTGTGAGCCGACAATGGCTTGGGCATGGAGATTGAACGCCAATTTCTGACCGGGGATCGCCTGATCACATTGGACTTGGCTGGAGGAGGGTTGCTCGATTGTAAGTGTCAAGCCCTAACAGACTCGGGAGCGGCCTGGACCGGCTACTAACACATGGGGTGTATGCTTCTAGTGGGGATCTACTCTTTGAACTGGGTATTGCAGGCACTCGGCCCGCGAAGGGATTATGCACCGCACGCCGTAGCCTCGGGGATGACGAAAGATAGAAGCACCGGGGTCGACGAAACAACAACTATTCTGCTGAGGTTCGCGGCCGAGAAAGACGATCATGAGGTTCAGGCCATGGTTGCCTCCTCTCTTCGCTGTGCGACCGACGCGGATGGCACGACACCCTGTGTCTGTGTCCAAGGCGATAAGGGAGAGATTCAAGTATTTGGATGGCCTTGGCGACCGTCAAGGATCCGGATTCTTGCAAGAGAACAAAGGTTTGGCACTATCGGCATGGTGAGGAAAGAGATCCTAAACCGTGTGCCGGACCAGGTGTATGGGCTAGTCTATGAAGCAGATGAGCTAGCGAGATGTGTACGGAGTGGGAGAGTGGAGAGTGAGACGATGAGCTGGAACGAGAGCCTGGCTACCCTGAAGATAATGGACCAGGTCAGAAAGGAAAATGAACTGTGGTTTGGGGAAGAGGCGGAGACGGTGGTGTATCCCGTGGCCCAGTGCAGCATCGTATCTGTGCTACATCCAATCCGGTCATTTGCTCATCGTCAAACAGGAGTATTTCCAAGGCTACTAAGCACATTGTAAAACACCCCGAGGGCCAAACAAAAGCAATACATCGTGTTAGCTGAAGGGTAGCCCGCTTACGCGATGGTGCCACTCGCCGGCAACAAGAAAATATAGCAAGACTCTCATGGTGATAGTAAAAGCCAAAGCCAAGGCTTTGAGAGACTTATGGTCGATCGCAGCTCCGGCTAATTTTCGTAATTCCCCGTCACAGCGAGTATGAATTGAAATATTAGGTAGTTACTTGAATTGACTAACCTGCAATGGACATTCGGTCACTCCGCAACAATGCCTGCTCGAATCCCAACCACAAAGCCGACAGTCCTTGGCACTGAGATTGCGCTTATACAAGAAGCCCTTACGCTCTCGAACCTCAACGGCAAAGGCAGATATACGCAACTTTGCGAACAATGGCTGGAGAAATTCTTGCCGACGGGATCAAAAGGGAAAGCACTTGTTCTGTCGTCGTGCACCTCCGCCCTCGAACTGGCCGCCATCCTCGCCGACATCCAACGGGAGATGAAATCATCGTGCCCAGCTACACTTATGTCTTCACCGTGAACTCTGTTGTTCTACGTGGGGCGGTGCCGGTTTTCGTGGGTCTGGACAGTAGAACCATGAATATCGATGTCCGCTTGATCGAGGATGCAATCACTTGCAAGACACGGGTCATAATTCCAGTCCATTGCGGGGGCATTGCAGCCGATATGAATCCCATCATGAGCCTTGCCAGAAGACACGGGTTACTGGTCGTCGAGGATGCCGCCATGGCATGTACCTCACTCTACAAAGGCCGCATGCTCGGCACTATAGGCCACATAGGATGTATCAGTTTTCAGGAGAAGAAGAACTTTACCGCAGGAGGCCAGGGTGGTGCACTGCTTGTCAACGACCCTTCTCTCAATGACCGTGCGAAGATTGTCTATGAGCACGGCACGAATCGCGGTCAGGTCGATCGATACCAATGGTTGGACCTGGGGATAAACGCCACTTTGTCCGAGCTGCAGGCTGCATTTCTCTACGCCCAACTACAAGCCGCAGATACCATCAATGCGTCTAGACTCCACCTTTGGCAGAAGTATTACTCCGCGCTCAGACCACTAGTCGAGATGGGATACTTGATGTTGCCGACAATTCCGAAGAATACGACCCATAACGCCAACGTTTTCTGGATCAGGCTTATGGACGCACAAAGACGAAAGCAGCTGATGAACTTTCTGCATGCGAGGGATCCAGACGCACAATTCATGCCGTTGTATTTATCCCCGATGGGGCTGGCGACGGGGAGGTTCAATGGTGATGGTCATGGCACCACAATGGCCGTGGCACAGATCCTATTGTTGCCGCTTTTTGTGGGAATGTTGGAGGAGGAGCAAAAGCGCGTCATTGAGGGTGTGTTTGCATTCTGGACAGAAAGCCAACCGTTATAGTGACCAAACAGTTCTATTTGAGATGAGTCAAGAGAGGAGGGGGTGAGATTGCTAGCAGGCCAATAGGCACGCCGGACCTTAGAGATCTCTCCTCTGCACGGCCTCACCATTGCGCCCTTCTCCAGTATATCCACAAACCAAACCTGCCATGGCCAGACCAAGCGCACCCGAAGAAATTACCATCAATTTCCACCCAAACCATTCTCTCATGTAACCGGCATACAATGGCCCGGCTAATGTCCTCCCCGCAAAGGCAGCGTTACTGAGACCGTACGCCTGAGAGTATGCCCCTCGACTAGAAATTCCCGGATGTGCATGCTCAACCGCTTCGGTGGCTAGACTGATCTCTGCCGTCATAGCCGGCATGGTGAGCGAGACGCTACTCCCAAACAGAAACAACAATATCCGGAGGAGGAGGGAGTTGATGAAATTATTGGTTTGTATCAGAGCCAGGAGCATCATGCTTGGACCCGCGAGAGCGAATCCGGCCAGTGCAGGCCCGAACGACTCTATTCGGTCTACTAGAGCCCCAGAAACTGGAGAAAAGACCATAGGCAGAGTGTTTGCCAAGAAGACCACGGCTATCTGCTTTGGCGTGTAGCCGAAGACTTCGTGCCGGTAGATAGGCAAGACAGATTCGAAGGCTGTCATGAAGGTGTTGAGGAGGGCCATCCCCACCATCGCCACTGCAAAGCATGGAGAGTGTAGGAGGGTCACCAGGGACGATGCTGGTTGATGTTGGGCAGTGCTCAGACCGTTTGGGTCGTCATTAGCATTGGAAACCGGTCTGCTAGATATTAAAGATGAATGCTCGTCAGCCTGAACGATGCATGGCGTTTGTGTTGTGTGATGGACCGTAGGTTGCAGGAGCAACCGTAGACCAACCTCAAGGATAATCAACGCAAAAGCAGGTCCAAAGACAGCGAAATAGCCTGCGAAATCGTAGTTGAAGCCTCCTACAATCGGCCCGGTGAACAACCCTAAACTGAGACTCATGCTAGTAAACCCAAGGGCCCGTCCTATGCGCCCATTGCCAACTGTATCCAAAAGAAGGCTATATCCAATTGTAAAGATAAGAGGGGTTGAGAGACCTTGCAGTACCCCCGCAATCAGGACCCCACCCAGGGATCTACTGAGTGAGAATAGCAGTGTCGCACCCCCAGCAATTAGCATACCGGCTAGGAACGGCAGCTGTCTCGTCTTCTTGCATGCTTGGTCCCCAGTCCATCCGGCGAACACTGTTCAGATTCAATAGTCAAGGTTAGCAGGCATCCGGGCAAACGCTGCAAGGGAACATGTGTGCACATACCGGACCCGATAAGAATGGATCCACCGTAGACGGCCAACAGAATGGAGGTCTATCGCCGGACATGTCTGCCACTGAGCCCGGTTCTTTCCTCCAGTGCAAAGGGCAGCACAGGCACATTTAATCCATAGAGAAAGATATCGGTAAACACCGCGACACACACAACTACAATCACAAAAATAGGAGAAGACTGCCAGCTTGCGGACGAACGCATGATAGATACAGTCAAAAAGGAAACAGATCTCCTAGGACGGAAGATGTTTAAGCAGTAGCACTCATGCCGGGCGCTAGCCTTTAGGTAAATAAACAGGCTCGCGTTGAGACTGGAATGAAAGTCCTACTACTAGGTAGGTAACACTAATACGAGGTGCAAACTACGGCATGAATTCAATCGGGCCTTATGTACTCATCGTGACATAAAGCCATCAACAAATAGCAGGGACTCGATCATTTCCGGTCCCTCCTGCAGTTCCCCGGCTTCAAATTGCTGGTACATGGTCTTCAATCACTCTCGTTGATGATGGCGAACCAGGGCCTCCGCATTGGCCCATCTAGACATGTGCCGAGTCAGCTGGTGTAACCCGCTTTCCCATGGCCACAAGAAAAGACTTATCTGAACGAACCTCTCGATGACTTTGAAGAGCAGTCTACCATTGCCATCAGTCATTTCTGTCAGCAGAAACGACAAACAATCTTTCTCAACGTGAGTGACGTGAGCCGTTGTTTGGCGTAGCATCTCGCGCAGCTGGCTATGTTAGTCTAGCGCTTGAGAACGTGAAATCAAAAGCTAACCTGGGCTTCCTTGCCGGATGCAGGGCGGAGAGTAGCAATCAAGTGGATCTCACTCATTTTTTTCTGCGTTGAGGTCGTCGCCCTCAATTGTTCAGCTAGCAAGAAACGCTTGTTTGCCTACAATCCTCGGGGTATAAATGTTGGGAGTACTCGGGTCGACCGAGTTTGAGCACCCAGCACAAGAGGGACGACCCCGCTGGAAGTTTGGCCACATGTGCGCCTTGTTCTGTCCAGGTTGGTTGATGAGATGGGAAGACAAGGGACGAAGACCAGATCAAGTATTACCAAAATTACGAAAAACAAATTGTTGGTCGCTAGTAGCATAACAGCACCGGTCGCGACATAGTCAATTCTGTCAGTTAATACCGACAGAGCCCGCAGAACTCATAGGTCAAGTGTCGACAGTCAGTTTGGTCGGCCTACAGTAAGCATATGGCACGGATAGTAAGCGTGTCGACACGGGGATTAAGCTCAAACTCTCAGCAGGCCTCTGAAGGGATTATTGAACAGGGGTGTGCTTTTTTATCCAGTTTCTACCTTCAAACTTGGACTATTCTTCTGGTTCAGGTTTTTATTCTGTACTCCGAGAACATTCAGACTGTCATAGGCATTGTCGACAAAACCTTGCTTGGGTACTCATTGAGAAACCTGGAGCATTCTTTCTCCGTTCTGCACATTCATAATCTTTCTTTCTGATCATCGGCTACTCCATACTTACCAGCGTTGAAACCAACCAGGGCATCATATATGGCCAATGTCATGGATGTCCGTTCCTATCCTAGTACACGACACAAACTTGAGAGTGCGTCTGCCTGTTGGGAGGAAGGGTCAACGCGCATCAACTGTACTGTAGGTCTGTACATTCCATTCGCGCAGGAATCGGACTCTGTAACACAGAGCTGAAACATGGCTATAGTGCAGAATAGCAAACCACTGTTCTCGCGAGATAGCAACCGTGAATGAGAAGAACTACCTTCAACCTTTGTCGTTGAAGGATACAGTACCTCCACAGGGTGACTGCCCAACATATAATCCTCTACCAAATGTGAAAAATATCCTTGTAACAGGGTGTGCTGGTTTTATGTAAGAGTCATTGCCCTGGGTCTGGCCGTATGATTCAGCCATAACTAACACAAATCATTGTGATGCTTTCAGTGGTGGATGGTATGTTCGCATGATAGTCCACGCCTACGCAAGCCACTATCGAGTGATCGGGTTCGACAATTTGGAGTCTTGCGCCTCCTTGAATAACCTCGCAACCATTGGCCAGCACCCGGCTTTCTGCATTGTGAAAGGTGATAATGCAGCTTTTTGGATGTCATGGCTGCAATGAAGGGTTACAGGGTTGATGCGGTTGTTCATTTTGCTGCTCGATCTCATGTCGACCAGTCATTCTCCAATCCGCTAGCCTTTACAACCACCAACGTCGTCGGGACGCAGGTCTTACTCAAGGCCGCAAAGTCGATAGGCTCCATCCACAGATTCGTCTATGTCTCGACTGATGAGGTCTATGGTGAGAATGACCCTGAAAGGTGTTTCGCCTTTAGCGGAAATCAGCCCCGGAATCCAACCAATCCATACGCAGCGAGTAAGGCAGCCGCAGAGATGATTGTCCGCGCCTATGAAAAGTCCCATACCACAAATTTCCGTGGTACAAAGGGCCTTAGACAACCTCACCTCGGTCACTCCAAAGAGTCCGTAATAGCGGTTTACTCCGAGCAAAACTGCTGACAGAGCAGCGCGAGAGAAAGGCGGAAAGTACCCACGGTAATAGCCGAAGCTTGACCGGATTGCGATTAGGAAAGGATTATGGTAATCACTTCCCACGTATTCATTGAGAATCGTAGGAATGGCGTTGCAAATACCGGAGAGGAAAAGGATGATGACGGTATCAATTGTGCTTAAGCCTACAAGAAGTGGAGCGGTTCCGACGGACCAGCTTGTGATATTGACCAAGTCCGGGATCCAATAATTGGCAAAGTCAAGTCTATTTCATGTCATCTGTTGAGGAGGGATAGAGTCCAAGTCTAAAAGCACCCTCAACTTAGTCTGTGCCGTACTGGTCTTATGCATGGAACAATACCTTGGTTGCTTCTGATACCTGGAGGAGCCAGGCTACTTTGCTCTTTAGCCAGTCTCCAGGATTTGGAAGGCCATTTTCGATAGCTGAGCTTGTCCATCTTGTGCACTCGAGAAGCTGCAGTTTGCGTTACCGATTTAGCTTGCTTGACGGCTGTAGGGATGGCAGAATCGTTGATGTTCTTCTATTTATCAAATCCAGACCTTGAATAGGTTACCCAACTAGAATGTGGCCGAATTATCATGTGAGCGTCCCGACCAATCTGCAGATATGTTATCAGGGTCTATCATGATAGCCTAAATAGGATCCACATCCAGAGATCAGGATCGAGTTGAGGGGTAAATCTCTACGGAGAGATCTAGTCGGACAGGTGTAAAGCAAAGGGGTCGACGCTCGGCCGCGGACAAAAAGACCAATAAGAGCTGTAAGTAGTGGCTTATGGCCGAAAAGGTGAACGATAAGAGCCACAAAAACAGCGATATCAACAGTGCAGTTATAGAAGTCTAACTATATATTTCCACCTCCTTACCCTATCCACTGCTACACAACCTCTCCACTATCATTTAAACCATTCAAGCCCCACCACGATCAGACCACGGCCAACCATGGGGTTTCCCATTATCAGTTTGAGAGACTTTGAGTCGGACCTTCCAAACCTTGCCAAGCAGATCTTCAAAGCGAGCCAGGGATGGGGCTTTTTTATTGTGACAGATCATGGAATCAATGGTGCGGAGAGGATGTTCGAAATGGTGCCTCAAACGAGCCGCACTATATGGCAAGCATATGGCAAGCATATGGCAAGCAAGATTAACGCGGACATTATCCGACAGTCGTGTGCATTCTTCAGGCTCCCTGAAGCAACCAAGACGCAGAGAATCATAAACAAAGATCCAGGTGGCTATGATGGGCACAAGGCTACTACGTGTGTAATCAATCTGAAAGGCCTTTTGCCCAGGCTGTCTGTGAGAAGTAGAACTGAACTGACGGAATACGTCCATTAGGTTTGCTGTTTCGGAAGGCATGAGCTTTGGGCTGCCGACTGGCCAATTGTTTAAGAGTGACAATCTCCACTCTTGATGGGACTTGCATCGTCTGACCGAGATTGAAGCATTTAAAGCTCAGTGCAATGACCTCACACTCAAGGTACTGTCATGCTTTGCATGGCATATGGGCCTACCGAAGGACTTCTTTACCTCGTCACACAAGGATGGGCTTCCCGGGAACACCCTGAAATTTATCAAATACCCGAAGTTGGCTATCAAGTCGGACGATGCAGTTCCCGTCTCACCGAACACACTGACTGGGGCAGCATCACGCTTTTGTTCACTGATTCCCCAGGGTTGAAGGTTTTAGATCCCCAAGATCACTGGCACAAAGTCCCTCAGCTCCCAGGAGGTATTGTCATTAACATCGGTGACGCTCTTTCTGTATGGACCGGCAAGCAACTCAAATCAACCATGCATCGTATCTCATGGGAAAAGGTCCCGGGTGGACCAGGACCGCTACAGCATGCCGTATTTCGTTCACCCCAATTTTAGTAAGTGCTGGACCACTCTTTTGGCGCGAAGATTGAGTTTTGTCTCGTGTTTTCCTTCGTGAAAAGTGCTTCATGCTAACCGCATGAACTGGTAGCCACGAACCTCAGATCTCTCGAGGCGCCTGAGAGTATATGGACAAAGAAGCTCACATCCAAGGAGTATTATGTCTTCCGAATGAAGCTCACTTGGGGAAGCTTGCAAAGTGACGATGGCTCAGCCGTGCTTGAGGATGTGGAACAGAAACCTTTGAGTCACATTAATAGTTTTGGGATTACAAGAACTCTGGAGTCGCATGCCCTGATGAGGAAACAGGAAGTCGAGTAACTATCAACTTGAGGTCAAGTGCTGGAATAGGATTGAAAACAGCGCTTTTTACTAAAATTGGAAAGAAGATGGTCCAGCCTGGAGGACTATTGAGACGTCGAAAAATCTTCTAGTTCAGCAACCAGTATAAACTAACATAAGGAAGCCATCTCCCCGTTTTGATCCGCGTATATTTAGGTGCAGGGGGTAGACTCTATAGGTACCGAGTGATTGCTCTGGTTTCATCAAGTAACCTATATATGTGTTCCTAGAGCTTCTTATGCCCCTTATGCAACCTTGCTCAACTTCAAGGTCGAAGAACAAATCGGCATACATCTTCCTCTTTTCTACCATTTTGCGTTATTCAACCAGCTTGAGACCCAGCATGAGGGTCCTGCTCCTGGACGTCAGACTCAGTAATCAACTCTTTCATCGGCTTCACCTCGCGAACTAGGAAATACAACAACAGCCCAATGACCCTGTACGGAACTCCCCTTCACCCAACCCAACTGAACCCAGGTCTGGTGTGGGGCTGGTCGATCTGAGCGATTTGGCCATTGCGTTGCCGACTGAGGGCTTATAACTCAAGTCTAATTACCAAATCTTCCTTAACGTCACCGACACCGAGGGTCGTTGTGACCATGGATCTCTGTAACTGGGAGCAATGTCGCTCTGGTGCGTTTATTGGTATTAATTAAGCAGATGGTGATATGTATGAATTTAGAATAGCAGCTAAATTCAAGAGGCAATGCTACCATTCAGTCTCGACCTATCTTGGGTTTTCTATACTGTAATACATGGGCACGGATATCGAAAGATTGCAAACAAAAGTTTCGAGGGGTGGGAGAAGGAAGAGGAATTGAGGGCATGGCCCATTGTGGGTTATCACCGAGGAACGTAGTGCCAGAGGCTACCAAAATGTGGTAGATGCAAAAGCGAACGACAATGCGAGCCTGAGAGTTATCGACCCCTCGAATCCCTGAAACACCCAACAACTGAAGCCGACGGATATCTTCCTCTTAGTACAGAGGAAGTTTGTAGGCGTCAAAATCGTAGATCCACGTGTCGTACGAGGCCTGGTCGAACACACAATTCATAGTTGTCCCGTTGTTGGACCAGAGAGGGCGGAGTGGCCAAGCACAGATTTGTTGGTGCTCACCTTCATTGTATCCCTGGAGAACCGTTGAGTTCAACGTCACGGGGACCACACCGTTCTCAACCCAATCGATCATGACGGCCAGGTTCGTTTGGGGGAAGGGTCCGTTTGGCTGTTCACTGTTGGTGCCGCAGTGGGCCATGCCGGGGACAAGATAGAGCCGATAGAATTCGCCCAGGGCGGCGGCACTCGTGTTTAGAGTCTCGTTAGGGAACATAATCTTGCGGACCGCCTCGTAATAATGGACGGAGGAGGCAGTAGGCACGCTGGGGTCGTGTTCGCCGTGAAAATGCAGGACCTTGCCTCCAGCCTGCTGGAGGACACTGAGATCGGGGTTGTGGGTCATCAGGGTATCTTCTTACATGGTCCACCCCATCTGCATCCAGTCGCGGATAGTGTCATAAGTAATATTGTCGAGAGAAGACAGCGAGCTCACGTCCTGCAGGTTCAGAAACCGGGCCACAAACTCGCCCCCATTACTATCAATAAAAAGGCCCCAGGCGTCGGTCTGCGTGTCGTAGGTGGTTTCAACATCGTCAAAGTCCGCCCCGGGTTGGAAGTACAAGTAGGCTTGACGGCCCTGGTTGTCTTTCAAGCCGGCGAGCAGCGTTTGAACCAATTGTACTGCCTCTGCAGTGACGGTGCCATTCTGTGCCGGGGTCGCGCCCATGGGCTGCCGCTTGCTGAACCCGAGACCCAGACTGCTCCCGCCTGAACTGGCCGCGCAGTAGTAAGGGGCGCCAATCAAGGAGGTGAGATTGAAGTGCAGTTTGCACAGGTCCGAGCGGGCGATGACCCCATCTGCGCGGCCATCCAGCGGATCGCAGGCAGCGATAGTGGCGTTGACAATCAGCTCCAACTCACAAGGGGGCGGATAATAATTCATCGTCTGGGTTACCACGTTGGGCACAAGATGGTTAATATGCTGATGGGCAAAGCGGAAGGCAGGCGCGCCGACGATAATGCCGTCGTAGTCAAAGCCGTACCGCTGGACCTGGGACCAGCCTTCACGACCCCCTCGGAGCATGATTGGTAGTAGGTGTAGACCTTCTTCTCCCCAGTGTTGTACAGATTGCGGGTGAGTTCACGGCCGATTTCCATCATCTCGTGGATCCCTTGATAGCCGAACATAAAGGTGTTTTGCCAGTCGACAGTGCCATTGGCGAGAAGGAAGACATCGTCAAAGGATTGCCCATTGAAGCCACCGTCGGTAAGACCGGAGACTGCCCCGTACATAACACCGCCCGGTAAGGAGCCAGAGGTGCCGGAACCCTCGTTGATCTCGTAGGCCTCGCCTCCGGTGGTGAGAAATCGATTCTGGAAGTCGGCTGGGGCGGGCATCCAGTAGGTCAGAGCCACTCGATCATTCCGGCCAATGTGGGTGTAGTTGAAGGTGACATCGCAGTAGCTGATGGTAGCAGCGGGAAAAAAGTTGGAGCTGCTGATGGACACGTTGGAATGGAGCTTGGTTGAGACCGAGCTGGAAGTCATGGAGATAGCCTGAAAGGTGTCCTCGGCGGGCAAGGCGGCCTTGATGTAGGCATCGGTGCAAATATCAACGAGACTAGAAGCATGCGCAGCACCCACCGCCGTCGTTAAGGCAAGACAGCCTTTCATGGTGGCAAGTTCCGGGTCAACAACAATAGAGTATGGATGGAGTGTAGAAAAGTGGCAAGCCGGTGGTCAAACATCTGAACTGGACGCCGCTGTTACTCGTGGTCTTTTGTATAGGGTGCGTGTGGAACGGCTTGGACCTCCTCAGGCACGGAGAACCTGGACGCGAACCTTGAAGGTCTCAGCTAAGGTAGGACGCGTACGTGATGTGAGATGCCGTCGAAGATCAAACCAAGATCGAAAGCACCTCGCATCCACATCAATGGAAATAGCTAGGTAAGGTAGCCTTAGCCTCGGCCTTAACCTCCCGAAAACTTCCTGATAGGCAAAATGGACCCACTGATTTATGGCTCGATCGGAGGTCGCAGGGTAAAATTGACTTCATCACCGAGCCTTCTGGACACTGCGGAGAGATCACCCGTTGGATAGCATCCTGATCGCCGGATGTTTACCCGGCGCCGCGTAGGCCTTTCCCTTTTGCATGCTCCAGTGCTGATGAGTTACGCAAGCTTCATCTCCGTTCATGCAGAACCCAGCCTGGCTGGCACAATTGAAACCTATCTATCAGTAAGCCATGATGATGATAATAATGGAGTTGACGCAATCCTCTCTTCTCAGGTATAGTGCATGCATTGTCACCGACTGGAGGATATAGTTGACTTCGTAACGAAGACCTCGCACGGTCCAGGAATTCAGCGCAAGCAGGGAGTCGGGAATGGCAGTCGGAGAGACTATAATACTCAAGTTCCCCGCTCAGTGGTGCTTAGAATCTCAAGCGCACAACATTGATCTTTACATTCTCTCGATTAATCCTGCCTGCCCCCTTTGAGGTCTTGAAAGGATGCTTCGCAATACACTCCCCACGCTTTGTGGTCTCATATCTGTTTCTTCCGCGGCGCTCTACGACACCGTGATCGAGACCAAATATGGCTCGGTCCAGGGTTATCCAGCTTTCGACAGCAGCAATACTGGCAACCTAACGCACTGGAAAGACATCACCGTGTGGAAGGGCATTCCATTTGCTGCGAGCACCGGAGGGGCCAACCGCTGGAAAGCGCCGCAGCCCGCAAGCCCATGGAACCAGACGCTGGATGCGCGCAACTGGGGCCCTGTCTGTCCCTCAGCCACCACCGGAGATAATAGCTACACCATTGATGAGGACTGCCTCAACCTCAATATCTGGAGTCCGGCCAACTCCACCGATGCGAAGCTTCCCGTGGTCATGTGGAGTTATCCCGCCGAGTCGACTGCGGCCGATCCTCTCTTCGACGGCGGTGGTATGGCGGACAAGGGAATCGTCTTTGTCAATTATAACTACCGCACTGGTTCGTTTGGTTGGCTCGCCCACTCCGAGCTCTCGGAGGAATTCGAGCAGGTGACTGGGTCCAATAGCTCAGGCAATTGGGGAATGCTGGATCAGTTCGCCGCCTTGGAATGGATCCATGCCAATATTGAGGCCTTTGGAGGTGATCCGAATCACATTACCGTCCAAGGCCAATCCGCTGGCTCCGCAGCTACTCAGCACATTTTGTACAGCAATCTGACCCGCGATCTGATTGTCGGCGCCATCATTGAGAGTGGTGTCCGGGACCCCCACGACCCCCTGTGCACCAGCCTCGCGGAAGCCTACACCACGCTGGAAGATGCGCTGAAGGACGGTGATGCCTACCTGTCGAACTTGGGAGTTTCCAGCATCGCCGAAGCCCGCAACCTCAGCATGCAGGCATTGATCGACGGAGCGACCGGCACGACCCGTGATGACACGATCATGTTTGAGGCCGTCCTGGATTATTACGCGATGCCGGACACCTACCTCAACATCCTCATGAAAGGTCTGGCCCACGACGTCCCAGTCATCACTGGAAACAACAAGGACGAGAATGGTGCGACCTACGGCCTTGATATTTCGCTCGCGGAATATCTGCAGGACCTCAACGAAACGTACAGTGGGGAATGGGTGGACCGGTTTCTGAGTCTTTATCCGGCGAATGACTCGACAACCGCATCAGGGGCATATAATTCCATGTTTACTGACCGATCCAGGGTGGGTACCTGGCTCTGGACTCAGATGTGGTATACTGCTAAGAGCAGCCCCGTTTGGAACTACTTCTGGGATCACGCGCCCCCCGGTCAGACTTCCGGCGCCTATCACGAGTCGGAGATCAATTACGTGCTGAACAATCTCTATGCCACCGACAAGCCCTGGACCGCCGAGGACTACGCTATCGCCAACAAGATGAACGACTATTGGGCCAGCTTCATCAAGACGGGAAATCCTAACACGCAGGCTCAAGGTACGGTCGCGTGGCCCGCAGTGAATGCCTCCAAACTGGTCCAGCATGTGGGTAATGGATGGGGCCAGATTCCTATTGCCTGGAACAAGAAGGTCGAACTATTTGAGGATTGGTTTGCCACCTTAGTGACATGTTGATCTCCCACTGATTCTTGGGGTGCAACCGGTCAGTATAACCTTCTAACTTGACTTGGGGACGAGGAACCCATCTCACCGGGGGTCGTCCTGCTGCCGCCTCTTTACCTATCTCATCTGGATCTAGTCTCCCCGAAGCTTGGGATTGTGTTTTTCTTTCTCTTCGTTGCCGTCTGGGATTAGGTTTCCGCTGCCGATTATCTTTCTGTGTGCATGCTCTGTACACTACAGTCCCACTCGATAGCAAAATTGTTGAGATCTTTCATCTATTCATTTATTGGTTGACAGCTCACCGGGGAATCGGAAGCGTTCTCTTGCTTCCCTTGTTGTGCACGGCATTGCAGCCTCGGCCGCATCAACCAATTGAAGGACCATGGCAAGAGACCTATGGGGTACCTAGTGACTTTTACCCAGTAATAACCAACCATAAAAAAAACACAAATCACGGGGACGCGGGAGACGTAGGCAGCTGAGCACCTATCTGCATTGGAAATGAGTGGGCCCGGGGGGAGCGCGGGGCGGGGCGGCAGTTGCAAACTCATTTCCTCCTTTTGTACCGTCCCATACAGCACGTTGGCGCGATGACCGCCGGTGCCCCGCTATCTAAACCTGTTTTGTCTCGTGGTTGGAACTTGGAGACCAAGGGAAGCATGCATTTGATCCATGATGTGAAGTTTCAGTGCCAAACCGTGCATTACTAGAGTTCAGCGCTAGGCCTATTGCATCGAAAGAAAAGCCGCGCTTATCGCAGAGTGGTTATCCGGCCAATGAAGGATGGTTCCATCCGGTCAGGTGACGACGTAGCGACCGAGAATTCACTCTGGTCCGACTTTAGGTTGCCCCGGGGGGTGGCGGGATGCTCCACTGCAGGCTTCCGCGCCCGCAAGCTTATGTGTCCCTCTTCCCGGTAGGATTAATCACATTGCAGGGCTGGTTGGTCCCAGTGGGTGTCATGGGTGTCAGTATCAAGGATGTATCCATGATGGGGCTGTAGTAGTAAACTTTGCGGTCCTCGTGGGGCAAAAGCTAGAGGATGTTGTCTGACTATATTTAGTCCTACCCCGACACGCCACACACAACGATTGAAAACTTCTTACCCGGTGGTTGGTAGGTGCAATCGTGAAGTTTGGCTATGAACCTCTTCCTTGAAATAGTCGTATAGGCCTCCTAATCATTAACCCCGAGGTTACAAGAATGACATCTTCCAATTATGCAACCCCAAAGTGGTGGAAGGAAGCGGTGGTTTACCAAGTCTATCCCGCAAGTTTCAAGAGCAGCAAACCTCCATCTGAGGCAGATGGCTGGGGCGATGTGCGTGGCATGACAGCGAAGGTGCCATATTTGAAGAGCCTGGGAGTGGATGTTGTCTGGACCAGTCCTAGTAGGGAGCGTCTTCATCTATACCCTTGGGCACGGCACAAAGAGGCCCGGTGTCGATAGCTGCCATCTTTTTCTCAGTTGCTAATGTAACATCATCGTCTAGTTTACAAATCTCCGCAGGTCGATATGGGCTACGATATATCGGACTATAAAGAAATCGACCCGCGCTATGGAACCATGGCCGATGTCGACTTGCTGATCGAAGCTCTCCACAAACACAATATGAAGCTTATGATGGATCTCGTCGTCACTCATACCTCAGATCAGCATGACTGGTTTATCGAATCCGCTCGGTCGAAAAACTCCCCAAAGCGCGATTGGTACATCTGGAAGCCGCCGCGCGAATATGATTCTGTGGGGAACCCTTTGCCTCCGAACAACTGGGCCCAAATCTTGAACGACTCTCATAGTGCTTGGACCTGGAGCGAAACAACCCAGGAATTCTATTTGACTCTCCATACTCCGGAACAGGTCGATCTGAACTGGGAGAATCCCGATGTGGTCGCTGCCGTTCACGATGTATCTCCACCCTCATTCGGTGTCATTTGATCTGAGTCTGGCTGACCGATTCCTCTAGGTTATGCACTTTTGGTTGAGCCGAGGAATTTCAGGATTTCGAATGGACGTGATCAATCTGATTTCAAAGGATCCTTCATTCCCCGATGCCCCAGTCGTCGACCCCAGTTGCCAGTTCCAACCCGGAGAGAGATTCTACACTAATGGGCCGCGCTTCCACGAGTTCATGCATGGGATATACGAGAATGTTCTCTCAGGGTATGACACCATGACCGTCGGGGAAACAGCCTACGTCAGCGACATAAGTGAAATCATCAAGACCGTCGGAGCAACTGCCAAAGAACTGAATATGATCTTCATCTTTGACCACATGGAAATTGCGGATGTCAAGACCAAAGGAGATTCGAAATGGAGTTTGCGCGACTGGAAATTGACAGAGCTCAAACAGATCTTCTCCGGTTGGCAAAGAAACATGATCGAATGGGATGGATGGAATGCACTCTTTTTGGAGTGCCACGATCAGGCTCGCTCTGTGTCGCGCTACGTGGACGATAGCGACAAGTCCCGCGCGCGTGGTGGCAAGCTACTGGCGCTTTGGCAATCCACTCTCGGTGGTACCTTGTATCTCTACCAGGGTCAAGAGATTGGGATGCGAAACTTTTCAGCGGACTGGAATCCTGATGTGGACTACAAGGATATAGAGAGCATTAACTTTTGGCAGAAGACGAAAAGGCTCTATTCCGACGATCCGAAACAAATGAAAAAGGCAAGAGAGCTTCTTCAAAAAAAAGCCAGGGACCACGCCCGATCGCCAATGCAGTGGAGCGACGAGCCCAATGCAGGATTTGCAGCATCCAACATGACACCATGGATGAGAGTGAATGATGACTTTGGGACGGTTAATGTGAAAGCGCAGATGGAATGCGAAAGCCAGGACCTCTCTGTCTGGCAATACTGGCAGCTCGCTCTACGCAACCGCAAGACGTATAAAGATGTCTTTGTGTATGGCGACTACCAGGACGTGGACTTGGACAATGAGCAAATCTATGCATACCTGAGGACAGGTGCTCAGACGCAACAAAAGTGGCTGGTCGTGATGAATTGGACTGGCGAGAACGTAGCCTGGAAGATCCCTGGGTCGCTAGAGGTGGTTTGGATGGCATCTTCTTCCCTCCAAAGGAGCATTGCCGTTGGCGACGGAGCAACTATTAGGCTTCAGGCCTGGGAAGGAGTGATGATGTGCTGCAAGTAGGGTTGCAAAAGAGCGAGAATTCCAGTCTGTAAGAAGGTACCCCCGATCTACTATCAGTGGTCCACCAGGGAGCTTTAGCTATGCAAGTAGATTTGAAGATGGTGCAATATTGCATAGGTCTGGAATTTTCCATCATACTACCTTTCTCTGTGAATAGGGGTCAGGAGATCAGCTGTCATGTGCGAGCGACCAATGAGCTCTATACTGCACGGTATACGCGTACGATTGTCATTCCAGTTTCCAGTCACTAACGACCAATACACTGTGACGTCCGTGCAGACCTCAATGATTCGTGACCCCTTCGGTTGTGTTCACCACTAGATCCACTACTTCAGCATGAAGCAATGGTGTTGGGACACAAGATATCCGGCGATGAGTTTATCGAACTGATACCTTATTCAAATAGTATGGTTGAGCTAGCGATCGGCTCGACCGACGTACACACGGTAGAGGACTTGCCGAAGGCGTACGATAGGAGTTGCTTTCCTTTGTCGATCCTTTCTAAAATCGGCCCAATCATTTACTGGCCTGCCAGTGCTCCCCAAAAACGTAGATGAGCGCTCTCGGAATACGGCTGGAAGCGCTTGGTTATTGTACTCGCTTCGTAGCTCTTCTTCATATGCATGATACAGATGTGACCATTTGGTGACAGTGGTCATGATCTCAATATTCTATCTATCGTTACCTAGAGCCAGAGTGAGAAGGTTGGCTGCATTGGCCCATCAGTTTTATCTTGGACTGGTGATCGGGATGCAAGAGCCTGTGTTGCTATTCTATTAGTAATTTATATGTTAGGGGTGTCAATGTGTAATGCTATCAATCACTCTCGTAAGCCAAACTCGGTCACCAATTCTTCTCTCAGCTTTACCTCGCGAACAGGGAAACACAACAAGAGCCCAGTGAAACCGAATGGAACCGCCATCCACCATACCCAACGCAATCCATCCTCGTACAACCTCAAGACCTCACTCTGCAGCTTCGCCTGGCCTTTGAGGCTTTTAATCAGCCCCTCCGCGGCCAACGCATACGCGCCTCCATTTGCCAACCTCTCTCTCAATGTGTGATCACTCACGACGCTGAGCATCCGTTGCACTCTCGTATTGAGGATGGATGTCGGAATCGCGATGCCCCAGATACACCCCAGACTCCGAACGAATGCCCACGTCGCCGTCGCCGTCGCTACCTCGGACTCTGGTAGAACAGCCTGGATAGGCGGCAAGGTGGAGGAGAAGATCATACCCGACCCAACCCCGAAGAGAACCTGGAAACCGGCCCAGTCCCGGGCGGGGGAGTTATTATTGAGGACAGAGAACAAGCCGACCCCGATTGTCACACAAAGATACCCCAGGAAGTGGAAGGGGCGGTATTTCCCCTGCATTGCGATCAAAACGCCGGTGATCACGCCGAAAGGTGCAATGGCTGCTGTGATGGGGAGGACAGCAAGGCCGGAAGCAGTGGCGGACAGGCTGCAGAGAGCCTGGAAATACACGGGCAGGAGATAGCCCACCCAGTAGAGGAGCAGGTTCTGAAGGAAGGAGAGCCAGAGGGCACAGAGAGCGGTTGCAGTGGAGAAGAGCTGGAGCGGGATGGAAGGTTCCCGACAGAAGCGCGAGGCTTGGTGGATGCAGAAGAGGACCAGGCCCGCAAATCCAAGAAACAGAGGCACCAAAATCCGCCACGAGGACCAGGGGTAGGCAGTTCCCGCCCAGGTCAATGCCAGCAGAATGGCCACCACAGCCAAGGTGAGGATGGTATTGCCCAGTAGATCCACGCGACCGAACTGTTGCCCGAGGGTTGTGTTGGGTGATCGGGGCGGATGGTTAACACGAAGGAAGAGTACGAGCAGAAAAAGAGACACACCGCACAAGGGCAAGTTAATGTAGAAGACCCAGCGCCAGGAGACATGCTGCGCAAAGGCACCACCAAGAACCGGGCCAATGGTGGTTCCTACAGCCCAGACCGAGGCCATGAGTGCCACATACTTCCCCCTCTGGCGAAGGGGCACCAGATCACAGATGACGGTGTCCACGAGAATGTTGATGCCTCCGCCCCCAATCCCTTGGATCGCTCGTCCGGCGATGATTGCCGTGGTGGTATTGGCACTTCCGGCGATGGCGCTTCCCACCGCAAAGATAACCACGGAGATGATCATCAGCCATCGTCGGCCGAAGATGTTCGCCGTTTGGCCGAAGAGCGGGAGGACCACGGTGGAGGACAAAATGTATGCATTGGTAATCCACATGTACAACTCTGCCGCGTGTAGATCGACCGCAATAGTCGGAAGGGCAGTGGAGAGAATGGATGTGTCGAGAGCGGCGAGGAAGGTCGTCATACACAAGGATGGGAAGACCGCCCAAAACCGCCAGGTCTTCCTCGGTTTGGGCCCCAGGGGATGGGGAGATTCATCAGAGTTCGTCCCATTGCTTTCTGGCTCAGTCCCGCGATCGTGTGGACTATCTAGTACTTTACTGTATGTCGAGTTGGATACAGCTTTCTTCTGCTCCAATTCGGGAGTTGAGGTCTCAGCCATGGGGGAGGGGATGAGAAAGAAAGGGGATGAGAAAGAGGAATAAATTAACAGAGGATGTCAAAAGGATAAGCAGGCGCAGCATGAAATAGATGGAAAACCCCATAATCAAAGCAAAGACAGCAAGCTGCATACTACTATCAGCCCCTGAACCTTCCAGTCCATGTTTGCTGACCAAAGTTCGATCATACCAGGCATTGGGTTCTTTGTCTTGCATAGCCTCGGGCTTTTCTCCCGTCCGAAACCCCGAATGCACGTAAGCCTGCAACCTCCATATGAATGCAGGCAGGTACACTGATCACTGGACCCCCCTAAGAGTGACCTGTTTTCAAACTAATGCATTGGTCACTGGATCCATTTGCCGCATTCTGGCCCGTTGGTCGCTCTCGACCGTCGCACATAGCTATCTTCCAGATCAAGGCAGAGGAAAGTAGGTGTCTGCCACTGTGGAAAGCAAAGGTAAGTTGCCGGATCACACGAAACTAGCCACCCAAACATCCATGGCCCTAACCCCTGTCCGGCCCCCTGGTATACCCTCCAAGCTCGCCGCACACGCATCCCGTAACGCAAGAACCATTGCCCGTTCCCTCCCATCACTCACTGCCTCCTCCACCTCCTTTTCGAAAGATGAAGACAGACAAGCAGAGACTTCCCACTGTCCGTCCAACAAGCCCTCCCCACTTTGCACGCGGGTCTCGCTCTGCAACTGCCACCCGGCGGCCAGGGCCAGCTCGGTAAGCCGCCTGGGTCCCAGCACCGTGCGGACATTCGAATTGCTAATGGGTTTACGGTACTCCAGCGCGGCCTGGGTAAGCGCCGCTAACACGTGAGGCTGAGCAGAGGGGTGCGTGGCGACTAACGACCACTCGGCGAGAAGAAGACGCTTGCTGTGCTGCTTGAGGGCACACAGGGTGGACAAAATGAGCGAGGGGGAGGCAAAGTACCATAGGCTGTGGGCGAGCACCGCTGCGTCGAAGGCCTTAGTCTGGCTGGCGAGGGGCGAGGAGGGGGAGAGGGGAGGGAGTGAGGACAGGTAGTCCAGAGGGGGTTGTTGGACCCAAGTAATGCGATCCCCCAGTGAGCCTTGCGAAATGTGGCCCTGTGCTTGGCCAAGGGTATACGGCGCACCTGCAGCAGCCATTGGTCAGCTACGTTCTACTTGCATTGTCAGGACAGACTGGCAGCAGGGTAGGGAAAAGGGAGCCAGTCCGGGCTCACCATAATCCAGGTCCGCCGGATCAACCGCCACCACGCTTCCTTGCTTGCCCACGGCAGTTGCAAGGACAGTCGTGCAGTCCCCTTGCCCGCATCCGAGCTCCAGCACCTTGGCACCAGTCGGGATGTTCCAGTGCTGTAGGAGCACCAGGCGATGCAGAGTTTGCGAGTGCTGGATGCTGAAGTGGGCGGGGTCGTGTAGGGAGAGGCGGGCGACCCAGGCGGCGTCGAGTTGAGTGGACATGTTGTGCTCTAACAGTTCAGGGCATAGGATAGCCCACTGTGCTCTAGCTAGATGATCAAGGTTGCAACTGGAGCATTGCTTCCACCTACTGACCCGTGGATGGGATCTTCTTATAATGTCCGGCTTGGAAGGCCGCCTAATTGAGTTACCCCGAAGGTAGGTTCTACCTTATACGGCTTCAGCTACCCAGCAACCACACGGATAGTTGATTGACCCAAAGAGAAGGTTGGGTGACTACCTAGCCAATTAAAGTTGACGTGATGATACCGAAGCATGGCCTTTCCCAATAGGGGACTAGGAATGAGTCACTGGTACCACAGTTGAGTCAGTATCGATCACTGCAGGATGCACACAGGGCAATTGGTCACCAACCCAGCGAATCAGCTAATCGCATGATGGGAAGGATCCGACGCCAATCCAGGTCCAGAACAACCGAATACCCCGCACCGCACGGCGGACCGACGGACGACCGGAAAAGAGTGAAGGCCTGATTCTTCGCGCCCACATGTCTCATCTCAACCATTGACTACCACCCATACGCCTCCTCAAAGTACTCCATCCCGGTCGCCCCGCCCCGCCGCGCCGCCCGCACGGCTGCGCGAGTGAGATCGGCCATCTCCGCGGGACCGCAGACCACCACCGCCACCGAGCCCTCCTCCTCCGCCCCCGCCCGGGCCACAATCTGCGCAATGGGCGCCCGCCCCTGCTCCACATCACCCCCGGCGAGCACTCCCTCACCGTCCACCGCATCACCCAACCCTCGCGAACAGTAAAACCGCATCCGCACTCCCGGGCGCTGGGAATACGAGCCCAGCTCGGCACGATACAGCTGGTCGACGAGCGCGGGCTCGCGCACCGTCCAGTGGAGGTCGATTTGCGGATGCCCCAACCCACCCGGGGACGACAGGAGGACTTGGAGGTACGCCGTCGCGACGCCGATGCCGGTGCCACCCATAATCATGACGATGCGGTTGAAGGTGCGCAGGGCGGTGGACGCACTGTGACCATAGGGACCCTCAACCACGAGGGTGGGGTGCAGGGTGTTGCCAGCGGCGATGGCTTGGGATTTGAGACGGTGAGTCCAGCCGGTGTACGGACGGACCCAGAAGGTTAGCGTCGGAGTGGATGCTGTCAGTGACTGGGGCGGGAGACGACGGGACTCTACCGTGCTGATCGTGGTATCTTTCTCCGTTGGCGTGCGGGCAGGAGTGGTCGAGTCAGGGAAGGGGGGTGTGGAAGACCCGCCGCGGTCGGAGTAGCGGACGGAGGCTGTGGTGAAGGGGTGGTTCTCCCAGCCGCGGAAGGTCGTGGGTTGGTAGAGGTAGTAGTAGTGTCCGGCTCGGGGGGAGGTGAAGAGGGTCGCGGGCTGGATTTCGATCTGGAGAACATCGCTGCTGGGGTGGTAGGTGACAGTGGTCTGGTGGGGAGAATGCACGCTGCTACTGCGGTGGATAGGCAGATTGCAGAGGGCCAGGCGGAGGAGGCGGAGGAGGCGATCGAAGCACCAGATGGCCACGACAGGCCACAGGTGGGGAGTGTATTCCGCCCCGAACTTGCTCATATGCCTGGCGGAATCGGGGGTCAGAGGCCAGGTTGCGAGGGTGAGGGCCGTTTTCACGCACACTCTACGTACCTAAACAGAGCGTAGACAATGATGATCCCGAAGAGAACGTGCACAATGAGAAATGCTTCGTAGGATCGTTTGCGCACCGCGCCGCAGGAGAACGGAATCATCAAGCACATGAGCACTGTTGCCTGCGAGGGAGTCAGCATCGAGACCGCTAAACAGCCAGCCCGAGAGGATACGGACCACAATGCCAAACCTGAACCAGTCCGTTTCCAAGTCTGCGGTATACTTGCTCGGGCCTTGAGGCGCGATGTTAGCCGGAACGGAGATCGTCGCAGAGGAATAGTCTCACTATAAGCCAAGTACTTGACCGTATATGATATAGAATGGATGATGGCATAGAGGACAGTCAGGATCGCGAGATGCCGGTGCAACACATTGAATGTATGGAAGCTCCAGCCAGTCGCCCAAATAAAGACATTATTTCGTCCTGCAAAGACCCACAGCCACGGCAAGCATGCGAAGGCGAGTAGGCCAAGTCTCGGCCCCATTGTGTCCCAGATTTGATAGGCGAGAGTTCCATTACTAGAACCAATTAGTCGAGACTCAAAAGATACGCAGGCAGCAACATACAAAGGATCGTCTGAGTACGCGTCATATCGCATACAAGCGAGGATAACACCCAGGGCCCAGAAAGCCAAAATGACCAATGCTTGCACGCGTAGAGGGACTTTACCGCCAAAGAGCAGCCGTTGGTGATACGTCCCTGGACTCAGCGCAAGGATCAAGTGTGTGTTGAGAGCGTTATAGACTTTGGAAATCGGATTTGATGAGGATAGGCGCCGGAGGCGAGACGGAGATCTAGGTTTCTCTGGGTCCTGGGTTTGCCCTGCATCTCGACAATAAAAGACCCCAGTCAGGAAGTTGGAAATCATCCCGATCAGGATCACAGATCCCCAGAAGCCGTGAATACCCCAAGCAATGTTCAACGAGCGAGAATCATCGGTCTCATCGGCAGTCTAACATGATTTAATATCTGGCATGAGTGCAGAGGACTGTCACCACACTTACCACACTGCGGACGGCTCGTCGATAATATGATTTGTCAAGCAGTACCGCGGAAGAAATTGGGGCTGAGTTCGCAGCGCCTGGGCTGAAGACGGGTAGCTGTTCGATGTACTTGGTGGTAGCTATGGCTTCGATCTCGCCCAAGTCCATCAATGCCAAGCCGGCGTTAGTGCAAAGGCTCTTCCAAAAGTCAAGGCCTACAGTGTATGCCCTCCCATGACAATACTCTCGCATGGAGACATATATCGATGTTACCTCAAGCACATTCGTGCACTCAGATGCGGCGCTTGAACGTGTCGAGCCTTGAGATACCGCGCTCGTGGAGTTGGTGTTCTCTTGCCATCTGAACGAAGAGAAGGACTTATATATAGCGTACATGCAGTATTGGTTCGCATTGCTCGGCGCGAAGCCCTTGGCCACAACGTGCGAGCTGAGGCACGAAGCCAGAATGGCCAACGTGATTCTCATTATGAAGAATGGGGATCTGTTGTTTTTCCCGGAAACCGATCCTTAAGACTGTCCCTTAGGATGGGCTCTCAGAGTGGCAGGCCTTTTTTCAAGTGGGACATCGCACGAACCTTAAAATATATCTTGTCAGCGACTGAGAACAACGACCTTCCATCTTGGCACAATCCCATTATTCTGCAACATTCTACGGTACTCGTCGGGGAAAGAGGAAACTGCTCCCGATTCTGGCCCTGCGGTGGAGATGAAATCTTTGGAAAGTGGGCACTATTATGTGTATCAATCGACCTCAGAGACCAAGCATGCATGGCACTGTCGAAGATAGGAATACGGTTGGGCATGTGGATTGTAGTGGATTATCCAAGAAATACTAGCTTGAATCTGGTGGATGAAGTTTTGAAGCAGGCCCATAAAGGCTTCGGCTGATCATTGAGGCGGAATGATCAGTGGGAGCAAAGCTCTGGTAGCTACACGTGCTTTCCTACCAGGTTTGGAGAGCGAACCCCAATCAGATGGTCAGATTAGATTGATAGGATAAAAGATTGATAATCAAAATCATATCAAACAGACCCACAACAAGTTGCCACATTCGGACGCCCGAACATCCAGAGTCCGAATGACTGACACCGAAAACCTTCCGGTAAGGACTGGTAATCCACAGTATCTCTTAAAATCAATTAGCAGATTTTTTAGCCTGGTGGATTCCACTTACAGATCGCTGAGTTATCTCTAGTACTGTAAATTACTTCCTTATATAGGTAGTAAGATTTTATACAGTTTATAATCTTACCGCCTACTTTTTTAAGCTGCTTTACTGTTTCTAATATAGACTTTTATATTCTACTAAGAAAGATTAACATATCTGCTCTGTTTGAAACTTTTAATTAAAAGAATACAAATATCTAACTCTTCAAACAACCAAATGAATACCACAATTGCTTTTACTTATTTTTAATTAATCATATTATATTTTTAGATCTTTGATTAGATGCTAGATTTAAAACTTTCTTTATATATTTTTATAAATATATATATAAATGTCAGACCGCCAGGTGTCAAGGCGCGGGTGGGCAGAGTGGAAGTAGGATTAGTACAGCTGGACAAGCAGAATAAAGAATAAACTACAGAATTAAGCTATATATAGAATAATAGATAAAATATAATTTAAAACACTATGATAGATTTTCATATAGTTAGATATTTAAATAAATTATATATTATATACTAAACAGTTAGAACTAGTAGTATAATTAGATTTATAAAATCTTTTAAATAAACAAAAAAATAGAATAAAAAAATAGTTAGAATATTTTAGACTGATATTATAATAATGTTTTTTCTCAAAATTAAGTTTTATTAAAATTATTAAAACTAAAACTTGTTAGAATAATATTTATAAAAGATTTCTATTATCTATATAATATTTTTGAAAAAATTGATAGATTTCTTAGATAATTCATAATAGCCAGTTTATTTATTAATATATTTCAAACAAAATAGTTATTCACTGAAGTATTTTTATTAAAAATTTTAATTTTTTTTTATTTTTTAATTTTTAATTTTTTTAATTTTGACTGGCAGTAAAAAATATTATTTAGTAAAACTAAAATTATTATTATTAGATTATAAAAAGCTTATATTGAATATAATATATATATATATATTAGTAACCAGATTTAAATTATAAATATAGAAATTTATAATTTTATAAATCTTTTTTTTATTATTATTCTCAGTAAGTTTACTGGCTTTTAATTATTTCTACTTCTAATTTTTGTTAGGAACTACTTAACGCGGTAGACACGCTGGTTGTTGGCTCCGAGCCTTCGAGAAAGCAATAAATAGATAACTGATTGTTGATTTTCTAAGATTTACTAGCTTAACTGTCTATATAATATCGCCAGCCCGAAGGCAGTAAGAAAGAGTATTATTTCTTAAAGAGTTAAATATAATATTTCTCTTTATATAAAGATGAGGACGCGTTGCTATAAGAATATATACTAAAGTAAAAACAACAATAAAAAATAAGAAATATAAAAATTAATATTATAAAAAACAGATTAAAATACAGAAATCAATATTATAATAAACGGATTAAAAAATAAAGAAAAAATAAGTCCACCGAAAGATC